GTAGAGTGACTGTTACAAACCCTTTGCCTTTTTCACTCACTGCGTGTGTGTTTGTGTGTATGTTAGGGATTGTGTCAGTGTGCACCTGTTGTGTGTGTGTGTGTGTGTGTGTGTGTGTGTGTGTACACACACACCTAAAAATTGTGTATGTGTGTGTGTGTTCTCTTCTCAATGGCAGCATGTTTTGTTTTTAATCTCACTCCTACACTCTTAAGAGGGTAGTGGAAGGCCTGCCGGCTGAGCTGCCATGGTTACTGATGTAAGAGAGATGAACTTTGACCTGTTGTGTCCCATATCCTATCCTGCTGACAGCCATGTGATGGCCAGAAGGATTTCTAATTCCTCACAAACACACGCACTCATCTGAAGAGGAAGGATGGAAGGAACCCTCCTTCCGCCTCCTTAAAAATCTTCTTTTAAGGATGAAGGATGATCTCTTCATTTTGATATTGCAATTTGGTTGCCAATAAGAGATTGCACAGTCTATTGACTCTAAAGAGTACAAAATAGGGAATTTTAGGAAGAATTTTTGATTAGTACAAAATAAGGACAGAAAATGAGAAAATAACATCTTACTGTTTAAAAAAAGAAAATCACAAAAAAAAAAAGTTTGAAATGGAATAATGTTGCATTGTTGAAATACGATACAATGAATCCACGTAGTACTGTAGCTGTCTGACATGATGATACGATACATGTCTCTTGTTGTTTTAGTTTGTGCACGTCACAGCTTTTACCCGGCACTGGACCTGCTGGGTGTGTGTGTGTGTGTCTGCACCACTGACACATTTTCTCTATTCACAAACTCACATGTTTTTATAGGCCAAATCAGGAAGAGTGTGTTTGTGTGCGTGTGTGTCTGTGTCTGTGTCTTATGTCTGTTTGTATTTGCCTGCATGTAAGTCAGGGTCGAGGTCAATTCACAGAAAAACATTTTATGAAGTAGATTGTCGATAATGGAATTCTTGACTGAGAAGAAAATGGGTTTTGTCGAATGAATTGCAATGTGGAGTACTAGATCATATCTGTACTTTCTGCAACTCGCTGTCAAAGTGAATTCTCCCCAACCCTGGTATGAGTAGTTACCACTCCCCTCTGGTCCATCCTGTATCCAGGGAAGTTTTGCATTGAATTCTACTGTATACACTACAAATTATAAGGCATATCACCTCCTCCCTGTCCCACACAAGCCCTCAGTGCCTGTCAGCCTACTGCCTCCCCTGTGTGTGTGTGTGTGTGTGTGTGTGTGTGTGTGTGTGTACGCGCACGTTTGCATGGCTGCATGTACACACATGCCTGTCAATACATGCGTGTGCACAAGTGCGTGCGAGTGAGTGTTCAGTCTTTCCAATGAGTGGGGTCATATTTCGTATCTACTTGCACACACTACTAGTGCACAACTGACACCCTTCTTTAAGCTGTTTGATGCGTTACCATTACATTAATCTTCTCACAAAGTAGTGTAATACTATGATTTACTGTAGCTTGGTTTTATTGCTATTTTGCATTTATAGTTTGGTTTTTATTCTGCTTATTTATAGGTGCTGTATTTTTCATTTAATGTCTTATCATTTGAGTTGTCTATTTTTTAAGGGATTATACTGTTCCTGAGGGCAAGTAACATTTTTATTAGACGTATAGACTGCCGGCAGTATTGGTTATTATTTACAAAGATGTACTAGTTCTCATTTGTTTGTATATTCATGAATCCTAAAGTTTAGTGTCATTTCAATAGCTTTGACAAAAATGTGTTTGCTACAGTTCATGCTCCCGTAAGCATTAAGCTTTCACCACAACAGTTATGCTCTTAACTTGCTTGCTAGAGAATCAAAGTACATATCAAGATCAGCGAACATGTGATAGCATATCTCTTTTCCTGTTTCCTATCCTCCAATGATGTTTTTCCGGCTGTTTCCTGGGCGAGCCCAACACTAACGCCGGGCGGGGCATTCGGCCGTCTTTAGGTAAAGGTCGCCCACTCGGCAATCGCATTAACACAATTTACTCTTTGTCAAATAGGTCAAATGAAATTACCTAAACTTGAAAAACACAGGTTAACTTGAAAGGGGTCACATCTGCCAAATTGAGATTAGAGAAGTGTACCAGCTAGCCGAGGTGCTACGTCAGATCGAACCGATAGCCAGCCTATGATTATGCAGAATCTATATTGCAGTCCGTAACAAAGCACTTACTAGGATCCTCTTTTGGGACGGGGTCAGTAAACACTACAACGGAGAACGATCCTGGGAAACGTATTTAAAGTGGTTGTGAACCAAGCACAAACTCTTCGCTTCACCCTAACTAACACTAGTTAAATCGTCAGATGGTTTTCTGCGTTATATACTGTATTCTTGTACAGTAGCCCCTTAGTTCCTCCTGTACAGCTGTAGATATTATGCGCAAACACCTGTGTTGGTTCCCATCCCAAAGTCTCCTCAGTCCACCCTCAAGCCTCCCCTCTCCCTCAATGTACTTCCAGATGATTCACCGCCTCTCACAATAACTGATAACCTCATTGCACGGCATTAAGATACATCGTTTCAAATCGGATCTTCTAGCGTATCTGGTAATTGTACGACTCCTCAAACATTGGCGCTTCCTGTGGTCGACCTGATGTGAAACATCCGTCTTCTGCAGATTACCGAGAGCTCGTTCTGTTGCGTACTGCTTGGACCGGACAACCACAGTGTGTTTTAATGGTGATGAACAGCTACCGTAAAGAATAGAAGCACTTAACCCATTTTCCATTTTATAGCCAGATCCATCAACCCCACCTAAACAACGTGAGACCAGATCAGATGTGTGCCTGTAACTGCCAAGCAGGGCACCAAACCAGTGATGTTCTTTTAGATGGAGACCATTTCACCACATTGGTTCACAATGTGTCCCACGTGGATTTCTCATCCACTTCATATTGGTACTTTAAAGTCAACTCTCTTGCGCTTGCTGGAGAGGGTTGTGTATAATTCCTGGAGTGCGGCGAAAGAGTAAAAGGAGCTTGTGTATTCTCGCAGACCCGCTCGGTCCGGTTCCCGTTCCAGACCGTTGTTTTCCCACAATGCATTTGTTAAATTGTACATAACCTAAACTAGCAGCGAAAGGCCAGAGCATTGAATGAAGGAGGAAGCATGCAGAAACAGCGTACACTGTAATAACACTGAATTTATTCATAGGGCATTTTGTATTTTTCTGTTTATGTCAGGTTTGCTGTGACATTAATAATGGCACTACAGGTATTGTTGATGACGTGTGCCAATTCTAATGGTTATTTGGAAAAGAGACTTGCAGTCGATCAAGTAGCTATTGATTCACTATTGTCACAGGATGCTTTTGTTTGAAGGCAGGAGGAGAGAAGGGACGATTCAGGACTTTTCCATGATCCACAGATATTTTTCTACAAATTTAAATCAGATGATTCTATACACTGTTGAATAACATTGTAAAGGTGTAACAGATGCTGTATATCATATCATGTTTTCTGAAGTCGTAAAGCTTTACTGTATGATCTGTTGAAGTAGTGGTTATTCATTTGACATAGTAGTTGTAATGGAAGCCTGAACAGCAGCACTGGTCACCATATTCAGGAAAAAAAGAAAGAAAGAAAGAGAAAAACCTCAGATGTTTTTTGTAATACTTTTAGAATATATCCCATGAAGTGGGTTTTGTAAGGAAACACTTTCCGACTCAGTGGTGCTGTATGCATAGCACACTCGGTAATACATACACACATAATACAGCACAACACACTCTTTTAACCCCCCCTCCACTGTCCACTGTACCTGCGTGCTTTTTTTGTTTTCTTTTTCGTGTATTGACGCTCCCCTCACACATTGGCTCCAGCTAAAGTCTTAAACCCTTTTCTTCTTATTTCTTCAGCATTTCTTGCTTAGCGCCACCATCTTTGACGCTCCAGCGGTAAACATCTGGAGCGACGAAACATTTCAACGAATGCTCACAAGACTTAAAAGAGGAAGCAAAAAAGCCAAATAGTGAAGTAGTGATCCACCTCTGTCGAACGGTTGCTGACTGCCGCTACCTTGTGTCGCCGCTTCAGCTCACCTATAGCTTAAACCACAGTATAGTCTGACAACCAAATGACCCGGGGAGATCCCCCCCCCCCTTCCCCAATAACCCCCCTCTCCTCCCTTTTGGAAAGCTTTAAGATGCTTGTTGAGGCTTTAGCGAGTTCAGAGTTGCTTTTAAATGATTTCTCCAACCTTCAACGATGTGGAAGTAATAATTTTCATAACTTCTCCCACTGCCGATGTTGTGAGTGTGTGTGTGCGCGTACATGTGTGTTGTAGTACAAAAGGCTGCATGACTGTAAAGGGATGGTTAAGATGTTTTTTGAGAGTTGTTTCCCCAGCACTTCAGTCACTCCTGAGATGCTTTATCCTCCTTTTTGGGGTCTCCCTCCCTTTCGTTTTTCCTCATGTATCATTGTTTCTTTATCTTTCTATTTACTAAACGTATCATGTTGTTTGTTCTCAGCACTGTAAAACAGTCCCTTCTACAACATTGAAAAGCAATATCACTGTATGAAACGTTCACAATGTATTTGTTATGATTGACATTTGATTCATCATCATTATTATTCACATGCACCCTAGGTGTGATAATTGAAGTAAATCTCTTTTATACAAATACTAAGAGTGTGCTGTGGTAGTTTTTATGTTTTGCTTTTTTTTTTGCCGCTGCCAAAAATTCTTGATGGAAATGTTCCTTGTTGAACTCACGGATGGTTAAAAAAATGAAACAAAAAGGTATTCTCAGAGAAAAAAGGTCTGTTAGAAAGACAGGGAAGGTGTGTAGCAGTCACCTGAAAGGGTCTCAGTCAGAGGTTGGGTCTTTTGGACGGCTCCTGCCATTCACAGCCTCCACAGGTGAGCTATTTTTGGGGGACTATAAATACAATCGAAAGACACAATGAATACAAAGTAATCCAGCAATTGTCCCCCCCCCCACCCCCTCACCACCCCCACCCCCCCCACCCCCCACAGGCCGTTATTCCGAGCTGCAGGTGGAGTTCTCGTCTGCCGTGCGGACCAGTGGCGAGCAGAAGGAGCTCATCCTGAAGCTGGAACACGACCTGAGCACCATCCAGGCCATGTCCTCCCTGCCGCGCCCCGACGCAGACGGGTCGGAGGTCAGCAACATGGGGAACATCCCGGATCCCATCAAAGAGGCCTCTGCGATGTTTACTGGTACGTTTCTCCCTGAAAAGAAAGTAGGGGCTGTTGAGAAGATATCTCAGCGTTTTCTCTGGACCATCAACCTGAGAAAGAGGAATTGCAACAGAGAGCTAAAAATGTCGCCAGTTGAGTTGAAGCACTTTGGAATTTGTATATTTAAGAGCACGCTGAATTTAAAGTGACGTACTGCAGAAAGCTTGAGGTGAATTAACCATAAGATATCACTGCCTACTCAGAAGGTTTCTGTACATCTGAGCTTTTTGTTTAAAAAGGTAAAAATATTAATTTATACTTTACGTCTAAAGAGGAGTCCAAATCATTTTATCTTTAAACTAAGAGTGATTCATACGGTTCCGTTTCCTTTGAATTTACACTCGGGTCCAGTTTTGAGGTCTTCACTCAGCTTCAGACTCAGTCTGCAAATACAAAGAGACATTCAATTTCAACCACAAACTATTATTAAAATCTCCAAATAAATCATACAACCCGAGATGAGAAATATATTCATGTTAAAAGATCAAATGGACGATGGCATTTACTCTTCTTTTTTTTTTTTTCTTTTTTTTTTTTAAATCTGTGTATCCTCCAGGTTCAGGCTTGGGCCCCCATGCCGAGCTTCCCCAGGGTCAGATGGACTCTCTGCTCTCCATCATCTCCAGCCAGAGGGAGAGGTTCCGCTCCCGCAATCAGGAGCTGGAAGTTGTGAGTCACGATCTCTGCCGCACACACACACACACACACACACACACACACACACACACACACACACACACACACACACACACATCCTGTATTCCTGGGTCATTTTATAGGATAACTCCTTTCTCATCTGTTTTCTCTGCAGGAGAATCGCTCCATGCAGCAGACCATGCAGGCGCTGCAGAATGAGCTGGACAGCCTGAGAGCAGACAACATCAAACTCTACGAGAAAATCAAATTCCTGCAGAGCTACCCTGGCAAAGTGCGTGTGTGTGCATGAGGGGATGGATGGATGGATAGATGGGCTGCAGTGATCTTCTCGTTTCTTGTACCTAGTTGATCTTGTTGATCTTGTTTGTGTGTTTTTCTCCTGGCTGTAGGCTGGCGGCAGCGACGACACTGTGATGCGTTACTCCTCCCAGTACGAGGAGAGACTGGATCCGTTTGCTTCCTTCAGTAAGAAGGTACGAGAAATACCTTCAGTCCATGCACACTGATGAAAGCACCTGAGATCCCTTTGGCCGGTTATTTACTGTAATAGTTTTTGATATTCGACAACTGACCAGGCGTGGATGACACAACGTCCTAATTGTGCACCTCCTTACTCAAAATATCCCCCTTGAGCAAATACAAGTGCATCTAAAAAACAACTGACACCAAACATTCACTACACGAGTTGAGACTTTCCAAATGATGTTTTTGTTGAGGCTATTCTGTGTTTGCAGGAGCGTCAGCGTCGATACCTGAGCCTCAGCCCGTGGGACAAAGCAACCCTGAGCCTCGTAAGCCTCAATCTCACTCACACTCACACACACACACACTCACACTCTTTGTACATGTTCTATATCTTGACTAATCCACTGTTGTGTCTCTCAGGGCCGTGGGATTCTCTCCAACAAGATGGCCAGGACTGTTGCTTTCTTCTACACCTTGTTCCTGCACTGTTTGGTCTTCCTGGTGGGTCTCCTTTCAGCCCCTCGGTCAGTCCCGTCGGCTGCAGTGATCTGTATCTGTTGACTCATTCCTTCTTTTTTTTTCTTTTTTTTCCCAGGTGCTGTACAAAACCGCCTGGAGTGAGAGTATCGGTAGAGATTGCTCCGCCTTTTGCGCAAAAAAGTGAGTTTGTCCATAATATTTATATTGATTACATCCTGTATGAATTGCGGATTTGATCGGCAGGTATCTGATGTCATTTTTCTCACTTCCAGGTACTCTGACCACCTGCACCGTTTCCATGAGAACGACCAAAACCTCTGAGCTGGTTCAGCAGCATGCATGTCCTGCACGTAGAGCTGATCGTGCTCCTGAGGACTGAGCTTCACCTTTTTGTTTCTGCAGTAACTCAAATCTCCACTAGGAGGCGGTGCAGGGCTGTGAACCGCAAATCAAAAGGTCGATAGATTCAAAGATGGGTTCTTCTTCTTTTCATTTCCTGATTCTTGATCTTTAACAAGTTGCTATTAATATATACACGTCTAGCAAAATAGTAACAGACGGTTCCGTCTTATACGTAATAAACATAATAATGAGAGCCAATTATTCATAATGTTATTATTAATCTATTAATCAGTGGCAGTGTAGAACAAAAATATAATGAAGACATTATTGGGGTTCTTTGTGGGTTAGGTTGGAATTTAGAGTAATTTGAGAATTAAATTAATAAAGACCAGGTTGATTTATTACTTCAGGTAATATGGTAAATGTTATTAGTTTAATTGCAGATTGTAATGGGTAATGTGGTTCATAAAGGATGAGGTGGTCATTTTAAGAGGTGGTGGAACAAATCATACAGTAGTTAAGTTTACTTATCATTCCTCTGAGGTTTTACTACTCTACTCAACTACTATGAGTGATTAAGCATAAAGTTTAATAAAATGTGTCTTTGGCACAAAGAGATCAAGGTTTGCAGCAATAACACACTAGCGGTTAATGAGTCTTTTCTTTTCCAAGACGGAGTACTGTGCATTCTCCGGCTTACTTTCTTTTGGCAATGCAGATATATTCCAAATAAAGGCTATGCGCTATTTGTTTCTTGCGTCATTTTAATTTAAGATAAGCATTGGGAAAGATTGCACTATTTCAAATGGCTCATGTTGGATTATACTGTTCAGTATATTGATCAGAATAGTTTTGCATTTTGCAACCAGGTTGTTTCAGTCTGAAGACATTCTGTATTTTCTTCACCGTCAACGTCTGTCATGAAAAAGAAAAATCCAAAGAAGTCATTTACGACGACACAACTATCAACTTTTTATTCTGCGGTGATGCATTTTTCTTTTTTGCTTCATGAAGTTCTCCACCGTCGTACACTTGTCTTTTATTCCTCCTTCCATCAAGCCGAGGCCGACGGTCTGCCAGCAGAGACGCGTGGAGGTGTGTGGAACACCGGCAGTGAGACGTTTCCGCCCCGGACGGACGAGAGGATGAGATGAGTCTACTCGGCTTTGTCGCTCAGGCGCATTTAGTCCTGCGCCGTCATTCCTGATCGTCCTGATCATCTGCACTGGTCCTGTTGATGGTTCACGCAGGGTGTTGATGATGATGTTTGCAGCTATTTGGGCTACAGTGCCTACTTGTTAAAAATCCCTCTCCTCAGAGGAACCGTTGAGAGGCATCGATGAGCCACAGCGTTTCACTGGACAATGTCTTCCAACTCTGGACTGATCTAGAACTCGGTGGTCAAAGGTCACTGTAACCTCACAAAAAAAACCTCAAGAAATAATGTGTTAATCGTGACAAATTCACTCCGATGTCCCATCGAGTGAAATAAAGTGCTTACGTTTTGAATCAATCCGTTGTCAGGGACACACAACTGTGAGGGTTTAGGAAATGACTAAACTTAAAGTATATAGTCACAACCCGTTTTTAAAGGGCGCACCTCCGTATGTATGAATGAATGGGTGCAGAGACACGTACAGGACGGGGAAGTCTTAAGTCACTGTTCACCATCATTAGAATTTAAACAGATCAGTAATATTACAATAGTCTTTTTTTACACAAGTCGTTGATGGACCAACGTGGGCTCATCGTGACCCGCTCAGCGAGGCTTAGGGTTAGTCTGGTTAGGAAGACAAAGTGGCCGATGTCTGCTGTGATCCACAACGTAAATGTGCCGGTGACTCGAGCCTCAGCAGCCCCGCTGACGGCTGCCTGCACTTCAGTGGGGCTGCATTTTTCATGAGCGGCCTCCGCTCAAAAGATCACCTCAGCGCAAAGCCATGAAAGAATAACGAGACCGACGGATGACACATCTCCATTTTGCCCTCTATCTCAAGCCCGCTTTTGCTTGTGACTCAGCGCAGACTGAGCGATTTCGGCCCAATTACAGCCTCAGCCTTCCTCCCGGAGCAGCATTCACCTTTACCCTCAAACCTTCGATTCACACACCTTTTTTCCTTTTCACTGCGCCTCTCCTCTAACCGGCCTCCATCTTTCTATTTCCTACACATTCCTCGGCTGGGCTTCTCCGGCTGTCGTATCGACAGATCCATAAATATTAACAACGTCAAACTGGAATAGTAAAAGTCTTCAGCGGGCCTAATGGCCCGGGCTTGTTTTCACCGCAGTGCACGGTTCACTTCATCGTTGCTCAGAGAGCTTCCTTCAACAGCTGCACACGCGATTGGTCAGCATTTCAGTTCCTGCAGTGTCACGTTTATTTTGATGCTGTTTGAAGGAGGATACTGTGTGTCATCCTGATTTTTACCCGTTATGAAACATTAAATGAATAAAGTGGATTATTTCCGCCTGTTTTTCCTTTTTTCCATAGTTCCATTGTGAACGCAGCAGAGGGCAGTAAAGTAATGCTTCATTACTAATATTATTAATTATTTAGGCCTGTTTGTCTGTCTGCTTGCATCGCCTTATCTGTTTTACCTATTGTGTGTGTTTAATGGCATTTAGCATAGAATAGAATTGTTAAACCGCTTTGGATGGAAGCAATGAGCCTTTTTCCTGGAAGGAGGACAACATTCTTTGTAGGAAATGGATTGTTTGTCAAAATGATGATGGCTAACCCAACCAAAAAATACAAAACCATCACAGCAATTTGTTCAGGTAATAAGTTATAAAGGTTATGAACATTTCACGTATCTGGACTCCTTGTGGTTACTGACACGTCTTTATACATTAATATGATAGTTTAGACTATTTTGTACGGAAAGGGACTTCAAAGAAAGAACAGTTAATAATGGTTTTCTAAACATTTTTACATTTTCGTTCTAAATACTTAGAAAGTTAGAAGAGTTTGGTTCACGGCAGTTGAAAAAATAATTATGGAACTGATTGAATTCACATCGATTACCCAAAGAGACGCTACATTTGAAGAACATTCACCATTTTTGCTTCATGAGTGAAACTTGTTAAAATTGTTGGTGGTTTGCCGTTCACAAACCATCAGTCTTAAGCTGCAAACGCCCCAGTGAGAAAGGACTTCTGTAAACACTTGATATGAATCCTGCTTCCTCCCATTCAGCGTCCTCCTCTTCATTCACCTCTCTGTGGCTGTAAAATCTCATTCATTGCTTTCATAGAACCAACACACCATTCAGGACTTTCCTCCTTTGTGTTGCTAAGTAGCACGGACCATAAACCGCCGAGGACACGGATACAAAGAGTATGTGTGTGTGTGTGTGTGTGTGTGTGTGTGTGTGTGTGTGTGTGTGTGTGTGTGTGTGTGTGTGTGTATGTATTTGGGAGGTTTCATTCATTTTATTTTGGATCAATCTTTCTGTCATAATCCCCTTTGGAAATGCCTCTGCTCGCCTTCGCCCTCCCCTCTGTCCGCATGCAGTTTCTTTGACGCCCTCTTCATCACCCTCCCCCCACGGCCGTTGCTATGGAAACAGGCCTCCCCTGTCAGGTGGCTCCGAGCTGAACGCTCCCCCTGCGCTCTGATTCGCTCCGACGTGGTCTGGCTGAATCACTCGGCCACGTGATCGGCTTCTCCGGATGCTGAATTTGGAGCTGGTCGTTGGTTGGCGTTTTAAAATGCTTTATGACTCTAACTACAGCGTTTATACACGTTTATACATTTACTAACGAAAGAAAGATTCACCCGCCGAAGTAAAATCCTGGAGGTCAGAGTAGAAATTTAAACATAAAATTGTAAGGTGTCGATGAGTAACATATTTCTGCTGTAGAGCTCATTTTTATCATATTTGATAAAATGCTCCAATTATTTTCTCTGTAAAACCTTGTAAGTACCTTGGACCTGTAGCTGTGAGAGAAGCAGTTCAAATATATAAAGTCCGTTTGCTATAATTTATTGAACGGTCTAAAACCTGTATTTAAGATGTATTCAGCTCCTGTCGCCTTCTCATGTGTTTCCTGATGCACAATTAAAGCTCATGTGAGTCTATTTCCAGCAAGCGACTTACTGACGCGCTTTTCTTGTTCCTGTTCATGCACACACAACCTCAGGTGTGACACAGAAATAACACACAGACACAGCGATGATGAGCGATGTTTCACCACCAGGTCGTCTAGGGATCAGTGATGGTGATTCATGCCACCTCAGTTTTGCAAAGGCAAGTTGGTGCAAGTTTGTGTGACTCAGCTGGTAGACTGACACCTTTTGACATTGTGTGAAGAGACTTAACCAAGGCTGAAACCAGCGAACACACAGTTTGATTGACTGAACTAAAGCAAGACTGGGCTGCCAGTGATCAACTAGTTAGCCGTAACATAATTCCATTTTATTATGTGACTTAAGTTACGTAGAAAACATTGCACATTAAACTGTAAGTGAACATTGACTTTTTGATCAACACGTGACATGAACGCAGGCCGACTGCGTGAAAGTCCCGTGTTTGAGCCTCATTCCGCCCCGGCCTCCTTCCTGCGAGGGCTTTCAGCTTTGAACAGAAACGTAATTATGATGCATCAAAAAAAAGAGAGTAAATCTACGCTGCACCTTTCACGTCTTCGTCTGTAGTGTCTCTGCTGCTTCTTTGGCTGACGATCGCCCATTAAAGCTCCATGTTGCAACATTTAAGAGCTGCTTCATTCATGCGTGCAGACGGAGCAGTCACACATTGGTACAGATGAAGGGTGCAGCTGAAGGAGTGTGTAGCTCGCTGTGTGATTTCCTGTTCTTAAAGCCGGCTGACACGTTGACCCTCAAACGGCGTCCGGCAGACAACCGCCACCTCAACCACTTTGGATGCTTTCACAGGAAATCGCCTCCAAAGCATCTATTTGTTTTCCTCTCCTCTGTCTTTCAGGCTGTCTCCCTTCTCTGAAATCTAAATGAGGGACATTTGTGAGCCGCTGATCGATGGCGCCCACCGAGGAGGCCGTGCTTTCTGTGTGCAGCGTGACGTTACGGGCTTCTGCTACACACGGGTCAGTGTGTCTGCACGGCGGTGACCTTTAGGGGCGCGGCGCTCGCAAGAAGGAACAAGGTGATAAGTCGATGATGACTCAATGAGGGGATTTGGACTTGGGGCGAAGGGACTAAAAGTGATGTGGGAGAGACAGCAGGTCTGTGGATGACCAGGAGGTTGTAGCCCCGCCCCCACGGATCCCGTTGATTCATCCTTCCGGCAGGAAATGTGTGAGGATCAATAAGCAGCGACGGTCTCTGGAGAGAGACAGAGAGAGAGACACTAAGCAGCTCCTCTCCTCCTTGTTTAAATTGAGACAAACGATTAAAGTAAAAACAACAGCGGTGGCTCCTCTTTACTCAACTGTTCTCTCATCAAATCGATTCTGCTGGCTTAGATTGACTTTTGCATTGGACAGTTTAGAATGTGGCAGACTGGAGAAAATGAGTTATTGTAAATTTTTTACCAATGATTCTCCAAACTGTGCGCCCGCTCATCAGACATTCATGGGACCTCTGGTTTTGAAGGAGGTCTATTTTTACATTGAAGGGTTTTTGGGAATCCCTGAGCTGCTTCCTGGGAGTAAAACTGCCAACGTTTGCTTAATCATTTCTCTTACAGCTAATCATTACATGGATCGGGAAGAGCTGCTTACCGGCTCACTAAAGGAGTCGCCGCACACTGTGACCGAAGAGAGCAGATGCACAGCTGCAGATTTGAGAGCAAACACTGTCAGATGCTCGGCCCTCTCGCGACCACCACCAGCCCGTGTCTGGACCGGGGTTATTGTTTTTGCCCCTTAATCGCTCATTGAGTGAGTGAAGCTCAGCACAGCTCCGCTATTAATCCACTTTGAGAGGATTGACTCCTGAGTGGAGTAAACGTCACCGAGCCACGGGAGGGAAGTCTCACTCGTGCCAACAACGTAACTCCAACACTTTCGGTAAATCAGGATATTAGTGAGAAAAACACCCACGAGGAAGCTTCATTCATCCAGTCCATACTGTAACTGTGTGCGCGTGTGTGTGTGTGTGTGTGTGTGTGTGTGTGTGTGTGTGTGTGTGTTTGGCACTGAAACTGTTTTTGTTTTTACCGTGTTATTCAAGGCCCTGTGTGTTTCCCTGTGTCAATTGTCTATACTGTGAGGGGGGGTCAAATGTCTTACAGTATGAAGTATCTCTCACATGCGCACCAACACGAACACACACAGACACACACCCACGCACACACACTAGATCTCTCGTATTGTGTTGATAGATATAGCAACAATAAAAGGGCGTGGCTCATTTAAAGGGCAGTCATTTAAATAGCATAGATCAGTGAAACGCACGCGCACGCACCGAAGGAGGCTGCGGTCAGCGGACACACATCATTTGACTGGTATTCGAGTGTGCCTTCAAAATAAAAGCTTTGACAGTCACGTTAGAGAAGACACGTGTTTTATGGTTACTTAATCTGGCTGAATGGCTGTCTGCGAGGTTCTCTTTAGAACGGCAACTTTTAAGGAACCAGGAATGAAAGTGTTTTTATAGTACATTTCGGTTCTCTATGTGAGCATGAATCATTTTCCAAAGCCAAGGAACTATTTAATGTCATGCATGTAAGCCCTGACATGAAATAAAACGTTATAAATCTACTTTATTTTCCCATGCAGCATAATACACAGAGTGTGGGTTAATCTGGCAGAACAGGCTCTTGGGCCTCTTGTGCCAACCTGCCACGCTTCCTTCCTTCCTTCCTTCCTATGTTATCTACTTTACTGTCATATTTCTAACTGAACTCTGTGGCAACTTCAGCTCCTCAATACTCTGATGCTAACAACATTATAACAACTACACAATGTGTTCTGACATCCTCGATTCAGAATTACCCGCTGTATTTCTGATTTGTTCAGTAATCCAAGGTAAACAAAACAGAAACTGAGTTCAAATGACAATTAGTCTGTCCAGGGTAACGACACAACGGCTTAAGTGTCACTTTGTGATATTTTATCAAACGCAACACTCTAAGAATCGTGCCATGGTTTTAAAACCCTGAGAAAATATATAAAAGTATTTATAAGTGTATGTATAAAGGTAACCACACAAGGTAACCACACAAATGTACTAACTATATAACAAAAGGAGAGGTAATACTTCATGTTACTACCTCTTTAGTAAAAAGAGGAACCAATATAAACCAAGTGCCAGGAATGTTCCTGAATTCGTTACGAGTCACCAAGAGAGAGCACAAGTACCCAAAACGATTAAAAAAAAAAAGCCCTGTTGATTACATTATTTTGAAAGGATAAACCCGGAAGTGCGAGTTGCCTCTGTTTCTCTGTGACTTGCCTGCGGTCCGCAGACAAGAGCAGAGGAGAGATGGGGTGCGCGTGAACCGGCGCAGCAGCGGATAAAAAGCCATGTTCGATCCCAGAAAATAGAAAACCACCCTGACGGAAACAAACACCGGGATCCTCTCGGAGACCCCCGCGCCCCCCCCCCCCCCCCCCCCCCCTGTGAAAGCGGTACCGTTTTGAGTGAAAGCCAGCCCCACCCCTCGGTTTTAATACATATTTGGTGGGAGGAAAGGGTGAAAATTGAGAGCGGTGAGACATCTCTGGTGGGAGGATGTTTTGTGTGTGCAGGTGTTGTTAAGAGAAAGAGGCGAGTAACAACAACAACAACAACAACAAAGCTCCAGGTGAGCAGGGGATGCATTGCCCCCCCGCGATGAATCCTGCGTAGAGAGTTGTCTTTTCAATGGCAGAGAACAAGTGCAATAGGCTCTTTTTTGTAGGTGTCGAGCTCACGCACGCACGCACGCGCACGTATACACGCAAACACGCGCACGAGGCGCGATGCTCGGAGAGGGTCGCGGTGTAAAAAGGGGGCTTCTCCCATAATGCCTCTATTAGCCTCGAGGGAGTGCAGTGTGGTCGGTCTCAGGACGGATCGGGGGGGGGCTGATGTGATCAGATGGGACGTTCAGGGCCCGCTCGAGATGACGATCCAACGCCGCTGTACCGACTCGTGACTCCCATTCATCCGTGGAGCTGTCAGCCCTTCCCATTCATGAAGTCCACAGCGCCGCCCGCTGCACAGCGACCCGCCGCCGGCTGCGGAGGGGCTCCGCGGGCCCGCGGGGGCCCGGTTACAGGCCTGCTATTGACTTCCTCTCGGGTGTCTCTTCATTGGCTTCACGAGAGACTCGGTAAATATGAAGCCTGACGAGCCGGATCGTTGCAGGACACGGGCCCTGATATTATATAGGCCTTTACTTCACAGTCACATGTATGATAGTAGTCTGCTTCCCAATCACCAAATCAAAGAATTTTGTTTGTTATTTGTTCTTATTCTATAACTATATTCTATATTATTGGTCATCAGGGATGTTTATGTGATATTTTATGGGTATCATTCTAATATCGGAATGCAATGCTACTGTCAATGTGATATTCTGATAATACGCAACACTAAAAACAGTAGAAAAAAAATCGATTAAATGAATGAAACTATTTGGGGTTGATGGTTGAACAACATTTGTCACTTTCTTTCACAACTCATCAAATCTTTGACATAATCTGGTGAAGATATGGATTGTGGTCAACAAAATTCAACAACATTCATCACATATGCCAAAAAAGTGATGTTACGTTGCGTCATACTTCCACCCTCAGTTTTTATTATCAGGCTGTTTTTTGCATCAGCGTCACTCAGCGTCACTGAATTGATAAACATTAAAACCCATCTGTTGGATTAACTGACACACTTGATGCTCACACAGGTTGTGGCCTATTTCTCCCCGGCGAGAGGCCTGCGGTCATCTGTGAGATCAGTTAGACCCGGTGGGCGAGAGACAGGAAACGGCAGTCGGTGGCGGAATGTGCGTCTCCCACGCGCTCCGTCCTTTATCACTGGCCGCCATATGGATGGCTGAGCTCACTCAATATTTACGTTGTCGCTACTAGCGGAAAAAGCCAGAAGAGGGAGAGAGAGACAGAAAGAGAGAGAGGGAGAGAGCGATGGTACAGAAGACACGCTTGATGAGGCCCTGCTACCGATATTATGAAATGGCAAAAAACCTAAAAGCCAACTGGTGAACGTCAGTTTGTTTGTGTCTCCGTTTCTCATCAAGTCTGGTTTATCTGCATCGGTCTGCATCTACACACACACACACACAGACACACACACACACAGAGCTTTATGCAGCCGTGTGTATCAGTGTCTGGATCAGGAGCGTCTCCCCTTCATCAGGGCAGTCGGTCCTGAAGTGCGCCGGGGCTCATTCAAACTCTCCAGGCTACATTCAGGTTGAATCAGGGAAGGACGAGGTTATCAGGGGTCGGCTCAGAGGTCACTGACCGGCTGCTGCCAAGTGAGCAAATCTAAATGACGGAAAAGAAAAGTATCACTAATGACCCCTTCTTCTGCTCGTCCTGCGGCTGCCGCGTCTGATCCCCTTCCAGCGTTATCGTGTGTCTGCATCTCCCCTGCTCAGCCTTCCACCTCCACCAGACTTTCTTTTTTGTTTTCCTTTTAGCTTTTGTCTACTTTCAAAGGGAATATCTTTGGTTTTTGAACCGTTGTTTTGAAGATATCGTCGTTGGCTCTGAAAACTTGTGATAGACTTTATTTAATTTCTGTTCGATATCACCACCATCAATCAGCCCAAATTATCAAAGTTGCAAAATGGTCTTTAGCTGATGTTCATTTTTATTATTGATTAATGGAGTTAACACAATTTCAATTGCCTTTCTATTTTTTTTAACATTCTATTTTGAATTATATGAATTAAGAAAAACAGGAAATCTTGACTATTGAATAACGGACAAATCACCTAATTCCTTTACTTTTTAAATGCATTTACAAAAGGGTTGTTTTGCTGTGGTTTTATATCCCGCGTGCATAAAAAACATCTCATATCCCCAAACGTCCTCAATCCACATGGAGCTGCTGCAACATTTCCAACTTTGATAAGAGCACGCGATGGAGATGTCGTGCGCTCAGAAGGCTGTCGGACACTGACAGTGCTGCTAGCTGTGTCCTCTGCTGCGCGGCGGGCTAATCTTAGAAAACATGGCAGGCACCAAATTCCCCGGGGGGGAGGTGGTGGTGGGGGGAGGGGGCTGTGTGGGAGCACAACATCACCAATCATCCTCCATCAGCCAATCACTGAGGGCTTGCCGCTGGCATGAATCTGGTCACAGCCACGAGTGTGTTTGGATGCAGGACTCTGTTAGACTACCGTGTTTATGTGTCCGCGAGTGCACGGAGGTATGTGTACACACAGCCTTAAAAACACAAATCCTCGTCACATCCGTTATCCTTGGCCGCGGTATCCTTTCCTCAGCCGCTTCGTACCCACAGCACCACACGTATGAATCAGGCATGTGTCATGCTTGGCTCTGCGAGGGCCCCGCCGAGCACACGTATAGCGACTTATCCCGCGCGATGCGTTCTGCAGGCTGCAGCTGATTGCTTCTCCTTCTCCTCCACACTCAGTTTACTGTTACAGACAGAACTCCCCACCATCTGACGGAGATATCAGCCGTCGTGGATTTTTACAGGGGATAAGGAAGAGGTGCATGAGGGAGGGGGGGGGGGTGTGTCTTGTGAAGTTTGAAGGATGGAGGTGAACGGTTTAAGAGGCCCCTCGGCTCTGCTCGCTCTTTGTTAGTTGTGCTTCAGGTCCATCAGTGAAGCTATTAGAGACCGGGGGGAGTCGTGGAGATGTGAGAGTCCACACGGTGCCTCCGCTCCCCCTCGTCCTACAGTCTGTCCCCCCCCTTGTCTCCTCCACCTCCGCACACTGATTGTTTTAGCAGCTGGTCCATGCGCCCAGTGTGGGGAAATATTCCGATTCTTTATTCTTTACAGAAAACGGAAGTGTAAAAGTTAAAGATCCATCAACCAAAATCCTACGTGGGAGAATGTAAACAGGGACTTCACAGTTTTGGTGCGCTGTTTTTATCGTTGTCTGCAGGCAACTGTTTTCAGTGGAAAAGCGCTAAAAACCCACTTTTCAGTGTAATACCTGCCAAACACCACACAGAGAGACACTGTTAAAGAGGAGCATCAATAGCTTCCTCCCACAAAAACGCAGCGAAAAAGAGAGTAAATACCAGACTTTAGTCGATCAGGAGGACAAAGTACAACTTCAAACTGCTGCGGGTGTCAATTAATAGCTTTCTGTTAATAAGTTCAACATGTAGACTTGATAAATAACTCAACATGGGACTGAAAACCCCCCTGCGGACCTCTCTGCTTGTTTCCCAGCATCCCTGGTACACCGTGCGGTGGTCATGGAAACAACACCCAACTGAGGAAGTCAGAAAAGATTTCAAAGGGCTGTTGAGAAACGATGAATGGTTGTTGCGATGTGGAGAATGTGAAGAGTAAAAGTAAAAGGCCCGCTGTGACTGACACATTATTTTAGATGACAATATTTGATTGTCATAATCATGCATACATGTGTATGCAGGAAATGCTCAGCTCTGCTTTATGACTTCCGCCACTCCCCCCTCTTTGCCCCCCCCCCCTCAATGTTTTTTCACTCCCGTCTACTTTGCAGTATATGACCGGCTTCAGTCTGCTGAGCCTGAAAAATACATAATGCTGTCCACTTCCTCCTGCGTCTCATGGCTTAAGTTTCATGCTGACTCCGTGAGTGAAAGTTGGTGTGTGTGTGTGTGTGTGTATGTGTGTGTGTGCGTTTCTGAGCGCGTGCACGTGTGCAATCAGTACCCTGCAGAGATGCGTCCTCATCTTTGCAGGAGCACGGGAGTTGTGAGAAATGCACCTCACTGTGTGTTGTTGTTTGTCTGCTGAATAAGTGGAAAGTTGGCCCGGTGCAGGTTTTTAAATAGCTGAATGGATATTGATTTCCTCACACAGCACACACCACAACACAGACACACAAAAAGGCACACGCACAAGGGAAGCAGGACCATTGTTCTAAATTTGGTTCAAGTTCATTAAGCCTTGCTGGTTTTCGGCTGCTTAGAAGATACAAATCTGCACTTTCTCTTTTTTTTAACCACTTAACACAAACAAACAAACAAACATTGCTATTAACGCTTAGTAAATACTTCCCATTAACATATTTATTATTAACAGCGTGTTTATGATAAAATGCCAATGATCAAATCAGTCATTTTTCTCTCTGGTATCGTCACCGCCATTTATTAAAACATCTCGTCTCATTCTATATGTCTCCACAAGCCTCTAAAACCTGTCAAGATGAATTTTTGTCACCGGGTTATGAAAGCTTTCCCAGCTCGGGACCTTTTGCTGGGCTTCAGCCCCGGTGGCAGAACAAGAGAGAAAACCACAACGACAACAACAACAACACAGTGCTGTCGGGCCTTCAATCAAAACAGCTCAGTTTTAGGACCCCGACCACCCACCGCTGCACAGCAGATGAAATAAGATGAAGCTAAGTGACTTAAGTTTTGGCCCTTCATAATCCTCTGGGGATTCCACGCATTTCTTTCGCTGTACTTTTCATTCTTTTCCTCTAATCCCAGCCTTCCCTGGTGTCTGTATCCGTCAGAGCATTCCTCTGAAATCCTGACGCCGTTGTACAGGATGGTTCTCCAAAGCTGGGACTCCTGTGTTCTTCCCCCTTATCATTATCCTCCCTCTCTCATCGGGGCACGTTGTTTCTTTCTAAACTGTGGGAGAACGAAAGATGAGGAAATGGCTTGTTGTTAAAAATCTCTGAAAGACTTATTTCCCTTTTTTTTACATTTGCGCTAATCCTTTATAAAAACACGACCCACGCAGATGCTTTTTTCAAATGACAATAACGCTGTTTGCAGGAAAAATCCCAGGGAACTTTGCTGTTCGCATGTATTTATGACACAAAACATTTGAGTGCACATTGTGAATAAAAAAAAGAGAGAAGCATCAGCAGCGCTGAGAATGAGCTTTGGCAGCTCAGGGAGCGTGTGCCATCCAGCCCGCCCACTCAGACGACATCCACATCTGCTGGATTTACAGACGTAATCAAAACAACGCTTGTGCGATCGTGCGTTGCCGTTCGCTAGTCCCGTAGTAGTCATGTGCCGAGGTGAAGAAGGAGGGTGAGATCTGGCTTTGGCTGTTGCCACTGACACAGTGGTGGTAAAACAGAGAGAGGAGTGTTATTGGGGATGTGATGTGGTTTGGCACCGATCGGACCAGAGAGAGAGAGAGAGAGAGAGAGGCAGCGCTGACAACTGAGTCATACAAACACACGCACGCACACACACGCACGCTCACGCATGCATGCTGGGGAGCAGAGGAATGCAAGGATGAGTGGATGAAACACTCATTATGTGGAAAAACAACAGTGAGTGAGAAAGATGGGCCATGAAGAAGACAATCTGAGCGCTTGTCACAAACCTTTAACTCTCAAATGATCAATACCCGAACTTTCCTGGGAATTTCCCTCTGATATCTTGTCGCGTTGAATCTGTTGAGACTGAACAACTGAATGATAAGATGTAGCAAAGTGATCAAAAAATGGGAATTTGCACAATACGATTAGTGGCAATATGGCAACAAGTAAAAGAGTAGATCATTTTGAAAAGGGAAACCTTCTGCCTGTGTTTTTGACACAAAATCTGAAAAATAACTAATTTGACCTCCATCCACGCCGCCGTCTTCCTTTTCCTCCACACTGACGCTGCGCTCTCCTTCCTTCCCCACAGCCTCTCCTCGTGGGTTGGCATGGCCCAGTGATGAACGGCGCGGCGCTGCCCGGTAGCCCGGAGCTCTCCTCCTCGTGCCCGCTGCCGGACTGGCGAGAGTTCTGCGAGCTCCACGCTCGGGCCTCCGCTGCCGACTTTGCGGACAAGTTCCAGCGCTTCCTGTTGGAGAATCCGTGCTACGACTCGCCCGGCGCCGACGCCAGCTTCTCGCAGCACTTTGCCCGCCACTTCCTGGAGTGCTTCTCGGCGGCGCTGACCCAGGCCCGGGAGAACCAGGCGTCCTCGCCGGGGGAGGACGGCTCCGGCGCAGCGACCAAGTACAGCATCGTTCCTTTCCTGGGAATCCAGGGCTGCCCGCTGTCCTACGGCCAGGACCTTTACCAGAGACGCAAGGACGCCGGGGCTTCCAGTGAATCCTTGGATAGCATGGACAGTGGAGGGGGGGGGATGGACGGGGGCGCTGCCTCCCGGGACCCCCAGCCGACCCACAAAGTGTCTGCTTTGGGACAGTCGCGCAGCTCGGAGGACGTGTCGGTCAGTCACCCGAAGGCTCGCTTCAAGAAGGGCTTCTCCCTGAGGAACATGAGCCTCTGCGTGGTGGACGGGGTGAAGGAGATGTGGCACAGGCGGGCCTCCCCCGAACCCGACGGGCCCCCTGGAGCCAGGAGGGTTAACGGTGGAGGAGTGGGAGGAGTGGGTGGGGGAGGGGAGGCCGCAGGGGGAGAGAAATGGTCCCAAAAGCTGCGGCTCCCCAGAGGTTCCCAGGGCCACAAGACAGAGATGCTGGAGATCCAGAGGGAGGGAGCGCTGAGATACATGGTGGCTGATGACACAAACTGTATGGGCGCGGCACAGTGGCAGAAGTGCCGCCTTCTGCTGAGGAAGACGAAGAGGGAAGAAGGGGGTGAAAGGTTCCTGCTGGAGTTCTACGTTCCACCTAAGGTACACAAACACAAGCAGACAAGCAGGAGATTTGGGGTCTAGAGCTGAGTTAGTGTTAGGTGGTCAATGGATGATTTGAATTATTATTATTATGAATAATTTTTTCCACCCCCCCTCCCATCACTCAGCCTGACCGACACGTTTTTTAACATATGACCTTGACAATACCAACAGAAAACAGGCAATTAAGGTTAAAGAAAATGTGTGTTGTTTCACAGTTGGGGTTTATAGTGAATCTGGACGGCTTACAGATTGTCTCAAAATCCAGTTTTTCACCAGAGGCACCACAGTCACAGAAACAGAGAAACAAATACAGGTGCAAGGGCCCATTTAAAAGCATTGGAAAAGAGAATTTTCAGCTCTTCAAGACGAGTCAAATTATGCATGAAATTGATTGAAAAGATCATTTTTGAAAATAATATCAATTTTGCAGCCCAGATATAAATGTAGCCCGAGAATCCAACCCCTTTGACCCTGAGAGGAGTCACATGAATATGGGATTTCCAGATCATTGTCCCTGACCTTAAGAGGACCACGCGGCTGTGCAGCTGAGTGTGTGCAAATCTGCCACTGTCCTTTGATCATGGCTGGTGGGAATGTGGGGATAAGCCTGTGGAAAGAGAGGGAGGGGGTCGGGGGGTAAGGACAGGTGGGAGGCAGGTGTGGGAGGTGGGGGGGGGGGGGGGGGGAGGGCCTAAAAAAGATAGAGAGAGGAAGCTGTTTTCTTTGTTTTCACATGAGGGAACAGATTGCAAAGATTTCCTTTCATGTGCAAAACATAAATATTGATCTGCTCCTTGTCTTTGGCGAACTGTCTGCAGTGACAAACTAAAAATAGGAACCCGAATAGTTTTTCTGAATCACTCAAAAACTCTGCCAGAGTCACAGGGGCACCGTGTAATTTAATGTGCTTCAGCAGTTTCATCTGTTAAATTCTATTAACTTCTACACGTGGGGAAATTATCATTAACTGAGATTAGGAGAAACTTCAGAGCAGCAGTTGCAGCCTAAGTGACACATTAATTAAACACACACACACACACACATCTCGACAGGCCGTGCAAACACTGGGGCTTCTTTTATCCTTGCCGTCTTATTCAAGTCTCACAAATCATAACAGTGCAGAGTGGTGTTGGAAAGAACAAACTGACTAATGAAACCTCAATCCAGCCCGGTGCTGGCTGACTGGTCGTGGTTCAATCCCTGTCGGGGGCATCAATCCGCCGACTGCCGGCATTAGACACGCCCGATGGACTCAGGACGACGAGCCACAGCAAGGAAAAAAAGACTGGCCGCACTAACTGCACGTATTTCCTGTCAGGCCGTTGGATCTATGTCATGGAGCTCTGATTAAGACTGCTTTGCTCCCTCTTAACATTTCATCAGACACTTCCCAATGAGATTGGGCTCGCGCGGGCCGCAGTAGAGACGTACAGGAAATGGTCAAAATGGTTTAATACAGGAAGTGGTTTTTGACATCTGATCCAGGGAAAGGAATTGCGGGTGTGGATGGCAGCCAACTGCACCGGCAGACAGAGATGAGAACAGTGTTTCTCCAGACAGATCAGCTGATAAGCCTCCGCCAGACCATCAGTCAGCCCCCGTTACGCTCTGCCCCTCCTGACACACACACACACACACACGCACACACACACACACCGATGCTCACCAACTCAAACACACTCACGGGACATGTTAAGATTATCTTCTAGATGCAACTCTCTGTACAGGCCAGGATGTTTTCTTGTAAACAGTTTAATGTTTTTTTCAGTAAATCAGCAGGAATAATTGCTGAGAAGTGAAATGCAGTCAGAAATCAGACGCGCCATAAAGACTGAGTGCCTATTTCGCAATCTCATGTAATGTTTAAATGTCTTATTTTATTTAAGAGTACGGATGCAGTTCATTGCTTTTACATCTTGTACCGTAGATTCCGACTGCATGTTGCCCCTTAATTATTGTTTGAAGTTTTGGAGAAGTTGGGTGTGTTTCTCACTAAAGACAGAGGGGGAAGTGGAACTATTTAAATCTGCACCACTAACTAAAAGCTTGATGTTTATAAATGATTGCCTCTTGCAGGACGTAAAGAAGGGTTTAATTTAACTTTGGACAGTTCATAATTACAAACTATGCATTTGGGGGGTATGACACATGTGGAAGATTACAGTGCCACACAGGGAGTAATGCACATTTAGTTTAGTTACACGTTTCTGCAATATGCAGGCAGAGAACATTTTTAGCTTGGGACCCCATGGACTCCTAAAAAAATCAACAAAATCAAGTATGACTTTATAAGCGATCAAGCTTGTGGTTTCATCAGATTCCAAAATATCAATTCAAATTAAACTTACAGAACACAACAAACATAAATGTGACATTTTGTTCTGTGTACGTTTGCATTCTCACTTTAGTCCTCGAAGCCCAAAGTGAGCATCCCTCTGACAGCCATCGTGGAGGTGAGGACCACCATGCCGCTGGAGATGCCCGACAAAGACAACACTTTTGTTCTTAAGGTAGAAACCACAACCATTTTCCGACCACATTAACACGTGTGCACCTGCTTCAGTTTCAGATATGATTCTGCAGGAAAATCAAGTTGTTGGAAAATAAGCTCGCCCCCCTTTGACTGAATGGAGCTCAGTGTGTGACTTCAGTGTTTGGCTGCCTCCGCAGGTGGAAAATGGGGGAGAGTACATCCTGGAAACCATCGACTCGCTTCAGAAAAACTCCTGGGTCGCTGACATCCAGGACTGCATAGACCCGGGGTAAACCACCAAACAAATATTTGCTGTTAGCTGCCTTGAGAGAAGAGAAGGATGGAGGGAAGGAGTGAGTGGGAATGGGTGGACAGGAAACGGGGAACACACACCGTCATCAATCATTAAATTGGTGGATTTTTTGACAGGTTGCTTTTGCAAAAACATTTTGCACCACTGACATCGCCCCTCACTTCCCTGGGGTCGGTGCAGCTCAGGACGTAGACAGAGAGATTATTTGTGTCCCTGTTTGCCAGATTTGGATGTGTGTCAGATTTGTTTGCACATGTGTGTACACGCTCTTGCGCTCCTCCTGACCTGCCTGCTCGTGTGCAGTGACAGCGGCGATGACATCGAGCTGGCGTCGTGTCCCAATGGCCAGGCCTCCAAAGACTGCTCCATGGTGGCCTCCTGCAGCTGTGAGCTGCTGTCCGAGGGTGAGCGAAGGCTGCTTCCTGTGTCTGCACCCGCTTCGTACCATTCAAATCTTCTGATCTGCGTGCGTTTGTTAAAATCCACCCAACAACGTGCTCAGGTGTGTATCGTGCGCCGGAGAGGACGTGTCCGACAGCAGCAGAGCATTACGGCGTCCCCTCAGTGCGTTGCAGGGAGCCCCCCTTCACCCAGCACCCGTCCCACATGCCTTTAGAGCGCTTCCTGCAGTCCCCCGAGGCTCAGGCCTCCAACTCCTCTGCAGGTAACGACTACCAGCATTTACTTTTCTCTGCAGAGAAGTAACATCACAGCGTACGCTGCCGCTCAAAAATACAGAAGGATACTGAGAGCACCGATTGGCTTTGACTCAGGTGGCGGTGAAGGAGCGAAAGAGTCCGATGGCGATGCCAGCCTGGCAGGTTACCCGTGGTTCCACGGCACACTGTCCCGCGTGCGTGCCGCTCAGTTGGTGCTTGCGGGCGGGGCCAGAAGTCACGGGCTCTTTGTGATTCGTCAGAGCGAGACGCGGCCCGGCGAGTACGTCCTCACCTTCAACTTTCAGGGCAAAGCTAAGGTGAGGAGATAAAAGAGAGAAGACATTGTATTACTAGAAGATCTTAAACTTAACGGTGTGTGGTTATAATTTAGATTTAGGGGTTGGAAGTATTGGTTTTGTTATTTGTAAATGTTTTGACGGGTTGTCTTTGGTATGTATTCAAATTAGTTCATGAAAAGTAGAAAAACATTTATTCTTTATTTTAATATGGCAATTTTTTTCTGAACCCTTGTCGAAAAATGAAATGTATTTATTGGAAATTTAATTGGTTAATTTCACTTCGGACATTCGAGAAGTTGCAACTGTTTTTTTTCTTCATTTTTTTTGTTTTACTTGAAGTTAAGAAAGAGATGAAAACATTTCCCCCCCTGCTTCTAAAGACGGCTCACAGCGCACGTAGTAATCCAAACCCGGGAAAAGATGCAGCAATGTCAGCATTTTGTGTTACGTAACACAATCCCTGCACATGACGGAAGGAAGGAAGTGTTCCTCCGGTGTCAGCCTTCTGTCGCTCGAGCCTTTCAGATAATTACCTGACCTCTGTCTCTTTTTAGGCGTGCACTGCTTTTCTTATCCTTCTCTTCCTGCCGACTCTCTTTCCTCTGTTACATCCCTTTTATTCACCTGTATGACAATCCTTTCTCACCCAGTGTTACCGCCGTGTCTCCCATCCATCCCGATTTCTCTCCCAGCATTTACGCCTGTCGGTGAATGAAAACGGGCAGTGCCACGTCCACCACTTGTGGTTCCACACCGTGTCGGACATGCTGAGACACTTCCACGCTCACCCCATCCCCCTTGAATCCGGAGGCTCCGCTGACATCACGTTGCGCTCCTACGTGCAAGTGCAGCGAAGCTCCAGCACAGGTACACAACCGCACAAAGGGAAACTGTTCATGCGCCACACAAGCCCGAAGCCAGTCGCACCCACCGGAGAGTCGACCATCCGTTGATGTCAAGACGTTGTAACCGTGTTCTTTTTAACATGTAGAGGCATGTAAACATGCCTAATTACTATGCAAAGAGGCGAAACGATCCAGCATTAAATGAAGGTCCCTGAACACAAAGTATAGGTGTTTTATTTGAATGCATATTGTCTGATTGGACCTCGCTTCGGGTTCTCAGGCGGGGATGTGTGTGGAATGACCTCAGAGGTCTGCTGCAGCTGCATCATTAGAGAGATTTAGGTTCTCTTACTGTGACACCTCACAGTAGGAGAAAAGAAGGTGTGAATCAAACTATTGAGGATGGCTGAATTTGATTTTAGGGATCTGGTATTGTGTATTAGTTTTACAAAGTAAAAGTCCGAAGTCCCAATATACCAAAAGAAATAAAGGAATAATTGTTTAGACGGAATCTGGTTTGTTTTAAAATGTAATTTGTCTGATTACTATATATTTAGACAATATACACCTACAGAAACGGATTTATTTGCGCCAATATCAATTTAAGAATTTTAAAAGATAGAGCAATGATGTGATCCCATAATTTACATAAGCACAAACATAATAAAAATATCTGATTTAAAGAAAAAAAACAAAGAGTAATGGAGGATGCTAAGAAACTTCCATAAAATGAGATCTACTGGCCCTCTGCTGTGCTGGCGTGGGATGAATGCCCTCCTGTACAGGAGAGTGAGGGGGGGCAATTATTCTACAGGAGTTTTGTATGCGGGCCGAGACTCCGGCCCCGACTCACCCTGGCGGTCACAAAGAGCCCCTCTGTTTCCTCCAACGCCGGGCCGACACGCACCCACTCCCTTACACACAGTCGCATAGAGCGAGGGTTTGATTCGGGCCGTGAAAAGCCTCACTGATGGTCAGGCGAGTCTTTGGCACCAGTGTGCGGGCGGTGTTATTGCCCACCGAGAGAAAGCGCGCTGAGGGGGGCCCGCGCCGGCTCCATTGACGCGCTGCTCTACGAAGGAGCCTTTTTGCTCGCCGGTGTAAACAAACAATTACTAGCAGCATAGATTCGCCTTTATCATTATTATTCTTTCCTTCCTCCCACGATCTGCTACAGATGTGACGGGGCCTCCGGTTCTCACCCCACCCAGGGAAGCAGGCTGCTGGACGGATTCATCCCAGCCAGCCCTCCACCCCCCTGGGATCACAGCGCCCGCAGGGCCCCCACCCGATGTGCCGCTCTCCTCCAGCACCTCCTCCTCGCCCACCGCTCTCCCCTCCCTCTCCCGCAGTGACCCGGGTACTGGAGGAGGAGGAGGGTTACAGAGCCGGAGCAACAGCTCTGAGCGCCTGCTCGAGGCCTCTGGCGGTGGACCTGATGACTACCACGACGCCGACGGGACCCGCCGGGCTCGGGCAGTAGAGAACCAGTACTCCTTCTACTGAGCGGCCCGGCGCGGGGGGTCGGTATTGGAGGGGATGATTTAAAGAAAACGTCCCAAATCGCTGCATCGCCCATTGTTTTCTTTGTTTGTTTGGTCTTCTGAGGCAGTTTCCTGGTTTCTAATTTGAGGACAGAGGTGAGAGCAGCTCGCGAATCCATCGGGCATCGGCAGCTTCGTTTCAAACTCGGCTGTTGAGAATGTGAGCGAGCCGGGAAACCGAAGGCAAAAGTAAGAAACAAGACGTGTAGAAAATGCAGCGGGGAAGATGAGTGGGCGGAGGAAAGTGGAAGGAAGTCCAGTTGAGTCATATGGCTTTGATTCATCACTTCTGACCACTTCCTGTTCACCCTTAACCACAACTCCCTGGGAGCAGATTCTCTGTCACCGTCCCACCGAACGACAGTTTGAAATGACCCTGAAGAAACAGTCCCTCCCCTCAGAGATCCTCCGAGCTCCCAAGAGCCTCCCGTTAATGTTTGTAAATCTGCTTTGAGTCTGTCCCGGATATCCTGACTGTCCCTGCAGGGTTTCCATACAAAGTCCTGCTCTGGCTTTCTAACATCGGCGCAGCAATCACGGGTGTGCCGGTGTCAGAGGTGTTTTTCTTAAACCGTGTACAGCCAAAAGGGTCTAAGTGCCTGACAATTACCTTGGACCTGAATGGATTGTTGCCCATGGCGACAAGGAGGATGGTGTTAACATCTTGCACACTCATCATCACCGTCATTTTCTGCTTAAAACTCACTGAACATGCATTTCCGTACTGAGACAGTTCTCACAGTTTTATTTGTGGCTGCAACACACACACACACACACACACACACACACACACACACACACACACACACACACACGCACACGCAGCTAGTCATATGTTGTGATAGAAATCCATTTAAAGGTGTTGGAGGCGGAGGATGAACAACACACGTTCGGTCTGTATGAACATGTCGAGGTGGCTCCTGTTTTGCTGTCACACTGGGCTGTTTCTATGAGTGTGTGGTGATGTAATAGAGTCCAAATATTTTTCAATGATCGCGTGCTGCAGTAGTGTTTTTACATCGTGGTCCCTCCTTCTGGTGCTGGTTCTGTATTGAAGCTTATCATGTCAATAGCCTGTAGATTAGATATGCTGTTACTATAGTTCACTTTGAAGTAATGCCTTGAAGTTATTAGTAAATCCAAACCCAGCATTTAGGCTATTGGAGGGACTGGGACTTGTTTTTTTGGGGTGGTGGCAGTATTGTGTGCCGTTTGTGTGGACTTTAGCAGTGAGCTTAAGGGACCTAGATGGCCATTCTTGAAGGAGAAGATGTGACAAATGCTGCTTTACTTTTCATTGACAGAGTAATGAGTTTAAGCTTTGTACGGTGATAATTCAAAACTAAAATAAATTTCCCACCGCAAAATATTCCCGTTACTGTACGAATTGACTTCATGGTCCTGCACATTCATTCTAACCCAAAACAGTATTCAAAATATCGTCCTGTAGCAATCGTTGGGCATAAATACACTTTCTTGCCCAGAATCCATTCAGCAAATCAATATTACTCGCGTGTAAGTAATAAATATGAAGCTATGCTGCCAGCAGCTGGTGAGCTTATCTGAGCACAAAGACGAGAAACAGCAGGATACAGCTGTCACACTTGGGTCCGTCTCATCCACCGCGTGGGTGGCGGTTCAGGAAGGTCCCTGAGAAAAAGCTCAGGGAGGCAGAATGCTTGTTAGCCAGCTTTAAATATGCCAGTACGCGCATTTTATTAAAACTTTTGGTCTTTGTGCCGAGCTAAACCCTCAAGCTGCTGGTCGGTGCTTCACATTTACTGTACCGGTGTCGTCTCAGCATCAAGCGTTCTTTACCAAATGTCAAACTGTCGTTTCAAAGGCACACTTGTAAACAGGAACAGAAAAGTTGACACTTTTCAGCAACTGTATTTCAAACATATGCAACACTTTTGCTACGTCGGAATAAACATATCAAGGTCACACGTCTGTCTTTTCAAGCGTGGCCATTTAGCCGTGTGGGAGAGATTTCCGTTCGGAGGAGCGGACGGAGCGTTTCATGTGCCAATTTGAATCCTATTTTTGAAACATATTTATTCCTAAACCATGAATAAAGTGTAAATTACATTTTTCCTATCAAGTGTTAATTATGTTGATGAAACAGCCTCAGTGAAACCCGTCCTTTGCAAGAGCCCATATCACAGATTGCTCATGCCTCCCTTTTATTTTCTTAACACTTCTAAAAGCTACGTTTTCTGTTGTCTGACTGAGTTTTGAAGAGTCTGTACAATTTTGTACAAAGTGATGTACTTGACATACTACTTTATATTTCTGTGAATAAAATGTGAAGAAACTATTGTGCATTTTCTGCAGTTTATTCACTCAAAACTGTCACAACCCGACGGGTTCAGACCGAAACGCTTTCTCATTTAGGGAACCGGCCTGTAGATGATTTCTCTCATCTCTATTTATTCATCTGTATTAAGAACTGGAGTGTGAGACGCAACGTCATGTGGTTTGCTTTTGTTTCACTTTATATAAAGATTAGAACCCACATCCCTCGTTCCAATATTAGGTCCTTATGTGAACACACGCAACATGTTCAGTGTCATTTTATAAATGTGCGACAGCCAGCGAACCAGTCGTAGTTTCACTAGTCCACCTGGGCCAGTTTAAAGCCTGATAACTTAAACACAGACGTATCGATGTTTCCAAAATGAAGCAGCTTCGGGGAAAAGAGCAGACGTACAGTCGCTCACCACAGCAGCCCTTTGCAAGCGGAGACCTCCATAAAATTCATTAATATTGTTCCACACAGTTTAACCTCACTGAGCCCTAAAGGCCTCAAGCTGAAAGCCAAAGATAATTTGGATCTTTAAGTACTTGGACGCCCTCTAGAGGTCACATGTTACAACAACCACAAAAAGAACAAAAACACGCTTGCTAATGGCCACAGCTAATTTACTATAAATATTCAGAAATAAAACAATTTTTACAAACTTTTTTTACAGTTTCCCTCACATCCAAGTCACCATAATGTGGCATTGTGTATTTACAGTACAAACGCATCAGCGTCTAGAAGAAGGCACAGAAATGTGCATTACCTTCCTAATAATCTTGTAATCGCATACTTTCAAGTCATTATCTGCATAGCTGAAGTGTATAAGTCACAGGATTTGAGCATTGCTCACGTGGATGAAAAGAAATTGGCTTGTTTGGCTATTTGTCACTACAAATAACTGGAACACATCATTTCACAATTGGTTGTTGATAGAAGAAAAGAACTGAACTTGCAGGTCTGTTTTAAATCGTGTTTGTTCACATTAAAACACCTGCGAAAGTATCAACTTTTACAAGATTGTGATTATGTAATAAACTAAATATACATGGGGCATTTTGGATTCTTGGGACTTACACGGTCAAACTAAGTAAATCCGTAACCTGCTGTGAGGTTTTCAGATTACCGTTTTGATCAATAATGCCTTTCTAGGTGAGTGTGTTGGATCGCATTCAGTTGCTGTCTCAATTCAATCAGCTTGTGAGTAGACACAGTTTATGAATAACAAACCTATCGGAGGCCTTTAAGAGACCAGACACAGTTATTTGATGTCTGTTTACTCCTGCAACTCACAAAAAAAAAAAAAAAAAAACAGTCTGAGATGATGGCACCACTTCCATCTCCATCTCCACATGCACACCAGGTTACAGCTTCTCCATCAGGAATTGCTGAGATTCACGATGAGAAGGCCGGCCATGGCCAGCAGCATCGCTGCGGTCATCTCCATCATTTTCCCCTGCCTCCACCTTTTAAGGGACTCCTCCTGCTGCTCCTGCACGCGCTGCCTCCTGGCTTTCATGTCCCTCTCCCTCTGCAGCTGCTCCCCGTAGTGAGCCCGGTAAAAGGCGTCAAAATCGAACATGGCCTTCCCCCCCGCTTGGGAGAAGCGCCTGGCTCTGTGGAGATGCTGCTGCTGCTGCTGGGGGGGGCCTGCGGGTCGGCCCGCGGCCTCCTTGGAGGACGGTCTCCCTGCGCCCTGAACGTCCGACCCGCTCAGGAGGCCCCGGTCGTACTTCCTCCTCAGGCTGATGCTGCCCAGCACCGTGTAGGCCTCGCTGATCTCAGAGAAGCGCCGGTTGGCCTCCTCGTCACCCGGGTTCTTGTCGGGGTGGTAGACAAAGGACTGCTTGTAATAGGCTGTCTTTATCTGGGACTGCGTGGCACCGGGGGACACCTTGAGGGTGTCGTAATAGGACGTCCTGCTCCTGTGCAGCAGAGGGGGCTGCTTTGAGCCGCTGTCCCTCCTCCAGCTGTAGCCTCGACTGGAGGCTTGCAGGGTGTTAGGGCGCCGTTTCAGACGCTTCCGGCTCTCTGAGCCGCGCTCGGCCAGGATGAAGACGACAGTGCAGAAAGCTCGCAGCTGCTGGGGGCACCTGAAGGCGTCGGGGTGGATGGAGACACCTCCTCTGGTCCAGGGGGTCATGGGGCCAGGCAGCAGCTTCTCCTGGAGGACAGGGCGCAGTCTTGCAGAGACGCACCAGGCCGTCGGGGGAGCTTGCAGGGTCTCTTTGATAAAACGGGATGAGTCCAGCTCCAAAGAAGTGGAGCAAAGTAAAGTCGCATTTTCCCGTTTACTTTCACTTCTCCTCACTCTGGAAAGGTTCTCTGTTTTGCATTGTGTCGCTTTGGTTCTTGGCTGAACTTCGTCTTCTGGTCGACTGTCACAGAAAGTGCGGTTAACCAACAGAGATCCGGGACCTTCTCCGGTGACCACCGGTCGATTCCGGGTGTTTCTGAGAGCGGAAACCCGGTAAACCCCGGTGGCCAGCCTCTGACCTACCTCGGCCATTTTGCCGACAACGAGTCGGCTAAATTCATGACGCGGCATCCGGAAAGGCTACGTCATTAACGAGGACCAATAGGAGTCCGTTTTTTACAGGAAGTATATATCACGCCTAACCAATTGGACCAATCATTTCAGACGGCAGCGATAGTTACGTAGTGTTATGAAATGTCAATCTTTTATGATCGACTTTTACGGAAAAAAAGGGAGCCATACAACAGGTTGAAGTTTGACGTGGATTGCAAGGTATATCTAGTAATAATAGCCGTAAAACTTAAAGACACCAGTTTAAAACACCTTATTTTAAGATGATATATTCCGAACCTTCTGGGAAAGACTATATGGATGTCCGAGCCTCTACAGTTAACATTAGCCTAAATATCCTTTAATTGAATACTTTTTGTGTTTCTGGCAAATAATTAATTAATTTACTTTTCTTTAATTTCATTAATTATTGCTTTTTTATTATTAATTATGTAAGAACGATATGCATTCTTAGATTGAAATAATGTGTTAACTAAATATTAAAATAATGTAACGCATATGTACTTGGGCGCTCACAGGGTGGCGACAAACGCGTCTGTTTGAACTGTGTTGCTTTCAAGTCAACGAAGAAGTCGTTTTTACGTCGCACACGTGTGACGTCATTGGTTTTCACGTGTGGACCGTGGGCTATCACAACATTTAGCTTGTTCACGAACGGATATTACACGTTCACTCTTCATCTTTAGATAGCGACCCACACACCAGGACAACCATGACCTCCAGCTGCCGACGGCCCGAACACACGGCTCCTCCAGATGTGGTCAGTGACGTGGTTTATTGTGGTGTTTCGCTGCTAACGATAGCAGCTGTAGCACTTTCGAGCTAACCAACGTAATAATATATCAATATTTTAACGAGGAACTGTATACTTGTTGACTAAACAGTAAGCTTACCATCGTTACTCGGTTGTTACTGTGTTGTGATTAACTATTTTGCTGGTTTTCCGTATTTGTGATGTAAATAAACAAGAGGCACAATCAGGGGCCACAGTGAAGCCAGCAGACAGATGTTTCCATTGAGTGTTGACGAATTGATCTGATCTCATCCCCGCAGTACTACAATGAAGCCGAAGCAAAGAAATACTCTCAGAAGTGAGTGTTTGTTATGATCTCTGTGTTTGTCGGACACAAATATAGTTGAGTCTCTGAAGCCTTTGTGTGTTCTGTTGCCTCGCAGCTCCCGAATGATTGAGATCCAGACCCAGATGTCAGAGAGAGCTGTAGAGCTCCTAAACCTGCCGGAGGGACAGCCGTGTTTCCTGCTAGATGTGGGGTGAGGGAGTAATACTTACTCTGTTTACATGAATTATACTGTTAAACGTGACTAAATTGATTAATATGACTAAGCATTGTCTAAAAATGATGTGCATTGTTTATCATTAAAGAAAAGGTTACTTTTGCTTAATTTTGCTGTGTTAATGCTAATCCATCTTTTAGATGAGACACACACATTCTGAATGTATTTCGATGTGTAATTGAAAAATGAACTTCTTGCCACTTGTTAGAAACACCGCTGTATATACAGTGAGTGAGGATTGTAATGGTCTCCCGTTACTTTAAAATAAGGCGTTGTGAGAAAAATATAATCTTGTGCGTTTCTGACTCTAAGGTGACAACGATCTGTTCTGTCTCTCAGGTGCGGCTCTGGTCTCAGTGGAGACTTCCTGTCAGAGGAGGGACACTTTTGGGTTGGGGTGGACATCAGCACTGCCATGCTGGGTCAGTTATATACATTGCTTTCCTTAATTTGTAAAACAAATAAGAACACAAATCATCATATCATTATTGGTGAATCTCCAATAAACGTTTGTCTTGTTCAATGAGATGAATCACAAATTTTAAAACATTTCTGAAACACTGATCAACTCGCGTTATCTCTGACAGATGTTGCACTGGACAGAGAAGTAGAGGGAGACCTCTTAGTGGGGGACATGGGTCACGGGATGCCTTTCAGACCCGGGACCTTTGACGGTTGTATCAGGTGACCAACAGAACATGCTTATGCTGAAAATACAGACATTTAAGAAAACCTATGACTCTGTTATTCATTTCCTTTTGCTTCACTCCCTGTTAGCATCTCCGCTCTGCAGTGGCTCTGTAATGCCGACAAGAGGACACACAGTCCTCCTAAAAGACTGTACACCTTCTTTAGTACTCTCTACTCTTCTTTGGTACGGTCTTATCACTCCCGTTCCCTTCTTCAACTATTTAAGCATCAAGATTCCATATCATATTCTGATGCTTATTCCTCCTCACTCTTTTTGTCTTTCAGTCAAGAGGCTCACGTGCAGTTTTCCAGCTTTATCCAGAGAACTCCGAGCAGGTGAAACAACGTTGTCCATTATGGATTTAAAACCAGATGTTTTCTACAGATTGATTAAATTTGTCTTCTTTTTTCCTCCTAAGCTTGAGCTGATTACAACGCAGGCCATGCGGGCAGGCTTCGGTGGAGGCATGGTGGTGGATTACCCCAACAGCAGCAAGGCTAAAAAGTCAGTAGCGATGATAAAAGCTGGGCTTTCAATTATGACGTGTGCAGCTGCAGCCGTGTGCAAATGATTCTTTCTTAATGGCCTGTGAAATCAGCAGGAGAGTACTTGCAACCGCAGGTTCATTAGAGCACAATGACATTTATGTTAACTAAACGGTCACATTAACGATGTGATGAATTATCACAAATTAAAATGGTCAGTCTGATTTACTCAATCAATTACACACATCTTGTTTGATTCCAGGTTCTTCCTGTGTCTGTTTGCCGGAGTAACAGGAGTCCTTCCCAAAGTGAGAATGAGAGGAGTTGGATTTAGTGGTGATGTGTGCATTTTATTTAGCTACTAGATGACCACTGTTATCTGTTTGTTGTTTTCAGGGGTTGGGAACAGAAGCCTCAGACAGAGGTGTTCCAAACCAGGTCCAGTATTCAGGACAAAGGTGGTATTATTATTATTATTATTTGGATGTTTAACTGAAGCTGTTTACGTGGTTGGAAGAGTTTGTTTGTCCCAAGACTTCCTCTATATTTATTTTTTTGTCGATTTTATTCAGAAATATGCAGTATGCGTCACATGATGATTTTTAAAAAATATTAAAAATTTCGTGCTTTTTTCTCTAGCTTATTACTAGACATTTGTCACTTTAGCTTAGTGATGAATTATCACAAATATAAATGGTTGGTCTGATTTACTCACACGCTGGATATGATAAGTAATACTCTGCGTTACTTGTGCAGCACACTCGACTTGGATAATGTGAAATATCTCTATTAGTTTGTGTTAACAGCCATTTAAAAACAGGTCTTGGCCCTCATTCTTGCAGTTCCAGTCGTACCTGCTTTGATGAAGCCAAAGGACCGAGATAAATGTGAAAAGGGTCGTTGTCCTGTCCAACTTAAAACCCTGTCCGGCAGCTTTTCCTCCCTTTTACAAAGTAACGCTCCCTCCTGGTTGCACAAAGTGACTGGATGTGTGAAACCTTCAGCATGTGTGTTGTCACACGAGGTGCATTATAAGTACGCTAATCAACCACCATTTGTTTTTTGTGAAGATGTCGGTTCAAAAACATGAAGGGGAAATCGGTGAAGAAGGGACGAGATTGGGTCGTTGAGAAGAAGGAGAGGAGGAGAAGGCAGGGACGGTGCGTACAGATAACTACTCCTGTGTTTTAAAACAAATATTTGAATTGTCTTGTGCTGAATCCGTATGCTCCCAAGTTTAGCTTTAGGCTGTAACACTTGCTGAGAACCTCTTCTCTCTCTGCTGCGTTCTGCTTGTCCTGCAGGGAGGTTCGAGCCGACACAAAATACACCGGACGTCACAGAAGACCTCATTTCTAAGTGACTCATGCAGCTGTGCCTTCATTAACTCTGCACACAATCTCCCCTCGAGCTCCTCGAGTGTTTGGATTCAAACTCTTCAATCCAAGGGAAAGAGATGAAACCGTAAAATGCTGTAATGATCAATCATTTTCTACATTTGGTTGAGTGTGTGGCAGTTTGCACAGATTGCACTCTCCATGTTCATACGTCTTCATGTTGGTCGGGAAGCATGGACAGAATTCCGTACTGCTCACAGTGGAGACAGAGTTGGCATGGACAGCACCAACTATGTCAAAGGATTCTTTTCATAAATAATAATAATAATAATCTTTTTCTGATCGGTTTTAATTAAAAAATCTACAAAAATAGATTTGTATTTACTGTTTTTTCAGAAGCAGTTGAATTAATGACTTCAATGAATGCAGCACAGTTCCAGAAATCTTGTTACAAATGTTACAAAATGAGACACCATGAGACGATGCCATGGAAATACTGACGGTTCACTACATTATTGGAGGTTTCTAAATGGCAGAGTCCATATCTAGAAAATAGACCTCGCTCATAAGGGGAAAGGAAACTAATTTAACTTCCAATTAAGATTTGATGACGCGTTGCTGCCGGAGCGTCACAAAATGCTTTTGGGAAAAACGTATTTTTGATGGTTTATGTAGATTGTTATCAGCAGAGTGCTCATAATACCTACTGTTTAGCATAATGAATAAATCTACTCTGGAAGAGGTATTTCCTTTGTTTAGTAAGAGAACCCTAAAATATACTACATTTACATCCTGTAAATTCATCTCAAAAAGGGAAAAAAACAAAGGAACTCAACTATATATTTTTTTGTATTTATAAAAGCAACTCTTGACACATTTGTAAGCGTTTTTGCATTAAAATCCTAAATGAATCGTGAAGTCTTTGGCCTCTTGCTGCTGTGCGCCGCGTGCGGCCGGCAGAGGGCGCTGTGCGCCCCGCCGCCCTCGACCAGCTGGGCGTTATCTCCCCACCAGCTCGGTGGAAAATCAAATCCACCAGTTTCACCAGTCGGTCGGTGCTGCTTCAGCTGGAAGCTTCTCGTCCCTCCAGCGCTGAAAAAATCACAGACTGACTTTAACGGCGCGAAAAGAGAAAACTTACAGAGAAAGAGGCTCGTTTAAAAAATAAAAAAAGAGGCGGGTCAATTAGCGGAGATTGAGGAGGAAGTCGCAGGTGCGGAATGGGTTAACGGAGAAAGGCCTCGCCTCACCTTTAGTGCGCGTCACCCGGCTCCGTGAAGTGGTCCAACCACCCAAACTAAAGTGCACAAATCGCCTCCTCTCGCCAGACGCGCGCCGTCGCCTCGTGTCGGTCTCCGCCCGCCGCTCCATCACCACACACGCGCGCGCACACACACACACACACACACACACACACACACACACACGCGCGCGCGCAGTGAGAGTGATCTACCGGAACCATGAAGGACCGCATGCAAGAACTTAAACACGTAAGTTACGGTTTGATTCGTGTGGATGGTCCTCTTTGACCTGCTCTGTGAACGTGCGCTCGTTGAGCAACAGTTGTGACTCTGCGCGGTGTGATGGAGGCTACGGTGTGTTTTTATTCCATTGCACCCGATGGCATATTCCAAGCGAAGAATCACTTGCCTGTTGGCGACTACTAATATCTCGGGACTCGAGAGGGAGATCAGAGTATCCGACATCCTTTACTTAAAGATATCTCATCTCCTACGGGTCGTTAATTAAATAGGCAATGATGACACTCCGCATTGCTCTTTGGATTCAGAATGTAAAGTGTACAGAAGTGAGATCAGATCCACATCGCGTGTGCATGTGTGGTTTGATCGATCGGGTGTCTGATTTAAAATGGTAAATTGCTCCCCGCTCGCCTGTTTCACGCGTTGGATGATCTCTCTCTCTCATCCTCACCGAACCGTAAAGCACCGACGTCGAGCACAATGATTTTCCTCACGTTTTCCATTGCATGTTACGGATGCATGTGCAAACAGCCATGTGCTGCAATACGACTTGATTTAAATGAAATCGGACCGAATAGCAACCCTCAATTCTTCATCCACCAAATAGAAAAATACAGCCGAATCGTTGGAATTGACATCAAACCCCTTAAGACCGGGATGATGCTTGACAGATAACGTTCGTGTAAGTGAGAGGTGAGATAAAGTGTCCACGGCTTGCCACACTCAATCTTCCTCATCAGCTTCAGAGAGAAACCAATATCCAACTAAACTGTCCAGCAACAACACGTTAACTGCGATGTCCGCTTCAACATCTGGTTTTATTTTGTTATTTGTCATCTTTGTTATCTGAGAAATTGTGCACAGCCGGACCAACGACAGGCAACCCAGGGCGAATAAAACAGAAGCAAATTGCACGTCACAGACGTTCAGATCAGCACTAGATTAATATTCTTTTTAATTTAAAGGTTAATGCAACTACTTCAGCCTCGCGTCCATGTCTCAGTGGGCCTGGACGGCATATCCGAACAGCACACCTTTGGATGCGCAGTGTCGTGTAGTTGTGTGACATCTCTGCACTGACCAATTGTACAAATTGAAAAATGTTCAATTTACAAAACAAGAAAGTATTAAATGCTCACATTTTTAGAACAGCTGATGTTGTTGTACAATTTACCAACTGGAAATCAAACCTTTTGAGCAGCAGCTCCTCATCAAATTCGGATGTGCCATCTGATACTGATGCACCTGTTGCATCCGTGTATTGTTTTCATGTTTGCATTGGTTCAATTTTTGATCAGTCAATGTTTTGCTGCCTGATCTCAGCCCAAAGTAAAATGCTCATGGAGTCCCCCCCCTCCCCACTCACTGCGTCCCGTCACTCCCCGGCGGCAAAGCAGTGATTTGGTGACAGATGGTGCTGATAAGATCCGTTTGTCAGGCGTCTTTAAACTCTGAAACCTAAAAGAGGGGAAAACATAATGATGAGGATATTACACATTTTACACATCACACTTTTACCAATCATATACAATTTCTTTTCTTCTTTTTTTCTGACATTTTATAGTTATAAATTCATGGTTATTGATGATCTCCATCTCTTTTTAATAATACGGTTCTCTTTTCTTTCATCGCCTCGGCGAGTCGACTTCCTCCCTTATTACTCTTTGCTCTGTTCCTGTCAGTGACCGATCTATCAGAGTCCTCTCTTCCACTTTCCCGTCTCTCGTCTTTCCAGCCTTTCAGTTTAGTTTGTTCAGGCAGAACGATTTCACCTTTTGACCTACAGTTTATTAAAATAAAACATGAGGTTTTTTTTGCTTGATAGATAAACGTTGTCCTCCACAGCAGTGCTCCTGCTTCATTTAGACTGTGTGTGTGTTTGTGTGTGTGTGGCGTCTGGTGTCAGAGTGACACATGAACTAACGGGATGAACGTGGAGTTTATTTTTCCTTTCATCGTGCTTTCTTTCTTTCTCTGCTGGCATCCTTGACCTGACGTCGGCTGTTGACACTTTGTCAGTGACACAAACAGCGAGTTTTAAGCCCCTGCAAGTGGCTCCTGAAGCAGCAGCTTTGTGCTGCGCAGATGTTTACTTTATCCCTGTGAGTTCAGAGGTGGAGAGAATCAAGCAGCACCAATGTGTCCCGTCATTGTTGTCGCTACACAGGAGCATTATTGCACATTGTTCCACACATGGAGGGGTAACTGCATTAATGAGCCATGAAATGAGCGTGAGCAATCTGGCATTTCACCAGGGGATTTGTCCGTCTGGCAAATCCGGTGACGAGGCTCATATTTTTATGAGATTTCTTCTTCCTGTTTTTATGTACCCATTAATTCGGTGCCCGTTCTTGCGTTTCTCATAAAGAAGAACAGGGTCCTGGGGCATCAGCAAATGGAAATCTTGATAATGAATAAAAAAAGATTCCGTAATCACACCTTCCCCATCTACTGTGGGATAATTAGCTTTAGGTCATCTTTGTTACCGCTGCTGAAATTGAATTTGTAATATGCCGAATTCCCCTTTCACGTCCTCTTATTGCAGCAGAGGGGTTGTTAAGCGGCGCAGATAACGGCTTTTATCATGATACGTGTTGGAGAAAAGGCCCTGAAGTGTAACTGAAATCCTCCGGCTCTGTCCGTCTTTGTCAGGTGATAGTCCCCCCCCCTTCCTCCCCAACCTCCCCCTCACCCCACACACACATTGTCAGTTCCCATCAAGATAATGGTTTAGGTTAATAGCCTACTTTTTTGCCTCTTGGGGAGAAGTGGAAGCCATGAACATTATAATTACGTCTCATCACCTTTTTAAGTTGATATTACAAACTTGTTAGCGAACAGTTTTTAATTAACACTTCCAGCCACATCATTTTGAAGTTGTGCTTCTAGCTACCAGGTAGATTTAGGCCAAAATATTCACCCTCTCTCAGCTTCACGTCTTCTAGCTCCACCAATTACTGGGAGGAGTATCTGACTCTTCAGATAAAGCTCCCCTGAGTTCAGCAGCCTCTCGTTAGCCGTGTCGGGCTGCAGTTCGGTGCGAGCAGCTAACCTTTAGAACCTTTCCGCTGAAAACATCCGCCTGTTGTGGCAAAAACACAAACCCAGAGCTAAAACATTGCATTGATTAATCGATCAGTCCAATGACCGACGATTATTCAACAAACTTTTGACAGACGATTGATTTGTTTTTTTAAGGGAGTTTTCAGGTAAATAATTCTTCTGAAATAGAAGACGTTTTTAGAATTTATATCATAGAAAATGTAATATATTGTCTGACATTTTAAAAACAAAAAAATTGAAATTACGCCACAATGAAAACTGGTTTATTACATATACATATTTCTTCTAATTGTGTATCTCCGTCTTTCCACCTTTTTTGTTTTTGGATTTCTTTCTTGGATTTCCTCTGGATTTTTCTTCTTCGGGCTCTTTCATCTCTCCCGCATGCTGCCGGGATTCTCCCATTCCTACACTTCCCTCTCTGTTACATTTCCCCCATATCTACAATATAATTGTATTGATGTGTCGCACTGCTGCTGTCATGATCCTTCATGGTCAGTGAGATTCTCTGAATACACCCCACAGGGTATATTATATATATATATATAAATATATATTATATGAAGTCATGAGGAGAGATGGGGGGGATAAAGTGGTCAGAGCGCATCTCTTTGCCTGTGATCTGTCTTTAATGTTAAACTGAAGCTTTGACATCCTCTCATCCCGTCCACACTGACCGACCACCCACAGTACCGACACACCTGTAGTTTGTGTTATAGGAAGAGCCTTAACCGCTCGTCATTTATGTATTCATATCCAAACCCATCGGCCAATTACGTTACGCTAAATGGTGGATGCTTACTTCCAAACATGGAAGCAGGCATCCACCATTTAGTCTGAAAGGTCAGCAATTTATTCTGACTCCCTGCAGAAATCTAGCCTAAGGTTGATTATTGTTTGCCTTTTGAAAGATACACTAATATCATAGATATCATATCAATTATCATATAATTCATTATTTCACCGTTTTTATACCGTGGCAGTTCCGAAATTACTTTTTAGGCTTCTTTGAATGGCATCGCTTTGAACGTTTCACTGGTAAAGGTCAAAAAGATGTGAGGGAGGCCGATGGCAGACGGGAATAAAGGACGGCGGAAAGTGGGAGCGAAAGAGGATTAAAATGTGCATTAAGAGGAACTGATGAGGGAAAGATTGCGCATATCTGCTTGCAATATTCAGCACAGTAAGGTGTTTCTCTGAGGAAAATAAGACCGACACAATATAAATACATCAGCTTGGCCGAATAAATGACTGTTGACCTCGTCTCGTGGAGGGATAATGAGACTCTAAAGAAGAAAGGTGGAGACCAAGACAAAGGTAACGGAGTTCATGCTGTGTGGCCCAGCTAATGATTCTGTAGTGAAGCTGAAGTCTGGAGGAAGGAGGGGGAGAGAGGAGGCGGCGAGAGAATGACAGACAGGGAGAAGGAGAAAGAAAAGGGAAGATGATTAAAGGGGGAGGACGTTGAGGAGGATTGTTACGAAAAAGGAAATTGTTGCCCGTGCACACACGACGGCAGCCCTTCATCTCTCCTGCCACCCGTATATTCTTCCTCGCCGTGTGACGGCGGCTGAACTGAGCGGCTGTTGATGCAAAGCAGCAAACTAGATGTGTGTTTATTGAACAAATCTCATGTAAAAAAAACAACAGGAAAATGATGCAGTCAAGTGGCCTCTTTAACAATGGACGTTCACAATAAAGCGATTTACTCCCAAATCTGAAACTCTTATAGCGTGACTATATTTCCATTATTGTCCTACTTCATTTTGCAACTGTCCTTGGGTTCATGTCTGGGTCGGTCTATGTTTTCTTTGTTTGGGGAAGTAAAGTAGGAGCTTTGTCATGGACGTTCACAAGTGTCACTATGAAACTTCCCCAGTTGATTACTCTTAGGAAGACAAATTGTTTTTAATATTGGTCAGAGTCAAAGGTTTTTAGAGAGGTAATTTTGAATAACAGCAACAGCGATGAACAAAACTCCTCAAGATATGTATTTTAAAATCCTGTACATTGTGAAGACACTGCAGGTAAATTAGTTGATACAAATGCACAATTACATGAAACTTCCCTGAAGTGGATTAGTAACATCATTTATTACTATTTTCATTTTTGAAGAACAAACCCCTGAATGTGTCTCTTTAATGTATCTTTTAACTAATTAAAAAGACCACGTTATGAAAGCAAAACAAAAAGCGTTGATTTGTATTTTTACTAGAAAGTCATCCACATCCGTGCATCAATCCAATCAGCTTCGGCGGCCATTGTTTTCTTTCCAGCTGAATACATCTGCAAACATTCACACCGGCCATCTGTGTTCGCCCCGACACAAATACGGGGGCTTGTTCCTTCCTTTCGAGGACTCTGTGGTGTTATCAGCAATGTGGAAGGAGCGGACTGACTTTTACATTTGGCTGCCTCAATCCATCCCGTCGTCAATCACGCGGCTGCTCGTGTAATTATCCCGTCTCAATAGCCCTCCCTGTGTCCTCCTCCCCCATCAGCTAGTCATTTACTCAGGAAGCTGCTCAGTCGCCCGGCCAGCCGGTCGCTCGCAGGCCGCCGCGTTGATGGGCTGCGACCGTTTCGCTGTCAGAATCAGCTCCGCGCCACACACGCTCCTTTTAATTATAAACGTCACACTCGTACGTGGTCAGATTTTTTAATGAATATACGTAATAATTGTAGTATTTGTTTAAAACGTAAAAATAATGGACAGTATCAACATAATGTGACTGCGTTGATGCTACTGAATTGTGTTGCAGAGATATGCGCTGAATACATTCTCTGTGTGTGATGTTACTGCGAGCTGGTCCTGCGTGTTTACAGACTGTATCCACACTAGAGATTGTTCAGCCTGTTTGCAGACGCCAGCTTGAGCATGGGAGCAGGTGATATCATTGTATTCCTTTTAGTGTGTGTGTGTGTATTCCTTTTAGTGTTGTGTGTGTGTGTGTGTGTGTGTGTGTGTGTGAGAGGAGAAGAGTGGTTTGAGGTTAAGACTTGGCTGTAGAAAAAAAGTAAAATAATTCACTTACTGCCTCGTATTGGATTAAGATATTTGACTTCCAACCTTACAAGCATTCTGGTGTGTGTGCAAATGCAAACCTTGTCCGTAAGAATTACATAAAAGAAATAACAATAAAAGAGTGACTTGTCTTTCCGTAAACTATTTTTCTCTGCAACTTTTGCACAGATACACAGAAACCGATCATTTTGTGTTAAAACATGAACAAGACGCACATTTTGTTGTTGTATACAGTACAACAATAAACGTGTGCATTGCAATGAAAGCACAAGTACATTGCTCGTATGTTTTGATTTGTCTTCTGTAGGAAACATGAATATTCTATCAAGTATGTGTGTGTATTTGAGTCAGCACACGTCCGTAATGAATGCCACCTAGCAGTATTATGATAATAAATCTGGTTATGCTTTCAGTGCTCCTCTGTGCAGCTGACACAGATTTCTATGAGTCATGTCTAATGGGACTGCAGGAAGCTGCTTGAATTGGCTGTAATACAAAGACACAGGAAACCCATCTGCTTTTTGCTCAAAGGGACAATAAAGTACTGCATCTTACTGCTCTCCTCTCTTACTTTTAACATCGTCTCGTATCTTACGTACAATCCCACTTGCTGTGGCAGCCGGGGATTCTGCAGCCTGCGTGCGAGAACTATTTTGTATATCTCGCTCTCTCGCTCGGGAACAATGTTTCCTGCTCCTGCTGTTTACACTGGATTCGCTGCCTTTTGTCTCTACGGAGCGACTCCCTGCCCGGCCCGGTGCCCAGAACAACTCTCCAATCTAATAACCGGCCTAACCGGGACGCTGCGTCTGCCGGGGTGTTTCACACGAGTGTGAGCCCCAGAGGAAGGTTGAATTGAAGGGTTATGGGCTAATGGGGACCGTCTTGTACGGGGCCCCCGATCTCTCTGTGTGATGACCGTCTGTTGTGCTCTGTGTTATCGGCCCGTCGGCTGTTGTGGCCGGGAGCATCTGCTGCGCGCCGACGGCCAAGTCAAAGTCTGTGGGCCTGCGAGTCGAGAGCGGCGGCATTAAAGTCCTCCCCCGGCGTCCACGTGGGCCGGCAGGGGTTTCGGGTTTCAGATCAGGGGTGGGAGGTGGAGGTGGAGGTCTCAGTCTTCTCCCCTCACGACCACTCAAAGAAGAAAATCAGACCAGAGCTCTGCCCTCTGTGCAGGAGATGCAGCGTCTCTCTGCGGAGGTGGAGCAAATTGCTTTGTGCTTTTGAAGCTATATTCTGATTCCCTGCTCGTTGTCATCCTTCTCTGCCTCCCGCTGATGTCTGCAGCTCCTCAAATGCACCTCATCGCCATACCAACACAAGGCCATTTTTTATTAATACCACGGGGAGGAATTTTTCACCACTCCGAGATGACGACACCCACCCTGTTTACAGTTGTCATGACAGTTGAGCACAATAATGCAGATTAAGAGTCCTGAGGCTGTTCGTTGTCTTGGACTGAATCCTTCAATCTGCAAAAACGACGAGAGCATCAGTTTTTCCTGGATTAAATATAGTTTGAGTGGGTTCAGATCATATTTGGGCTATTAGACCACTGTGGCGCTGCGTTCCACTCACCTGTAGTTTGTGCCAAAGGCCTCGCTATCTCTGGCTGAAGTCTGTCCTCTAAGACATTATCTCTGAAGAACTGATTCCTCTCCTCGTGTCTTTCTCCCTCATTTCTTCCCACCTTTTGGCACATGACCAACAACACGGGGTTAGTGAGAGGGGTTAGCCATAGAAAATGAACACTGAGCAATAGTTGTTTTAATACTTGAAATGTCATAAGTGAGCCGATCTGGCCTTCCACCTTTACCATGCATCAGTAAGCTATAGTTTTGCCTGTGATGGACCTGCTAGTTTTTGATGAGATTCTGTTGTACTTTCTTAAACGAAAGGATGCAATTATTATTTTTTTCATTATCCATTCATTAGCAGATTCCTCTCTCCTTTCGTGGGGATGGGAATAATGCGCCATTTCAATCAGAGAAAGCAGAAAACATGGATTGACTTGACATGGATTTCATAGGCCGCTAATGGGGAAATTAATTAATTTGACAGGGTAGATGATTGAAATGACGCCACATGAGATGGCAGCTAATATAGTGAAATGGCTGATATGTGATAAGAAATATGCACATATTTCAGGATAAATATAATGTTTGAAACATGAAGCATTTTCCGATCAACGAGCTGAAATGTTGTGGTTTACATTTTTTATGTTAAAAACTCTAAAGCCCTAATGAGTTATTTTTGTGACAATAAAAATCCATTTCAAGTTGTTAGCTTGAGTGAGAAATTGAAAAGCTACATATTTTAACCTTTTACAAATTACAATAAGTGCCTTATTTGGCGAAACATTTCAGACTTTGCTTATGTAAATACACCATTTAGCCAGAAAACACTTCAAACCAGCCAGTCGCAAAAGCAGATTCCACTTGTGTTTTTCCTTTGATACTGAGATATTTTCTTGCTTGTATTTGTTGCAATACATTTTTGGGCATTTGGAGATATGTTTACTTTCTTACAAAGGTAAACTGTATTTTGCTTTTAGCTTTAACTTTTAGTAACACACCATCATGTTAAGCTCAGCTAACCTAACCATCTTGTAGCTGTCGCTTCAAATTCAACAGAAAAATGAGACAGTTTCTGTATTTCTCATCTACATCAAATAGGAGTATATCCCAAAACATTCTTTTGAGCTGAAACACTGTGTACATGTCTGAGCTAGTTTTACAGTGTGCAGGCTGGAGTGTGTGAAAGTAAAGGCTTTCTCTGCCCCCATGCGGGTCCTAATCCAATAGTAAATTGATAATCACTCAACCTGTGGTTCTGAACTTGGCATTAAATGGTCCAATGCATGTGAACCAATATGTCTTACGTTTGACATTGTAATGTTCATTGATTTCCCTTCCAGCTGTTTGAAATCATTGTTATTGTATGTGCGTTTGTCAAGGGGAAGGAAACAGCCGAGGAGGAGGATGAAGTCGCTGTGGGGATGGACAAAGGATTCATGGACGAATTCTTTGAACAGGTTTGTCTCTTTAACAGTCCTAATCGTTCCTTCTTCTTCTTGTCTCGTCTACTGGTAGCGAATCTAATCATGTTGGCTCATCATCAAAGCTCTGTAATCAATTTCTTTTCAGGGGAGCATTGATATGATTTTATTGCTTTTTGGTGTAGCTTTTGTGGGCCAATTAATCGTGTATTTTATTACATTTGAAAGCCCCTTTATTGATTAAAAAACAAAGCTTTGGCCTCCTTGTCCACCTCTGAAAAACAACATTGGTCAGCTCACTTATTTATTTCCAGCCCCTCCTCTTGCGCTCGACGGATACTGAACACAAGCCTGCATTCGCACAGTTCCCTGTGCACGTAGTGGATTTGTGCTGGAAACCAACTGAACATCGTCATGTCCTCTGAGAGGTGGGGCGGGGGGGCTATTTTTAATGGGCTGCTACACTACTGAACATCTCTCACAGTAAGTGGTTTAGCAAGCAGGATCATGTCTGCATTACTGCTGAACGTGGTTGATGTATTTATTTTTAATAAATGTGGCCAGTTAACTTTATTCCCATCAGCAATTAACGTTGTACAAACACAAGGTTCTTCCTGACTGGAGTGGTTGAATCATCACAGACGGTAGATATGATGCAGTCTTTAACTCTTCTGCCATGTCTTTTACCAGCATCTGACTTGAGCGGTTTACTGCCACACTTTGTGGTGCACAGTGTGTAGGAATGAATCTGCACCATATGTTGTATGTTGATTTCACAGCTTTTGCAGAAGTGTGTGCATGCGTGTGTCTGCAGTAGTAAAGCTACGCTGAGGCTCCAATCGTTATGTAGTCATAAGCTGCAGCCATGAGGGTTTTAATATGTATAAGATTGAAACATGGAATTACTCTGAAATGTATTGGGATATTTAGCTAAACTATTTATACTTGGACGTTTACGATAAAGAATATTACAAATTTTACCCATTGGTGATGAAAATAAATGAGGGGCAGGGTTCTTTTAAAGCCGACATCAACAATAATGTGGCAACAGAAGTCCCGTCTGGCCTCAGCAGTCCAGACGAGTTAGCAAGCTTAAAACCTGGAATTAACACTGTTAGTCGTGTTAAAATGTTTTGTCACAAATCAACATTCCAACAGAAGACTCTAGTTTTACAGGATTCACACAAGACTATGAGCAACATGACCGTTTTCAACAGCTGCCCTGACAACCAACAAACGCATGTCGGCTGCTGCTTGCGAACCCAATAAACTCAAGACGCGGAGCATTTGCAGACGTTCTGTACACGACCACAGAGGAAGTAGTTGGAAGAACTGAATTAGGAGTTAGTGTCATCATTTATTCTTGGTGAAACATGCAAGTTTCTCCACCTAATCCCATGTTCAGTACATCTCGATCTATAACCGCCAACTAGCAGCACACAGATGGTTGCACTTTGGATCTTTGATGACTTCATACCGTTGCATCGCTCGACATGCATTTGCACACACGTTGCACTTCTGTTGCCAGAATGTGAACGGCACCACTGTTTACCCACTGCCAAAGGCGGCGGAGAGATTTTACAGTTACAAAGTCCTTAAAAGAAAGACAACATTCAAACAGTGAGACAACGATGACATGGTTGCTTAATGAAATTGGCATAAACGCCTGCATGTTTGTCTCTACCCCTTCGCGCCACGAGGCTCAACGTGTGCCTCCACAATCCTTCACCAGATGCCAGAATGAAGTTGAGCCCCAGCGAGGTGGATCCTCTGTGGCTTCAGGCCTTCTTATCGTTCTCCTTACCAGAATCAAACTTTTACTTTGGTAGAAAAATAAATAAATAAAATGTTATGACAAAATAGGAAAAAAAGAAATTCATCATTCTGGTTATTTGTACAAGTTTCCAACAAATTACTTGCTGGATACAAGAGTATCTAGTTCATAAAGAAACGTTATAAAATAGGTGAGTGTTTGTGTGTCTCTTTGTTTGTTTCTGCATCTCTGAAACGTTGTTTTCTCCCACTTCAATAAGATTTGCCTTTATGAGGCCTGACAGATTGACTGTGACTCACTAACTCTTGGTCTCTACGCCACGACAACATGAAGTGGTTTCATCTTCTGCTAACTTACCGTCTCTGTCGCTTTCTTCTCCCCATTTCTGTCTCACTCTTACCTTTTCTATTCGCACCTCACCTCTATCTCTCTTACACATTTAACCCTGTACTCACCTCGGTGAGCGTTCTCCTCTCTCCCCAGTGGTCCAATAGGTTGTTATTAAAAAAACGAAAGAAAATGGATTGGAGAGCCAGAGCTGTGAGGAGTTACTGTCAAATAACTGCAGACATGTCGTAGAGGAGAATGATGGGAGAACAAGCTCGATTTGAAGTGCAGAGATGGAGGAAGTGATAGAGGCTGGATGACAGAGCTGACGGTATTAACTGACAGAGTCACTGCCAGATGTGACCTGCTGCTGGTCCAGCTGTTACCTGACAGTGGCAGCAGCACCGCTGGGGATGAGTGTCAAACACAGAGGAGGAACAGTGCGGGATTCACTTTAATGGTTACAATGCTTAAAGGAATAGTGGTAGAAATAGAACGCCATCAAAGATGTTAAGTACAATTGTGAACATCCTTTAGACATCAGTGTTCTCTTTCCTCTTTCTACATGAATATGTCTCTGGGCTTAAAGTCCATAGAAGAAATTCCCCTGATTTTGGAAAGATCCTTACTGGCCTGCACAGACATGACCTCAACCCACCCAAGAGCTCTGAACTGGAACAGCGACAGTGAGCCAGATCTTATCTCTCTGCATCAGACCTCACTAATGCTCTTGTTGCCGAGTGGGAGAAGATCTCTCTGCAGCCGGACGCTCCAAAATCGCTTAGGAAGCTGGAAGCTGTTATAGCAGCAGATCAATGGCCATGGTTTTCAAATGAGACGCACAGCAATCAAATATGGGTGTGACGTTTGCTTATCCGCATAACCAAGTGTAGCGTAGATGCGTCATCTTCTGGTTCTTCTGTGCCGCTACATAGTTCTTTTTCCAGTGTGCAGCCTCATCTGAGCCGCGATTCACACGTTACCCTCCTTCACACCACAAACTACAGGTTGTAAAAGACACTTTCTGAAAATCTAAAATAAACAACTTAATAAACGAGTCATTTTCACAGCATCTCTCCTGTCGGGTGTTGTTGAGTAAAGTGACTTCAAGTATTTGTTTATTTAAATGAAGTGGATGTGGCTTTTATGTTTTTTCCATCATGAATAGCAGCTGTATTTTGATGATGACTATATATTTGTTTGGTAGTTTCATAGATTTTAGTCTGAATATAGTCTGTTTAAAACAGATACAACAAATTTTATTGTACTATATATAATATATAATAAATAAAAATGACGATTGAGCCCAGTTAAACAGGAAAAACATTCTCTTTTCTTTCACGTGAACCTGCTTCCCTCTTCTTTTGTTCCGCCCGTAATACGATAATAACATCTTCAGTTCAGTTTCTATCGACATCACTCAGGATAATCAAGTACTTTGTGCCTCAGCAATGAGGAGATCTAAAGTGTCTCTCCTCTCTCTCTCCCCCCTTATACAGGTGGAGGAGATCCGGGGTTTCATCGAGTCTTTGGCAGAGAAAGTGGAGGAGGTGAAAAGGAAGCACAGCGCCATCCTTGCCTCCCCGAACCCAGATGAGAGTAAGGCTGCTCATCTTTCCATGTCTAACCCTCTTAAACACAATTCAGACCGGAGCTAAAGAAAAATCACCATGCGGGCGTTTCAAAACTCCCAGAAATACTGTTTCCTGATTGTGGCCTACAAGGAACAGGAGGTTACTGAATGTTTAAATCAGCATGAACAGCAGTTTACTCATTTTGACCTCATATTCTCCAGAAATATTTCAAATGACGGTGATTCTCAATTTTGCTGAAAGCCAGTAACCTGCAATAAAATGTCCTGTAACTGTTGAAATATCTGAACAGGCGAATATGTTCTACTCCAGTGAAACGGCACGACACGTTTTGTAGTTTGAAAAAAAAAAAAAGGTTTGGTGAATTTACAGAGAATTAGTGGAAAATTAGTTCTACCTGATAGCTTTGATATATTCATTCAGACGTCTATCTGAAGTCGTACTTAATGTGTTACACAGTAACGGTCGGATCTCGACCTCGTTGAAAGAGGTTCTCTACCACCGTCATCAGTGCATCAAATGAGTTCATTTTGTGCAGAATTTATTTGTTTATTGTGTACAAAGAAGGTTATTTTGTGCAAGCGCTGATGCTTTTTTAATGTATGCTACCCGTTTACGTCTTTAATGATAACCCTTGGATAGTGCATTGACTCAGTAGTGCACGAGAGAAGCTCTTAACGGAAAGCAGAAAGGAAAAAATGACTGTTATCACCATTTGGACTGCTGCTGTGTTACATTCCGGTGAACAAAAGAAAAAAAAGGACTTGATTGTCCATTTCTCTCTACTTTTATGCTCCCCCTCCATTGCCCTTTGGTCCTTTCTTCATCTCTCAGCCTGCTGTCGACACCGTCTCAGTGCATATCTCGTTTCAGCCGAACCATCTTCAATTTTGTTCCGTCTTCTCTCTCTGGTCCCGCATCTCTGTCCTCTCTCACCTCCCCCTCCCTCATTTATGTCAAGGCATTGAACTGGGTCCCCGCGCTCACAAGGGGGATGTCACACATATTAGCAACACCCCCTAATCTCTTTTCCTCCCTGTGATTCCCACCTTCCCACCCACCTGAAGCAGCATCGACCTGCCTGCAGCAGCAGGCACCCGAGCCCTTTAACTGGCATCGTTGTGCTGATGACACACCGAATGGAGCGGCAACTGCATTAGAGATACAGATTCTTCCACAAGTTTTCTCCTTCGTAACAAACCGATGCTCAGTGTGTGTGTGTGTGTGTGTGTGTGTCGGATAAATGCACATCGGATAGCAGCTGATGTGATGGTCAGGGTTATTTATTACATGTTGCATTGTTGCTTGTGCCGTAGACTAGAATCATCAGGGACGCTCCTCTGAGTTTGATATCATAGCTTTGTGATATGTGTTAATCTCCTCTTCCTATAAAATCTAAATAGTTTTTAACCAATTTCCATCAACCAATGTTAGGAAAAATAACACTGCCTTAATTGCATTTTTAAACAAGGAATTGGTCAAAAGAAATATAAATTGTGAGACATTTAACTAAACTAAAGGAAAGGTCAGGAGATCAGGATTCATCATCTGAGCACCCTGAATGCCTTTCTTACTCAACTCCATGGCTGCCCTTCAGATAGTAAAGTAAAGAAAATTCACTGAAAGCCAAAAACCTGCAGTATTGCAAATTAGTGGAGTGACCAACTTAGAAAACAACGACTGACCTCTGACTTAAGATGAGACACAAACTATCGTGTCCGGTGTCAATTTATGTGATTTGTGCGGCCAATCCCCCCCCCCCCCCTCCTCTCCTCCATCTCCTTCGTTTTATATTTGGTGTAATAGCGACTGGTGAATGAGGTTAATAAATTAATATGGTTTGTATAGAAAAATGTTGCAACGGTCTTTCATCATTCTCATAAATATTCAGTTTGGTTTAAAGCCTTTTCCGTCTTTGCTCGTATCATTCTGCATTCTCCCCTGTGGTGACAGTGTCCTGTTCTCTTTCTGTTTCCTCGCATCCAACCCAGCTTGGTCTTCTCCCCGTTGAGTGCGAGTCTCTTCGTCTGTTCACAAGTATTCTTCTCACTGTGGTTTCTCATGTAAGTGCTCCTCTCCTCCCTCTCGCTCTGAAAATAGGCGCAGAGATTCGATTGTGTGATAGTAAGAGGGAGTCTTTCACAACTCACGGTTTATCAGCTTCATAATTACATCACATCCCCCCCCCCCACCTCCATCCCCCACCTGGGCATGTACACAACCCCCACCTCGCCGATCCCCCCCCCCCCCCCCCCTCCGTCCCCCCATCTGCTGGGTTAGCTCAGCTTTTGGTGTTTGCTGACTGAGCCGTTTCCTGTCGAGCTCCAGGGGGTTCGTCCACTGGCACGGCCCGTATCAACACACGCACGCACAAATACCGCACAAACACTGACACGCTGGCACCTCACCTTCGCTCAGCGCGTTACACGTTATCCCATCTCGCGTCTACTTACCACGCCGCTAAATGAAGTATAGCGAATGGCAAAATACATTGTGTGTGTGTTTGCTTGTTTTCACTTGCTATTTGTGTGATTGTGTGGGCTGTGCTCAGCATCTGTGTACAGTAGTACGTTCAATAATGATGATAGATTAGGTAATAGCCATTAGGTCATAATGGGTATTGAACCTGGACTCCTTCATGAGGAAATTCCTCTAATGCAGGAAGGGAAGACACAAATGCATTTTAAATTTAGAAGCATGATTGAAGTCAAAATGCCTATTAAATATAGCATTATTTGTTTTGTTTTCTAGAATTGTTTATTGGCGTGGTGCAGTGCTACTTCTCGTTATTCTCGATCGACAACAACAACAACAACAGTTTAAAACTGTTTTAAAAGTTTTAAAACTGGCTCCCAAAGAGGGTGAGGTCTGAAAGGTTTGATCTTTCACCACTGCTTCTTTAGTTAGAGGTTAGATATCTATCATCAGTCCATGTTGGAATAAATTGTAGTTTAATCTGTTTTGTAGCAGAGGACGACACAAATGGTCAGATTTGAGATTTGGTTGAGTTAATATTCTACTTTCTCTGTAAAATCTGCCGTCCCATGTGTGTTAGAGGGGTCAGAGACTATTTACATCCAAGGGCTTTGGCTGGGTATCAGTGCTGGCTTTCCATCCGTATTCTTTTAGTCCGAGACAAAGACAGAAAATGAATTGTTTTGAATCCTTTTGTATTAAGAAAATGCCTTTTGTGTTATTTATTTTATTTCTTAACAGTCTAGCTTATTTTGTCATTTTACAAACTACAGGGTGTTATTCATTTGAAGAAGCTGAATAATTCACACTCGAGGGACAGTTTTGGATTCTATATTCAGCCTTGTATGTTTGTCTTTGGATTGTCGGAGGAAACCAAACATGAGCAGTGATCATGAAAGATTTATCCCAGTGCAACAGCTGTGCCTCCCTGGTCCGTGCATTAAAACTATTGACACAAGCTGCCTGCATTATCACCTTGCAATGCTGCTCTAATTACTTATAGAGGAAGTAAAAACCAATGGAAAACAAACTGAAAACCAGCCGTGGAGTAAGCAGTAAGATTAATCTTTTCTGTCAGCACTTCTGACTACAGACTGAGTGTTAAGAAACTCTCCAAATAAGTGTAAAGCAAACTGTATGTGAGCTTGAAGATACATTAAAGGCTCATTTGCTTTCATCCTTGTAACTGATAATGATACAGGTTTATTTTCAGTCTGTTTTTCAAACGGCTTACTGTTTGCTCCCTCTGACGTCCACAGCCTCCCGTTTCTTTCCTCCGACTCTTTAACCTGTAGCTCTGCAGATGCTCATTTTAATTGCTTGTTTTTGGAGTGTTTCTATTTCGAGCATCAGTTTTGGGTGGAGGGTGTTCCCACCCTGTTTGCCAAAGCTCCTCCACCCTCTGCCCACACGTTAGAGTTGTGGTTTTCCCTTCACTGTTCTTCTACCTTCTGATTTCTCTCTTTCTACCCTTTATCTTTCTCCATTTCTTTCTCATTAGCATTATGTCTGAGCGGATGTTAGTCTTTGAAGACAGAGTTTCATCTTGTGGAATTCTAATATCGCAACACAACGAGAACTGTCAGACACGGCTCAGGACACAAGCACATTTATGGACATAAAAGAGGTCAACGCTAGTGAGATAAATCACTTTAACGGCCCTCTGTGCTCCTGACCCCTGAGCCAGCGAGGGGAGAGTGAGGTCAATGCTCTTATCTAGATGGAAATGTCTCGTGTTGACGGGCAGGAGGAGGTTTCAGAGGCACAGTAGCACTCAAATGTTTTCATCTTTATGTGGTAGAGTTCCGTCACCGTTTTCTGTTTGACAGAGGTGTCGAGCCTCGTTGTATGAGTTTCATTGTGCCTCTCCAGCGTTCCCCCGACCATTATAACGGTATAATGAAATGAAAATGTGTTTTTTTCCCCCTCACACAGCAGTTTCAAAGCACCGACAGGCCCGCGAATATGTCTGTATATGCGTGAACGTGGCGTCGCATCAACGGACTGACTGCGCCCCCCCCACGCGCGCCCCCCGAAGTTGTAAACCCAGGGGAAACACTGCTCTCTGACTTCATCCTGTATTCCAGCAGTAAGGCAAAGATCAGTAATGTTTGAGGGATGAGCTCACATCTGAAACATCAGACAACTGGACTCTAGACGATCAATAACCGGCACAAACACACACACACGAAGGACAGGTAATATATTTACAGAGCGAAGACCATGAATACCTGCAAGTTAGTGGTTAGCAATTGACCCTGAGTTCCAGCGGAGGAAACAGAAGTGGCTCTGTGTCTCGTTATTGTCACAGTACCCCGACATCATACTGACACACGCATGCACGCGCACGCACACACACACACACACACGCACACACACAGTCGATATAATAATAGGAAAACTGATTGCTGATTGTGACACCCAGAAGAAATCTGCATGGTGTTCTTCTACAAGTGGATACATGCTGCTGCTGCTGTGCAGTCTAAGGTGGAGCAGCCGCTTTGGTTAATGGCGTTCATCGCGCTGGCTGTGATACCGAGCTTCAGGTGCAGTGTTAGATTGATGTTACTGCAAAAATGTGACAAATCCACTCTCATCTCTCACTTGGCTGGAGACAAAAACGGCTAAATGTGAGAAACCGTCCACCTGGCTCTGATCACATGTCTTCTTAACGGGTCTTTGACTGATATCAGGAGCATTTAAATCTGCTCAGTTTCACTCCTGGTGGTTGGATTTTGTTTGGTTTGGTCACATTATTACAGATGGTTAAAGACGCATGCAGTGCATGCTTAAGACTACAATTAGTCCGAGGTTTGAGTCGATGTAGGACTTTTGTTGCATTCAAAGGAGAATTCTAGTATTATTTATATTTTCATATAGATAAAAGACCAAAAAAAACACAATTTTGCCTTAGTTCTTAACACCAAGCTATTTGGTTGAGAAAAGGACAGCGATTTTTAACCTAAAGCAACACTTTATCACCATTGTAACTTTTCCTTAAAGATGGATTTATAACATTTTGGAAATAACAGACTTATTTTCTGCTTCCACATTTCTTGCATTTCTTCCTGACTTGCAGCATCTCTTTTCCTTTGCCACTTTGAAACAATCTGTCGGTGGCGAGAGGGCCAACTGCCCACATCGCCATAGCAACGCAGTCTTTATGATGGTAACAAGCGTGACCTGAAGATTTCATTTGAGAGCGTTTGTGAGAGGGATAGTGTGAAGCCAAAGCTCGATTGACTCCTCAGTTTCGCCTTCCAATTTGCTGCTCTCTAACTTCTCCCTCTACTCATTCATCAGTGTCTGCTCACTTCGTCTTTACAGACAGCGTATGATGAGGCTCAATAGACACTTGATGATGCAGGTTGACCGCGGGAGGAAATACACATACCAAACTAGCTTACGGCCTAAAGCTGAGCTCTGTTTTTATGTCATTATCTCTGTAATGCTGGTGCAGCTGACCTCACAGAGCAGGTTAACAGAGGTTGCTATGGTTACACAGAAATGACGAACACTGCTCCATAACCCTTAAACCTCTGTGTGTCTGAAGTTGCGCAAACGTGCACAAGAGGACACAAAGATGAATATTTATAGCAGCGTTACAAAATGATCCATAAATTTAAAGTCCATTCCTTTTAATTTACAAGGAAATAACTAACCCTTGTTTATGCTAAAAGTAAACAGATTCATTTATTCTAAAAGTAAACCGATTACAGTAAACCTGCATTCCTAAACAAGTAATGTGTGATTAATAAATATTTACACTTATTAGGTAACTCCTTGTCTGCTTGCGGACCCAGTCAGAAAACCAGGCTCCATACGGCAGTGTCATCAAACACAAGAAAGAAACATCAATAACATCCTGCCTGGGCTTCCTTGTGGCACCGCAGATTTGACATGTATGAGTTGGATCAGGGACCTTTGATGCATTTCATCCCTCCTTTCTGCCTCTTCATTTCCTGTAATCCCTAAATCTTTCTGTCCAAATGAGTTGGGAGTCGTAGTAGCTGTAGGAGCAGTGATGATCGAGGAGTATGTCCTGTTGAATGAATGACTCACTCACTATGAGACGGTTAGAAGTCTGTTTTTTTATATTTGATTGATTTAGTATGTTCTGTTTATACTGTTTATAGTCGCCTGTTGGCTCTCACACCTGGGTCCGAAAAGCATCCGCTGAAAAAGAAAACGCCATCTGGTGTGGTCTCATTGGAAGGCACATGTCAAGCTTTTCGCTCGTCAATTAACGCCTCGTTCTCATTACCGATTCGTTCAATAGGCACATCACACTTTTAACGTGGTTAAGCTAAAGACCAAAGTTTGGTTCTAAATAACTTTCAGTCATCTGGGTGAAAGTCTTGTGTTTGCTTTAACCCACCCATCCAGTCTGTCCTCCCCTTGTGGACCTTTCACTCTTTATACTGCTTTACTTGACTTTCCAACTTGCTCTGAGCATCTGATATTGTGGCAGTGTCAATTAAATACGATAAACTAAAAATGGCATAACGAGCACATGCAGAATGACTTGAGAAATCGCTGTGTTACCACTGTGATACCCGCTTACGTCTTACCTGTAATTTCATCAGTTAGCACTCTGCATGTGCACCACTTTGTGCCATTAAGCTGTTTGCACCGTAGGCTGATATCTGCTGATATTGAAATATGTTTGTTAAACGGATTAATGTGTCTCATGTTCATGATCTCCACTGAGCTTTTATCGTTTCGTATTATCAAGCTTTTCACAGAATTTCTCCCTGCTATTGTTTGCTATAAGCTGCTGATTAGGATTCATATGACATCTATTATGAATAGAATGATGCCTGATTATAATAGTGGATCTTCCACCACATTCAGTCGGTGCGTGTTTGGGAATTTTCTTGTGGGCTGTTTTTTATTTATTTATCTCAAACTGGAACGACGAGACCTCATATTATGAAAATGTGTAGTTCACCTGTGAAGGAGACAATATGAGTATCACGTCTTTTTGAATCGTCTTACTTTTTACAACATATTTTTTTTAAATTGAAAATCTACCAGAGATTTAAGTCTTCCTGAAATGATGTTGTGAGCTTATGCATCGTGGCTCTGTCTGTAATCAGATGCAGATGTTTGCTATGGTTTCAGTTCAGTCTCTTCTCATATTTGCGATTTATGCAGCTTTGAAGAAGGAGTTATTGTGCAGAAACAGGCTCATTATAGAGAAGTGCTGCAGGCAGTTGGGTTTGATTGAGTGGTCGGACTTTTATGTCTGGTAACTTCCAGGGCTTGTTACCATATGGAGATGTGGCTCACTTAAAGCATTAAGATGATGAATGACTTTCTCGCTGCTTTCAATGTGCTAAAAATGGCAATTAATGCTCCAGGGTTATAGTGCGAAAGAGAGAGAGTGTCTGCGAAAGCCAATTTATTTGACTTTTTTTCCTTCTTCTCTTTATCCAGATATGTTTTGCTCCCCTAGAAAATAAATAGACAACACCACCATACTTTAATGTGTTTATAATTACATTAGTTTCTTCTAAACCATTTATTAAGAGTTTATACATGTTAAATAGATTCATTTGTAACCACATGTGCACCAAAATGAAAATATGTGGAAATATGCTGTCCACATATCTAAGGTGATTGCGGTTTTAGGGACTTGTCGCTCTGTAATCAAGTAAATGACTAAATGTATTGAATTATTATATTGACATGACCACGTGATGGGAATAGCACAATATACACACTGTAGAGCTGTATGTCGATAGATTGAACAGAACACCTGTTCCCTCTTCTCCTCAACACTGACAAAAGGCTTGTATGATCAAATAGGACACAGTTTTAGTCATGAAGGGAAGCACAATGGAATAGTAATGCAAATCTGTTTTTATTTTATGCAATTTCAACGAAAGTTCTTTTTATTGATGTGTGAGACAGGACGTTATTAATCTGCAGAGTAGTTTACTGCCAAATTAACCTAACCTACAACTTTGCAGTGCCATTTCCCACATGTAATAATATGTATAAGTGTGAAATGTGATAATGAAACAGTTGATTGGGAACAGAAGAGAGAGAGAAAAAAGAAGTTTGTCCTAAGCAACGTGTCGTGACAGTCATTTGGAAGGTTGCACTGATGAATGTCTGTGCCTGTGTAAACTCTAATATGGAACATGTTTTTGTGATTTGTGATTGAGCCATTGACTGCAACATGCCTCCGCATTTACATCAAAGTAAAAGAAACAAATTTAGCAACTCTTCCGCGTACTCTGGCTGAACTGTGGTCACTGAGCTGTCTCTCTTTGTGAGGGTGGTCTTTTGAAACAACTATGTTCCCTTTTGCCTTCTGACTTGTTTGGACCCTGGACTTTAGAGCACACCAGACAACCCAAATCATCAGTATTCCTCTGAAAAATCAGTCTCTGCTATGTGTGTATTTTTATCAAACCGTGCCGGTGTTGTGCTCATGGACTCTCTCGTGCATTTGTGCATCCTGGAAAAAAACAATTGGTTTTCAAAATCTGCCAGCGGGTCAGGCTGGAGGAGTTTGATGATTTGATTGGTCGTCCTTGAAATCTGCCCAACTCCACCTCCTGCTGGTAACAATGCATTCATCCTGTTGTTGTTCAGATTGCGCAGCAATCCTTCACAATTTAATTTGTTTCTCTGGTCACCAAAATAGCAGATCTTACTTGTCAGCACCCACATCTCCAACAACCCACATGAGTTCCCTCTCCATGTTTCCACAGTACAGTGTGAACGTTTGAGGGTGTAGGCCTGGATGTAAACGAGGACAGTAGACTGTGGATGGAACCTTGTCTCAAAGAGAATAAGATGTGCTCGTGCTGATAAATCGTTTGTTCCTGTTGGGAATTACACTCCGAGTCGTTTATTGTGTTTAAGTATTGATTCTGTCATTGGGAAAGTGGCTTGTTTCTGAGAGCGGGCGAGTTTGTTAAGTCCAGTAATCTCTTTTCTCCGCTTTACTTTTCTTCTCTTCTCTCCTGTTATCATCTTTCCTCAGAAACTAAGGCTGAGCTGGAGGATCTCATGGCAGACATCAAGAAGTTGGCCAACAAAATACGCTCCAAATTAAAGAGTGAGTACAATTAGTGTAGAGCTGCAGCTTGTGATTCTCTTCTGTGTCAGTGAGACCCTTTTGAGTTCCTGTGTGATTACATATTTACATTTACATATGACATTCAAGGAATGATCAGCAGACCAGAATGTGAATGTGAACAAAAATATTTGAAGTTGCAAATTGCAGATTTTACAATAATAAATAATCCATTGTAGCACATTTAGTCCCTTCTTTGCTTTTTCGGTTCCAGCTTTAACCCATAACAATACATCAGCATTTATTTCTGGTTGATATGTTGTGTTATTGATATGAACTAGCAAAGTAAGTATTAACTATTACTTTTCACCTCTGTCAATAAGTTAAGTAACAGAAATTTCATAAGCACCTATTATCATAATCAATAAATCATGACGAGCTTCCCAAATCTGAATATTTGTTGATTTTCTTCTTGTCGTCATCATTGTGAACTAAATATTACAATAATATTATTTGGTTGCACAAATGAGAATAATTTGAAGATACCAAATTGTAAAAATGCGTGTCAGATTCATTGATTATAATAATAAGATGCATTGCTGCAATTGGTATCATAATATTTCAACCCCATCATTAACCAGCGTGTGCAGCGGATTGTCTCCTATGTGATGTGACAGCCAGGGCGCTTCCTTGGAAGAGGAGAGGGGGTAACAAGCGAGTCATGAAGAGTCCCGTATAAAATTTGGCAGCAAGCAGGCGAACTCAATTGGCTCTCGTAGGGTCTCGGCTGCGGTGGGCCGAGTCATTAGTGTCACTCAACAGAGGAGCTGCCTGCGATTCGTTTGCTCGAAGTTTTATTCACACTCGTGCACAGAAACTGACTAATACTGACTAATATAATACAGCATCCCGTGTGCGGGCATGATTGACACCTGCACCCCTTGACATGTACTATGAGAGTTATTGTTTGTGTGTATTGTCGTGTATGAGTGTTTTTCACCTTTCCGCTTTGCTTGTACATTTTTTATTGTTGGATTATTTTTTTACACTGTCTATTTCACCCATTTTTACGTAAATCCCCCCAAAGGAGCTTTTTGATGTCGCTCTTGTTTTTCTTATGTGAATTTGAACATTTTCTTTTTTTGCATTACAAACTTCTGTCAAGACATAACCGTTTTTGACCACATAAAGAACTCCCCTGGGCTTCCATGCAGGAGTCAGATGTCAGATGATAATGGGAGGCAGAGATAAAAGATCGGTATGGTATCTTTCAGGAATGACACACACGAGTGCTATCAGGCACAAAAGGCTCTGCATCACAGGCCTCTGACGGTGTCTCTCCAGTTCAATCGGTTGTTGACACGCGGTTCCTTTGTGTAAGTGTGTGTGCCTGCGGTGTGTTTGTTTGCGTGTGTGCGTTTGTGTGTGTTGGGTTGGTCGGTAAGTGACGTCGTCTTTGTCATACTGCATCCTGGGAAAGGTCCTGAAAAAAGGCTAAAACATAATACGTATTTGGTTTGCAATAATTCCTGATTAATTTAATGCAGTCTGTTTGATAAATTATTCCTACTGTGATTTGGGGAGATATCTCATTTAATATATTCTATATATCTATTATTAAGACTGAAATTCTGACCAAAATATGCTGAGTTTCAGACAGGTGAATATCATCCAAACCCCGAAATAGACACATATACAGTCTATAGACACATATATATATATATATGATTCAGGATATCTGGTGAACATAAACGTTTAAAAAAAATCTTTATGAACTGATTTGTTCATTTTATATATTTCCTATATTTATATTAAAGTATGTTACAGTACAGTACATTCATCCCAAGTTACTATATTCCTGAAACTGAAATGTCTGTTTTTAACTGCATTGGTCAATGTGTTTACTCTTTTGGCTACCGTATATCTGTTAAAGCGGGGAGGCCATTAGTTTCGATATGTCTCTCAGTGCGTCCAACACTTTGGTTCAGAGCAATTTGTCTTGACAACTGCTGCTGTCACCATGCAAACAAACGTGGATTTTATTGATCTCTTGATCTTTTTTTTATGGTGTGGCTTAAGGAACTTACAGAGGCAGTCAGAAAGACTCTATTTTGCTTTTTTCCTGAGGATTTTCCAGAGGAGCACTTGTAATTGGATGTACATGTTCTGTATCTTTAAAGGTATCCAGCAAACCATTGAGCAAGAAGAAAGCCAGAACAAGTCAACAGCTGACCTGAGAATACGCAAGACACAGGTATCGTTCAATTCAACTTTAACAAGATAAAATGTTTTATTGGCACTTCCTCCGGTTCCTCTGTGCAAAGCATTGTGGGCCAATTGTGTCCCAATAAGAAATCAATTTTTAAACCTTTGTTATTTCTTCAGTATGAGCATTCTTCCGGAGTATGGACTATAGTCAATGTCATTGAGTGCTTGCACCTGCTCATATCCTGTTTATTTATCATTTTAGTTTTTTTAAAGTCTGTGTCCACTGCTGTGGTTCATCGATGTGTCTCTAGCACTCCACGCTTTCCCGCAAGTTTGTGGAGGTGATGTCAGAATACAACACCACCCAGTCAGACTACAGGGAGCGCTGCAAGGGACGCATTCAGAGACAGCTGGAGATCAGTGAGTAGACCTGTGATACTAAACTCCCCACCACCCTTCACACAGACTGCAGACATGCTAACAAGTTCTTATCGTCCGTTTTTATAAAAGTGCTCCTGCTATGTGTCTGTTATGTATGATTTTCTGTGCACCCGTCTTTGAGGAGTCCATTTTACTAATATAGACATGCTGTCAAAATCTGTGCAATGCATGAAATGTCCCACGACATAAGCCCAACATCCTATCAACAACAGCTATCAGCGTAACATGCATTTTTCTTGATTTACCGGCAATGGTACTTTTTGAGCAAACAGTTTTTACTTTGTGTAATAGTTAAAATAACTAGGTAAATAATAATAACCCTAACCCTTTCCGCCAACCTGACTCTGTTCATGCAAGTCAACTTATTACACTTTAATGGGAAAACAAAAGGGGAATTTTATCTGGCACGCAGGTAAAAGAAGTAGAACATAGACTAAACATAGATCATTTTAAATTCATCATGCAAATATGCTAAAACAGATTGTAAAAACCCTCCCCATACTTATAATAATCAACATCAGTGAGAGCAAAACATAAAACCCGAGGTACATCAACCCATTATCATCCCACCCAATCATCCATGGCAACAACAAGTTCAATCGTTTCGTCTGTCGTGAAGCTTAGTAGTAAAATCCACCCGCACTGTAAACACGATACCAAACCACATAGAGTACATCACCAACACCTACGCCCATGTACACGCACACGCCGGGTCGCTCTAATGAGGGCTTCTCACTCTGATGTCATGTACTCACACGGTTTGCTTTAGATGAATGCACCGGTATGATCTGTATGCCCGGGCACCTGGACCAGTTACTGCCACGGCATCCTGGCAAGCTGCTCCCTGCCAGCTGCCCCAAACAGTCACCATGGTGTAGTCACCCTGCACACAAATGCCCACACAAGCATGCAGAGCAGAAGACTGTGACTCATTTAGTGGTAATAGCACGGTGGAGAGCAGACACCGTTTGTGCTGCGGGACGCTCGGCAAAGACGTAACGTCCTCTGGCCATCTGTCAGACACATGCACATGCAACACAGCAACCCAGGTGGGCATGTGAATCCACGGCGTGTGGTCCAATCAAATGAACAGCGGTGGCCGCACTCAGTGCTTTACGCACCTTGCTTCCCTTTTCATAAAGCTCCTCCAGACTCATTCTGATTTGGTTTGTCAGCCGTTGGAGGTTGAAGGTCAGTTCACCTGTTGTCGAGGAAGGGATTAAACATTCAGACTGTGGGGATTGAACGTTGAAGGAATGAGGCATTAAAAGAAATGTGTTGGTCATGGTTTTGTAGGAAATTAAATCTAAATTGAATTCTCCTAGGGTTTTGTGAAAAGAGAGCTGTTTTTTCTGTTGGGCCAACACCTTTGACTTGTTTGCTTGTGAATCGATAAGAGCATGTCACACAAAGAGGGACAGCTGGTCTGTCATCTATATTGTGTCACTGTGAATATCAACGTTTCCTCTTTCCAGTTTGCTTCTGGATACAGAGATAAGAACATAAAAGCAAGACTTTGACATACTGTAACTACTTGTACTTGTAACCCTCAAAACAAGTTTAACAGTAACCCCTAAGTCCAAATATATCTGCATCAACCCCCACCAAACTGCCTTTATGTATATTTGGGGTTAATTCTTTGCTGAATTAAATACTATTAAAAAACACTTTTCGGTATACCAATACAATACTACCACTTCTGCAAAATATATACTCTTTTATTTAACAGTCCAGATCTAATAAATAAACAGTGATTTCCTTTGCAATAGTAACTGCTGAGCTATAGAGTAGAAACACCTTTTTGCCCTTTTGCCATGATTTTGATGGAAAGAAACTATTGATCTTATTTAATTCTCTGCAAATAAATGTGTTTTCCCACATGTCCAAAACAATTCCTTTAAAGGCACATATCTTTCAGTGACACATCTGTTTGGATGTCTTATTTTACACTTCTGTAGCCTTTTAGTTTATAATCGAATGTGAATATCTTTCATTTATTTGCTTCTATTAGCAGACACACCCAGTCGGAGGACGGGTCATCGCAGGCCCTCTTTGACATTTCATTGTTGTGTTTAATTTCCCGGCAGACATTCGTTGAACCGAGAGAGACACACTTACAGCGTTGAACACTAACACAATCCTCCTGTATAGCAAACAGATTGACCTATGCAGATAAGCTACACATGCATTTCACATTTTTTTGCAGGTGAAAACAGAAGCATAAAAATCACTCGCCTCTTTTGCTGTGCAGGCGTGCAGATTTGTGCAGTTTTTCTTGTCCCTCTTTTCCTTTGGGGATCACTTCAGTTGTGTTACATTACAATGGAAATGAAATCATACTGTTTTTCGCAGCAACATAGTATGAACAATTTAATAGCCTAAATATGCTACGGGTGAAAGGAGACTTCTTGGCTTCATAATAGACTTCTCCGGGTTTGGGTCTCCATGGTAACAAATAAGAGCCTCCCTCGAAGCCTGTCAGGGCTTTAAAAAAAAAGGGCGATGAGTTTGTGTGTGTGTGTGTGTGTGTGTGTGTGTGTGTGTGTGTGTGTGTGTGTGTGTGTGTGTGTGTGTGTGTGTGTGTGGGAAGGGAGATAAATAGGATAGGGTAGCACCAGAGTGCCTTTGTTTTTTCCTTCTTCCCAATTATCCATGACTCATTGTCACTCGTCGCCATCTTTTAACTCTTTAACTGTGGATCCTCTTTAATGTTGTAGTTTTAGCCTTAATGGTAGAGACATTATTCATAATCAGAGAGGCCTGGAGAATAGGGAACATATCACAGTAGTATGCTGAGTGTGGTCCCTCACTCCTCTTTTCATCCATTCACTTGTCAAACTGAAAAATGTCATCGCCTTACATGAGTAGATACTTAAGTATGGTAATGAAACAGCGGGACCACTTCACCATAAGCAAGTGAAATTCATTGCTTTGATATTGATACGAAGTTTGGATTAGACATGATAGGCCCAGTTTGATCCAAAAGTATATTCTGAAACATACAGTTGAGGTTTGGGAGCAGCTTCATCAGTATTCTGTTCATGAATGTAATCACTGGCTCTGCCTTTCGACATCATCACTCACCATCGACCTCCTCGCTCTGCACTGAGGCCTTCATCACGTATAAATACAATACAAACGCGTACTCAAACACACTCCGATTGGGTCGTGACTACATATTTTGTAGTTCCCCCCCCAAAACCCCCTTGGAGCCACAGCTGCTGTTCCAGCAAAGGGCGGAGCGAGTCAAAGCTTTTTCAAAAATTGTTGACTGTGCATATACGACAAGGAGGTGCTCATTGCGGCGTTACCTATTGGTTTTATGGACATTTTTAGTTTGAGTTCAGCTACTGAGGAGAGACGTAGCGAAGCCGTCAGTCCCTAAAAGATCTAATAGAATCAATCAATCGCAGTATGGCAAGCAAACCTGACTTTATTGTCTACTTGACCCTAAGCTGGAGCATGATTTACTTAATAAACATACATCTGTATTGTAGAAGACTTAACTAGTGATTGAGACCATAAAAACATGTTTACAATGTTTACGGAGTTATTAAATCCAGTGAGAACTGAAAATATGTGTCTAAAATAAGGTTTCATCTTGATTTATAATGTGTAAAATTGTCTTCCATCAACCTCATGCTGGTCTGGGTTTTCCACTTAAAATGACCACGAATTTACCACCAGCCCTGTTAATCTTTTTTAACCGATTTGATATGTAGCTTCCTTACAAATGTTCTTCTCATGGATGTGTAAAGAGAACCAGAAACACTGCTGGAGGCGGAGCCACAACAATAACTATGAAAGTTGCTCGGTGGCACAAGAAGCCAAAATGGTCCAAGTATGTGTGCACAGTAGTCTACTTAATGAAATATTCATGAAACAGTACTTTGGTCTCTGCATTACAGGGTGTTGAGTGCCTGATGCACTTTTTTATGGCCCCTTTTTGCTTTGTAGTTTCAGTTGTATCATCCAAAATTTCCTTTGATTTTGTCACACATTTATAATATTTGTTTTCTGTCATTTCCATATCCTGCTCTCGCTCCTGTGCATGCGGTTACTTGCAGATCACCTTTGTTTAAGGCTTCGTTAGCTGCTCAGCTCGTATTGTACACCGAACACTGGTTTGTTGGGACACCGGGTGTCTGTACAGGAGTAAGATAAGAGATCCTTTACTGTCCGTACTGCATACCTGACCCACAATGTGCCAAGGAAAGATTGGAGATGATTCTGACAGATTCTGGCCGTGACTTACGGCATCGGTGGGGCAGAAGTGGACCGCATGCAAAGTCAGGGCCACAGACGAGAATATTTGGAGATATAGATAAGAGGCGCATGGCCATTTTTAAGAAGTAGGTCAAGTCTCTCGGTGGATAAGGAGCAAACACATCGGTGGGAAAAAGCAATAAGATGTGCTGCTGGGGTACTAACAGGGACAGCAGATGTGGAGTGATAGAAATTGTGTTGGGGGCACCAGGGAATGTTGGGGGAACATAATGAGGGATTGTATAAATTGCTTTTGTGCCTCCTCCCTTTAATCTCTGAACACTGCACACCCATATTAAGCATAATGGGGCCTGTTTACTCTTGTTAAGTAGGAGGGGAAATGTCCGAGGATTACTGCAAGAATGAGATTTAATCCCAACCACTACAAACGATGTGCAGACGGATCCACGCTGTTCTAATACTATCAAACTTGACTGATATTCCCGCCTCAGCATTTACAGGTTTCCTGTTTTCATTTAAACATCATGCGTTAATGGTGGTTGATTTTTTTTTTAAAGACAAGAAAATAAATAGAAGAAGAAGTCCAGATTCAAACTGTTCAAACTAAAATAGTATCAGTCACACTTCTGTCAGACCCAGGTTGTTATGAAGGATAAATGCGAAAATGCATTTGTCTACATTGCTTTATAGCTTAAAAACAGATAAAACCTGATCATGATCAATGGATCAACTAGAGAAGCAAAAGATAATAAATATGATTCGCAAGAAGCTTAAAGCCTCGACTCGATTATGCTCTTATTAGTTTGACACGCATGTGGATGTGAATACCTTATTTGGAGAAGGAAAACATGCTTGACTGGTTAAGTCATTGTTAGATGTCCGCACCACACAGCCACTTTTTAATTAATCCTCAGACAGACATGAAGAAGATGGGCTATTATGCTGGGGGTGCTATTATCAACCAGGGTTTTTGTCTTTCCGAATGTTGTCTTCATCGACTATAGTTTGGAGAAGCGTTTCTTCTGATAGTATTGCATCTGCACTTCCTAAATCCTGGGCTTACATCGACTGAAACATCCACAAAGAGTGTGATTGCTCCTATACGTGTTTATGGGTTTGTGTTTGACTTTTAGCTGGGAGAAACACAACAAACGAGGAGCTAGAGAGCATGTTGGAGAGTGACAACCCGGCCATCTTCACCTCGGGGGTAAGCGACAACAAAAGGTGCAAGACATTTCTTTTTTACAATCTAATTTCACTCCTCTCTTAAACCTCTCCATCTGTTGCGCCATCTTAGATCATAATGGACAACATCACCGAGCAAGCTATGAACGAGATAGAGACGCGGCACACCGAGATCATCAAGCTGGAAAATAGTATCCGGGAGCTTCACGACATGTTCATGGACATGGCCATGCTGGTGGAGAGCCAGGTGAAAACATCGATCCTCTCTCGGTACCGCTGCGCTTTGGGGCTCAGCCAAATGCATGTGAAGACGAGCCTGCATCATGGACAGTACACGGAAGGGCTATGATTGCAGTTTGTAGATTTAGATTTGGACTTCCTGTCCATAGTTTAAGAAAAGGCTTTAGCTAATGCAAAAGTTCATAGCAAGATGTGTTCACAGTGTTAAGACCATTAACCAGTTACCCTGCAGCAGCTGCTGCTGCTGCTTCTCCCGGTCATGGAAATATCTCCTCTTCAGACGCATTACAGCGACCAGTCTCTTTAAATTAAATAAAAGTTGAGTTGAATGAGGTAATGTTGTCAACCCCCATCTGGGGTTCTGTTGGCAAAATACCTCAATGAACATGCACAGATTTTAGGGCAGAGACAACATTTGGCACAAGGATGAGTTCGTTGGAATTACAAACTGTTTTTGGGATTTCTGCCACCAGACCATTTTTTATACGTAATTATCATGCTGGTTGAATGAGCTGGAGGAAAAATCTGACGTCTGGGACTTTCAAGTTGGCAACTAAACCCTGTTGCCTCAATTTGCTGTTTCCTGATAGCCTTAAATTAAATAATCCATTATTTTTTACAGGGCTTTGGCTTTGTGAGTTGAGCATTTGTCATTTCCCTGTGGTAGATGTTTGGATTCTGTTAGAGAGCGAAGATGCCGCATAGTGGTCATCATGCCGTGAGCAGTGAACAACTGGCCATTTATAGTTTCCGTACTAAATACCTTCGTCAAAACTACACACTTAATACTTACGTTATCCTCAAGTGTAACGTGTCACCTGTAGGAGTTGACTTTGCTCCTCTCGTTTAAGTGTTGAGCTGCAGGGTTATCTGAAGGCCTTGCCTCTACATGTTAGTGCATGAGTGGGTGGGCTCAACCCGCACAGAGATTAAATGTTCCCCTAATCAGAAATATTTAGTCTGAATTATGCAAAAAGTGAATGCGAGCACATGCATAATGAAATAGGCTGAATGACAAATAAAGACAAGGGATTTGAAGTATAGCAAAATGCAATAGCCAGCTCGTTTTCATTTTGATAGTGATGATTGTTTAAATATCTAATAATTCAGCAGTACTGTGTTTGTGTGTATTCTCTTTCATCCTCTTGGCAGCCATATAAATAATTATTAACTAATTCTAAATAACTTAATTAACTAACCCTTCTTTTTTCAAATGATGCTTAAGTCTGTTTTTGCCTTTCTCAGCTTTGCATTGTATTCCCCCTCTTTTTCACACAACTCTGTCACCAGCACAATGACTCTAAGCTCTAGAGAACATCGAGCAGCGCTCTCCTTCTAATACAGAAAGGTAATCCAGCTATGATTCTATATTTTTCTCTATTCTTTAAACCTCAAATCTGGTTTATCTTAATTATCACTCTATTTATTTTACAATGGGTCAATATTAAGTGTGCAATATTAAGCTTTCTCTGATTAATGAGTGTACATAATGAGCACCAACTATGCGTCTTCAAGTGATTATTACTTGAAAACCACCAAATCTAATCGTGATGTGGTTCTAGGAACCGAGTTGTCCCCACCACATTAATGACTGAGTCTCTTGTTCTCTGTTCAGGGTGCACTGGTGAACAACATTGAGCGAAGTGTGCTGAACGCCAATGATTATGTGGAGAAGGCAAAGGACAACCTCCCAAAATGCAAAAAGTTCAAAAAGACCGGCAGGCGGGTGAGATGCAAGACGCGCACATTCTAATAATCGACTAATTATTTCCTCTTTCCTTTGTCCCTTTCTGCTTTCCCTTCTCTCTCCTTCTCATTGTCACCCATTATTCACCCCCTTTCCCTCACCTTCTCTGCATCTGTATCCACTCCTCTTCCTGCCTCCACATCTGGCCCTCTTTCTTCATGTCTTCCACACCTCCTCTGTAACTAACCTCTCCTAGGGGGAGATGATAGACCGCATAGAGTACAATGTGGAGCACTCGGTAGACTATGTGGAGAGGGCGGTATCAGACACTAAGAAGGCGGTTAAATACCAGAGTAAAGCCCGGAGGGTGAGTCGCATATGCAACAAAATGATGCATGAGCATGCTCTGAAAACGTGAAGCCTTAAATTCAGAAGCATTGCATGTACTTATGTATTGTAGAGTGTCACTGTCGTCAATGTGTGTACATGTGCAGCATGTGGGTCTTGACTGTGTTTGACATATTCTGCAGCAGTGGTTTCATATCAAGGGTATGTGTACCTCAGGGGCTACTTTTACAGGAGTGTAAATATAAAAAAAAACAACTACACAACCCACATGAAGCTGCGGGGAGTTCATGAAATCTGGTAAGTACTGTGAGTATGCAGAGATGCCAAAACAGAGAGAAAAAACGAGGATAAATGACGTGAGGAAACGTGAGGCCCAGTGAATGGTAGTGATTCAAATATGAATTCCAGCTATTTGAATTCATCAATTAAACTCACATAAACACGCAGTGTTGTTTTTACTCTTTACAGTTTCCAAGAATTGTTTATTAGTGAGGTTTAGAGGGGATTTTTTTTTCATCTTTAAACAGAACCAGGTTTTCCCCAGTTCCCCAGTCTTTATGCTAAGCTAACTGTCGGCGGGCTCCAGCTTCTTTGTGACTGAACCTCCGAGTGGTATCCACTGTCTCATTTAATAAGTGTACAGTATCTATATATGGGAGGATTATTCACGTTGTCACCTTCGTTCCTCAATTTAACGATGTGTGCTGCAATGGAACAACTCTGCCACCCCGTGGTTGATATTTAATAGCACTCAAAGGTATAAGACTTTCCTACATAACATGACACCAATCTACTCCAAGGGCCATCCACATAATTACAGCAGCAGCTTTCTCTCTCTCTCTTTATTATTTCCTTCTTTCTCGGTTTCTCTTTCGTTTTCTCATTACAACCACTGAATTATTATCTGGCACTCAGTACGCCTTGTTTCTCCTCCCATTTGCTCCATCCAGAAGGTGATCCTGATAGGAGGTTGTATTGCAGCATGTCTGACGGTCCTCATTATTTCCCTCGCAGTTGGACTCGGATGAGACCCTCAGAAATCTGTACAGAGCAGACGTGGCAATGAGGGGATGCTTCCCTCCCAGGGTCATATGTAAAAATGTTCTGTATAGTGCTCGTTGAGTAGAAAGCAGCCCGACATTATTGTCCTGAAGGCAGTCCAATGTGTCTTTGTACACAAATATTTTACTAACTTTGACCTATATTTTTTTATATATACTTTTTCTAAACCTAATAGTTGAAGGCCGTTGTGCTTTGTGTTTGAGTCCCGATCCACGTACTCTACCTTTGTCGTATGCATGTTCTTTGCATGTTTTTCTGCAAATATAAAGCTGCAGATATGTGGTTCATGTTCATTTAAAATCCAAATAAAAAACTTCTGAATAAATGTTAAAGATGTGAATGATTACGTTTCTGCCGTGTGGGAAAATACTGTGTGGTATTTAATATATTACTGAATGAAGAAAATGGGGGAACAAAAGATGTATTGTTTTAGAATACAAGATGTGCAAATGCTTCCAAACCAGTCACACTGTGGCAACATAATCAGATACTTTAAAAACAAACAGTATTTCTCCAAACTGCATTGCTTACTTACTGCTTTTACTTATGAACTGCTATTTGTCGCGATCACTAAAAATATCCTAAAGAGTTAAAGCAATACCTTATAACATGTTCTTCTCTTTTCCCAATGTGCTGCCACGGATTACTGTTTATCTGCAATTGTTAACACTTGACAGAAGAAAATAATGATTATTATATGCTGTGTGGTTCTGGGAATTGTCATCGCTTCCATAGTTGGGGGGACGCTGGCCTGAACCTCGAACGCTGTCACAACACACGTCGAACAGCCACACAAACAACGGAGCAAAAACACGACAGATTCACATTTTCTGTTCTCATGAGTGCGACCCATTACATGCGTGCCGCGCGGTTCATTACACGCTGTACGACACGTGGCCAGAGGTGTTCTTTAGCATGAGTTGCTATTCGGTAAATGTGTGGTGCTGCGAACTGTTTATCTGAGTGTTGAGTGTTGTCAACGATATGATGTTTCAAATAAAGTGAATTCCTGAATGAAAACAATATATGAAATGTAACGTTATACTAATACATTCCAGCTTCCAAATATAGCACACATATTCAATTGTAATGTCTATTTTGTGTTGTATAGTTAAAGTGACAGGCCACTAGTCTGCAGTGGTTTTTAAAACAAAGTTTTCTATTTAAATTGGATTTACCTTTTTATTTTTGCGTTCTCTCTATAAAGTCCTCTGCCTCCCTTCAGGAGTCCTGCATGGTTTAGTTCCCTGTAAATTGGTGTTTGTTTTCTATCTCAAGGGGAGAGGAGAATTGTTGGATTGTTTTTGCTCACATTCGTTGAACTGCCAAACGTTTTCCTTGTGGTTTACAGACACAGTGCTGCTGTAATTTACTTCATCTGGCCTTACCGGTTTGGCAGCTTTTCTTGCAGCTGCTCCGCGTTGAGTGTGAGCGTATGAACGTGGAAGGAGGAAATGCGTGTGCTCGTTCGTAGCTTCATATTTCAACCTGCCGTGTGCGAGTCGTATGATGACAACATGACTGAGCGTTATTAGCCACCCGTGTCTTTGTTTTGTATGAAGTGTAAACCGATAAAAAAAAAGCTCTCTATCACTGCCAGTATGTTCAAAAAAGCTGTTAAAATACTCTAGTCTGGTTTGGATTGATTATTCTGGTCTGTAAGTGACAAATCCTTGTTTTATGTATTTTTACAAACAGAACGTATCCTTCTGTCAAGCAACTTTACTGTTTATTTTTATGAGTAAACATCATGAAAATACTTTTTTTCAGTTTTCTGGTCACACATCAGACAAGCAGAGACTGCAACCATGTTGCCGGCTCAACTCCTTGTCTTTGTGTTGTATTGTGATGACATGGTTTGAGTGTTTGATTTGAGCTTGTTTTTGTTCAGTTCTCTTAGTAAAGTTTGTCTGAAAAAAATCCCATTTGTTTTTGCGTTGTTTTGCTTAAAGTGATTCAGAGATGTCTCTTAAGGAGAAATCTGGTCAAGAAAGAGAAATCTGGTCAGTCTGGTTTTCCACATTCTGACTATGAGTCATAATACTCGTGCATTCGACACGTTGCTCTCAAGATTCAGGAGAAGTGACTCTGGCACGTCACGGTTTTCACAAGTAAAAGTCACGCAAACTCAAACACACAAAGAGGAATACTCAGAAATGACACCAACTTGTTTGCTTTGATGGGAGTGGTTTTTAATTTATGCTTTCACCATTGGTTGGACATCTATTTCTTTAAATTTCATGTTTTTCATCCTGCATTGGAGCTAAATCTTTGGCCGTAAACAGATTTATTCCTTGCAATTTCGAAGGTTTTGTGCAATGGATCTAATATCAACCTATTTTGTAATGTAAGGTTTTAGTTCCCAGTTCTAACAGTAACAGTGTCCTCTTGGCACTTTCCTTTTCATTACTTGTCAGGACTTGAAGTTCCCTTTCCCTCACCATCAAAGTACCCAAAACATTTACGGCCTCTTTTAGTTTCATACCTTCTCCGATTGAACATTAAGTTTTATTGCACGATAAAACTGGATACCACTTGAACAAATGTACTTCACACTGCCCTCAGCTGAGCTTTTGTCTCTACATATAAAGCAGTTCAGTTTAATCTCCCCACAAAGTAATCTTTCCATAAGTAAATCATAATGCAGTGTGTATAATATACTAACGTGCTTTCTCGTCTTGTTGCACAACTGCATTTAGTAATAACATTGTCTGTAGGAAAATCCTATACAGCAAATAGGGTCATTCTCCACAAGTCAGCTTTTCTTAAGTTTTTTCTCTGTGTGTGAATGTTACAGTATGAGCAATAAAACCACATCTGATGAGACTGACCAGGGTGCTGTGTCACGACGAGGTGGCGGAAGCAAGACTCAAATGCAGACTTCACTAACAGGTTAAGCTTAAATACACAGGGGGAGGTGCAGGTGATTTTGCAGAGGTGGAACCCATCAGGGATACAGAAGACAATCACAGGGGGTGACAGGACAAGGCACAAAGTGAAGCTAACCCAGGGACACAAGAGGCAGGGAACTACTAAATAAAACTACAAACTCACACCACGACATGCTGTAAAGAATAGAAATGAAGTATTGTCTCTTTGTATAATTTGTATAGCATCACTCAGCGTTTTCTTCGCCATGAACGAGAGATGGACCTGGCGGTTTGTGCAGCATCACTAACAAGTACTGATCCATGCACACTTGATATATGTGGCATATTTTAAATAAAAGTGTTCATAAGATCCTCACTCACTTTAAGTCAACAAACGTCATTTAGTCAAAATGATTCAGAATAATACAAACATATTTTCAGCGTTGTGTTTATCTGGGTTCTCTTTGTGTTGTTCATTTGATCCAGTTAAAATGCTGTTGGCTGAATGTGCATTCAGATATCCAAGGAATTCCCTTGAGAAGTTTATTTGGATAGACCAGCCTCACACTGAGTAAAAAAGCACAGTAGGCCAACAAAGCAAACATTTCTGACATATCTGGTGTTGACATATCAATCAATCTTTTATTTCAGACTCAAGGTCCAGATAGTACTAGACCTTAAATAGAATCAAATACATACAGAATAACAAGTAAAGTACCTACGAATGCCTCATGAATAGACAACTGTACCAATGTCTCCACAGCTGGAACTGGCCTGTGGCATTTAACTTTATCTTTGATGAACCCAAGATGATTTCATTTTTAGAAATATTAACCTGGCAGATACATTTATAAATTTGTTTTCTTACAACAGCTTGGAAAGTATTAACTCCTGCAGCCACAAACATTTCACTGGCACTACACCTCTCGGTCTCTTCAGTAATATTCATGGCATCCTTATATACTTGGAGTCTGTGTAGACGTGCTGCTTTGTAATTAGAGCACAAGTGTGCAGTGTAGAGCGGTGTACAAGATGCTCCACACAGAGGCATCTTCACTCCATCTGTACGCAACAACATTGCCTATAGATACCTTCTGGTGGCTCAACCTTTGAGTTTAAGTTTAAAATGGATGTTATGCACATTTTAAGTGGGCTCTCGGCCATATAAGAGATAAAAATGGATTTCATACATTCCCAGAAAGATATTTAAACATTTGAATCATTCAATATTCTGTTGATTTTTATTACGTTAACGAGTAAGCAACCAGTTTAATACAAGTTGATGAAAATGCCCAATTGATTCAACTGCTAACACATTGTTATTTGAATATTTTAAAAAGTAATTGTTTATTATCATATTAGCTGATTGTGGATGACACAGACATATAAATGTCTCTTTTTTAAAGTCTCTGAAGTTTTGAGTCTTTGTTTTTGATTTGGTTCTCTTTTTCGACTTGTTTTAGATCTTTTTGAAACGGTTTTGCATCTCTTCGCCGTCCTTTGGTCCCAAAGCCTGTGGCCCATTTAGTAAAACAACAAATAATTTGTGTAAGTATTATCTGAATTGCTGAAATAATTTGAAAAGTGGCTCCGAACATGTCTTAAAATGAAAGAAGTGACTCCTGCCTCAGAGGCCTGGAAAGAAGTAGAAGTGCTTTGTCAGAGTGCATCTGTCTTTGGTCGGCATCTGTTTTTCCCTTTGAATGGGAAAATCTTCAAAGCGTTGCATGACCTGTGTGGATGAAGCAAACGTGTGAGAGTCATCATTGCTGCTCGCCATGTGGTGTTTTTGTGTCATTAACTGATATTTCTTTCCACTTACTTTTCTGAAAAGTTCCTCGACGTGATCCTCACGTGCGAACGTGTTAAATACCTCAACAACATACTGGATGAGAAAAGACCCGTTAACTGGATGTCTGTATGAGACTGTATCTGGAGGAAAAACATACAGACACAGTTAATACGTTGATATAATACTTTATTGTGTTATGAGCTGTCAAATAAAATCTAATAACATTCAAATGAACTGACCAGGTGTGCACGATAGAAGAGAACTGAAGTCTTTTTCTTTGTTTACAAGACGCAAATTATCATCCTCAATGTCTTCTTCACCAGCATCATCACAGGCCAAAGCTGGACCATCACCATCTCTAACAACCACTGCTCCTTCGTCACCTGAAACACACATGTAGCATACTTTTAATACAGTGCACTTAGACAGCAAACGCGAACTAAGCAGCCTCCCTGTGACGACTCGAAGAGACTGTGAAGATTAACTTCCTGTTTTTATTTTTGTAACCACGGCACTTCCTGTATCTAGGTTCTCACCCTTTGTTTCTCCCCACAGCTGAGTTTAGTTTGCAATCACCTCCACCTGTATTTAAGCCTCAGTTCCCCACTTGTCTGTGTCAGGTTATCTTTTGTCTTTCCTAGAGGTGCATGTTTGTTGTTAGAATTTCCCAGTGCTGTATTTGGTAATCTTGTTTCTACTTCGTTGCCAGGCTCTCTTCCTTTTTGTTTCTTCAAGAGCGTGTGGATTCCGCCTTTGCCTGTGCACCCTTTGTCTTGCATTAGTTTACTCTCCTAGTAAAAGATTCCAAACCTTGAAAGAATTTTCTGTTGCCTTATTGCTCTGCACCTGAGTCGAAGTCCTGACCCCTCACACTCCCACATTCATTCATGTTCATGTTTGTTTCCATCATCACCTCCTCTGCAGGCCTGGATGATGATGATCTTGGGTTTGTCCAGCAGCGCTGGACAATTCTCTGGGCCCAGGTGTTTGTAGATGTTGTCGATGGGAAACTCATCTGCCTTTCTTTCACGCTTCCAGTCCACACCGCAGTGTGACATCAAAACCACCAACACGCTGTCTGTTTTTTTGAGTTTGGGGTGTTTGGCGAACTCCTTTAAAGCCTCATCAATTGCCTGTGACATTACAAAAAGGCAAACATCAGTGATCAACCAGACATCTTTTTTTTTTTTTCCTCTTTCTTTAACCGTACCTTTGCTGTGAGGTTACGGTGTTTCACCACCTCGTATCCCAGTCCCTTCATCAGAATCTCCATGTTCTCCTCATCCTTCTCGGCGCCATTTCTGTTCGGTATCTCATAAGTAAACTTTATGTTGGTGATTAGCAGGGCCACACGATTGCTAATGGAATTTTTGCTTGCAGGGTAAATCTGAAAGACAGATTTGAGGGGCGTTAAGTAAAACAAACATGTATAATTTGTATTGAAATAAAGCATTCAAACAACACCTTCCTATCACGGTGAGGAGAAACTAATTTAAATATATTTGATACTCCTGATATGGCTTTTATGAAGTGACTGACATCTCTATTACTCAGTTTACTGCAGAAATCGTCGGTGGTGTGAAGGAGTGTGGTTGACCACGTCGGCTCCAGCTTTGGCTCCGCAGCTGGGAACAGTAAAACATTTGCTCAGAACAGTGTTCTTAGTATGTAACACACCTCTATCGAGAATGATGTTAGTTTGAATCAAAATAGGTGACGGTGACGCTATAGCTGAAATGAATAAGCTCACCCGGCGGAGCAGTTTGAGCGGAGGAAAGACCCAGTTCAGAGAAGAGAGAACTATCTCTACTCTCAAGGCTAGCGATCAGTATTTCGCTGGCTTTGTTTCCTTTTGCCTTCACCACGTCGATGAGATTGCGTGCTCTGTCTGCTTTTGTCCCGTTCTCCTCCAATATTGAGTCTTTCTGGCCATCATTCAAGATGCCATTGTCTAGGAGGTCGTCCAGTAGCTGCTTGATCAGTGACATACTGGCCTTTTCCACAAACTTCGTCCTCACCTTTTTCAGCTTATCTGAGAAGTAATATGAAGCACAAGAAATCACAAAACCCAAAAGTTAATAGAAGGTACAATAAAGACACTTTCTTCGTTCTACGTTAATACAATTCACCAACACCAAATATATCTTCTCAAAATGATGATCCATTTAGATCAACACCTCCGAAAATGTTTTTGACATAAAGTCAACATTATAACATTAGCAGTTGTAGTAGTAGTAGTAGCAAGTTGGAAAATGATTACTGTGCATTACTTAAGCATGTTTTTTAGTGATTAAATTGTTCAGTGTAACCAGCACCATACAAAATGCATTATGGAGGGTAGTTATTATTACCCATGCAAATCGTTTAATATTAACTGTATTAGTCAGCAAACAAATATATAATTGAGGGTAACTTCCACCTACACTACCTATTTAGACAGTAACAACTACAGCCTAATGAAATGAGTTTTTGAAGTAAGGCTTACCATCCCTGATTAAATAGTGGTTAATAAGTCATATTTATTATTATTACTTAATATTACCTTTTTTTTAGGTAATCAGTAGTGTACAGTGTTAGGTAGACTTTAACTCATTTCTCTTACTGTATCTTAGCTGTAAAATGTAGGTATGCTTTACTATAAACATGTGGTGAAATCTACTCAAACAAAGCGTTTGGGTTGTTTTTTGTTGTTTGTAACAGTATTTTTTTAGGTAGATATCAGCTTTGACTGTGACACATGGAGCAGAGAAGATGCGCTGGGACCTGTGGGGTTGTTGGTTTGAAACCCAGCCCTCGTTGATGTGACCCTGAGCAACACACCTGACCCCTAATTGCCTCCGGGCCTTTATGGCAGTACACTGCCCCCACCGAGGGGCAGCTAGTAGTGCATTTTGTTCTGTCAGTACCTTTCCTCTGTGTAATGACAAAGTTGTATTTTCTTCTTCCCTGATTAAGTAATGGTTAATATGTTATATTGTTCAATTTTTAAATAACAATTATTAGGTGCTTACGATCGTTTACAGAGTTAATATTACCAACTTTTTGTAAGTAATCAGTATAAAGAGTTGATAAATATGAGGAAGACTCTACCTAATTTATTTTGGTGTATCTTAGTTGTAAAACACAGGTTTGCTTTACTTTAAACATGTGATGAAATCTACCCAATTTGTTACCTCACATTTATTGAGTAGATTCTACAGGTTGTTTTTTACACTTGGCGATAGTGTGAGAAATGAGTAAATGTGTTTTTTGTAGATTGTAGACTGGCTGGTGCAGCTTCTTCCTCAAACGGTGTGGAGAAAAAGAAGCCACTCTCCTTACCCAACTTGATCTGCCGAAATCTCAAATATGCTTTTGTGACAATTCCACAGCTTATGAATGAATAGAGCATCAGTAATTGTTAAGTGAACTGTGTTTAACTTTTTGTTGAATGTAATGCAAAGTGTCAGTTGAATCCACTTAATCAGGCGGACAAAGTGAAACCAAAACGTGGCACACACAACAGCACTCAGAATGAGCTCAATGTTCTTTCGACAGATTGTGTTAATAAAACGATAAAAAGTCGTGTTTCTAAACCCTCATTAACTTGACCACATAAGGTCTAATGTAATTAATTAGATGCGGCTCGAGTAGATTTGCGCGTATCAACTAGTATCCCGCTCGTTTATCCGAGCAGAGTTCACCCGTAAAGATCGTTTAGAGCTCGACCTCTTACCTGCTGCCATCTCTCCACCTTCTTATTACAGATGAGTTTCCTCGTAGTCTGCGAGTCTTTATCCAGCTGCGGGGGTATAAAACACGGGGGCGTGGCCTGTTTGTGAGGTTTCCTGTTTGACGACGATAAGCCTACTTTCTTCTATCAGGGCTACTTTGTTCTATTATGTGTGTTCGGGCTTCTGCTGCAGACTCGCAACGCGTGGCGCATTCAGTGCACGATGGTGCAACCAGCTCGTTGTGATATTATATAGGTGAGTGTTTAATGGTGCAAACAGACAGAGACAAAGGCAAACACGAGGAGTATCCTAAATAATCTTGCACACGAAAAATAGAATTTGAAACCCGTTAACATGTTAAAACAACATATAGTTTTGTTATGAATCACATGATCATAAATCATTCCGACAACTTCAATTTCGATCCACAATCAAATTTTAATAGACATCAGGATATCTATATACAATATATATTTAAATCAGCTGTTTTAACACCATTATTTAAGAATATCATTGTTTCAATCGTCAATGTAAATTGTGGATATCTGGAACTACATTGTACGAGTCACAATGTATGTTATATTGACAATTCCATTATGGATTTCTGGAACATTTTTCATTTGAACTTGTGCTACTGTAATATGGAAACATCACCGCTAGGGGGCAACACATCACAGCTGAGCCACATTTGTAACAAGGACGACATGGAAAAACATAAAGAAGAATCCGCTCACAGACAAAATGGCTGTAGGACAAAGCTAGACGCTCGGCTAATGTAAACATCCACCAACAGTGGACTGGAGCAGGAGCGAGGATAACGTTACTCGATGCCCTTTTGACCTTGCGAATGAGAGTGTATGTTGTCACACAATTCATGAATCTAATCTACAGCATCTTCAATGACATTGATTCAGGTCGCTACCTAAGCTAGCACGATTTGCTCCGTAATTATAGCTCATTCAGCTGTAAAATTAGCTTGTTGACATCTCGTTTTTGCGTCAACTTTGTCGTGCGAACAAATGTTGTCAACCGTTGGGACAACATAGTGTTTCGGAATGATGTGTCCGTGGGAGAGACGAGGACGTTACGCTGTCACCTCGGTAACGACCCCCGACGTCACGAGTTATAAAGCACTACGCTAGCATTGAGCTAACGTTAGCTAAAACAACGACGTCAGCGTAGTTACGAGTCAACGCTGCGGGAAGCTGCTCTAGAATCATGAATGGCAAATCTAAGAGATTAATAATGAGCAGCCGGACCGGTGTCTGTTACGATCGATTCATTTGTGGTCGACTAATTTTGTGTTTCCTGTCTCCTGGCGGCCCGCACAGTCCTCCTAACTTTGGCTGAATGATGACGAGCCAGCGGCGTGGGATCCATCTGGACCAATCAGAGCTGCTCTGCACGAAAGGATGCGGTTTTTATGGCAACACCGGTTGGCAGGGCCTGTGCTCCAAGTGCTGGCGAGAGGAAAACCAGAAAGAAAAGCAAAAACAGATTCAAGAGGATTGGGCGCTTGCTGAGAGGTTTGTCCGTTTCCTCTGCACCGTGTCTCATTAGAAAAATGGGAAACGCCACGTGTCTGGTTCTGTTTGTCAGTCGGTTTGCTCATGCATATGAGCGCTGTCCCTCCCCAGGCTGCAGAAAGAGGAAGAGGAGGCCTATGCAAGCAGACATCAGCAGGCCCAATTGCAGCCCACCATCACACCCTTCAGCAAGTTTGAGGAAAGAAAAACAAAGGAAAAGTCCAGCAAAGTCAACACGGTCACAAAGTTTTTTATTCCTTCCAGCAAAACAGCATCAAAAAAAGGTACATACTATCGTAAATAATCAAGTGTAAGCGATCCATCCAAAAGTCTTTATCAACAAATTACTATAAGTTTGTATTGCCGCTCTTTATTAAAAGGTAGAGATACTTTTATCCATCCTTATTGTACGTCTGTCTGCCCAAAAACCTGACAAACTGGTTTTGATTTCCTGCTTACCTGGAAAAAGAAATTAAACTAGTTGCAGAAATGTTGATGCTGATTATGGTTTCTGTCCAACCAAACTAGATCTATCTAGATTTGTAGATTGATAACCTACATACGGTCATGGTTTAAATATATGCTATTACAGTTCAAGTGTTAGAAGCCTTTATTAAAGTGACATCGAATGTCTTCCCCCAGATGCTCCTTTGGAGGCTCAGTCCAGACCGAGCCCCAGCTCCTCCGCAAACCGACATTCCTCTGTGGACAATGACCATGCAACGCGGGAGTTCATTGATTTTCTCAAGCCTCTGAAGTCCGGGAGGGAGATCTTCAAACAGTGCCGGGCCTTCACTGAGAGCATGGCGTATAAGCGGGTGAGCTGAAGTGGATTGGTGGATTGGGTTTGCGAGAACTATTTAATTCTTATGGACAACTAGCTGAATCTAGACAACCTGTTAAGAAATTTCACACGCTTAATTATATTTTTAGGTTAGGTTTAAGATTATGTTTTTCCTCAAATTCAAATACTTAAATTTTCAGTTTGTTGTTTCTACAATGTTTGTCAAAACCTTTGCTTTGCAGTTAGTGAAATTGACTTTGCTTCCAAGGGAGATACCGACTGCCGCACATTCTTGTCTCAAGAGAAAACTGTTTTTCGTAAATACATAATGGGGAATATGCGTCCTCGGTCATTGTAGCAGACATAGTTGTTAGATATAGTAATTGCTACATTCGAACGGATAACATTTGTCAAAAGGATGCTTAATATATCACTGTCGTATTTCGGCTTGACTTTGACATTTGTCTCATAAGTACGTTTTCAAATTGAATGTCGTCTGAGTTGTTTTTTTATTTTTCTTGCTCAGGACATGGCTGCTGATGAGCTGTCAGAGTGTGTGCAGGACTTCTACCAGAACCTCTCCGATCGCCTCCACACCCAGTTCAAAGGTACCGCTTGACTCGCACTCTTTATAAGACTACGAAGAAGGAAATATGCCGAAAATGATACAGCGCATTAAGTCTTTGCTCTGCGTACCTTTTGGTCTTTGGGCTTCTGTCCCTAGGTTCGTCAGAACATGTCGAGAGCGTTATGGATCAAGTAGAAAAGTACATGATGACTCGTCTCTACAAGGAGGTTTTCTGCCCTGAGACCACAGATGATGAGAAGAAAGACCTGGCCATTCAGAAGAGAATCAGGTTAGCTAACAATGCTTACATTTGCAACTCAAAAAGCAATCAATATCTTTGCATGAGCAAGAAAGAACACAATTGCAAGAACTTCAGCCGAGGATTCCTCACATTGTAATCGTTGTGTTCCTTCACAGAGCCTTGCATTGGGTCACCATCGAGATGTTGTGTGTTCCTGTAGATGAGGAGATCGCTGAGGTGTCAGACAGTGTAGTCAAAGCCATCACAGGTCGGTCTCATAATCATCACCTCGTCATCTTGGCTGTGGAGATCCAGTAAGATTTTTGGATGGAGTAACGCCTTTTTCAAATCTCTGCATCATTTCAGATGTGATTGAAATGGATTCAAAGTGCGTGCCCAAGGAGAAGCTGGCGTGCATCACTCGTTGCAGCAAGCACATCTTCAACGCCATCAAAATCACCAAAAAGGAGGCGGCGTCCGCGGACGACTTCCTGCCAACGCTCATCTACATTGTACTAAAAGCGAACCCCCCGCGACTTCAGTCCAACATCCAGTACATCACCCGCTTCAGCAACCCCAGCAGACTCATGACTGGAGAGGACGGCTACTACTTCACTAATCTGGTGAGGAAGTGAATTGATGCTTGTGTGTGTGTTGTGCTGTCAAATTGTGTGGTGTAATACTGATGGGTGTATTTTGGTCCCTCACAATTTTATTAATATGGGTAGGTTAAATAACAAACACTTTTCTGTGTAATTCAATAGAATTCAGCACTACAACCTTCGTTGTCCAATATTAACATAACCATTAACCAAAAACCTCTTAAATAGTTGTGACACAAAACATTATGATCCCGACTCACAGGGCAACAATGCAGGAAGCAGGAGAAGATGGTAAACATAACGCTACAATTCTCCCGGTTATGACACCGTAATGTTATATAACTTTGATGTTTTGTAACCGTTGTCATGGCAAAATTGTGATATTTTCCAATGCTTCATGTCACGTCGCACGACAACACATGAAGGTAAATGGTGCCTCTTCTTGACTTCTCTGATCAATCTTTCATAGCTTCTAAGCATGTCAGAGATAATTCAGTAGACCACCGATGGGAACACATTGCTGTATGCGCATTGGCAAAAAGTCCTTTTAATGATTGGAAACCCTTATTCTATCTTTGTAAGTCAATCAGAATCCCCAGACTGATGACCTCCGAAGGGGACGTCTTCTATTTAAAACCCGCCCCCTCCTTTCCTTTCCCCAGTGCTGTGCCGTGGCCTTCATCGAGAAGCTGGACGGCCAGTCTCTGAACCTGAGCTCTGAGGAGTTTGAGCTCCATATGACGGGCCAGGCGTCCCCCCAACGGCCACAGGCCACCGGAGCATCCTCCGGCAGCAGCGCTCTCAGCCAGGGCCACCAACGCGTGGACCCGCTGGCGGGGCTCGGGGAAAGGCAGGAGCAGGTCATGGAGAAGGCCCGCCAGCTGGAGAGCGACCTCATAGACTGGACGGACGAGGTGGAGCAGAAGGTGCAGAGCGTTCTGGAAAGCTTTCCGCCAGAGGCGCAAAACCCCGCCGCGACCGCAGCGGCGTCTGCCATCGACTCTGATAACGTTGAGAATGAGCAGCTCCCACCTCCTCTGCAACCGCAAGTGTTCGCTGGCTGACTGTCCCTGCAAAATCCGGTTTAGGCTTTACTCCGCCCTTCCTCTTTTCCCTGCTGTTAAACTTTGCTCTCCGAATGCCCACGCAGAAGCCGTCCGATAGGGATCACGTTTCCACTCGCTCTTTTAGACCACTTCTTCTTGCAGAAGTAAGTGCAACGATCAATAAACACTCCTATCTGTACGGTAAATATGAAGCAAAAGAGCAGACTAACCACTCCGAGTTCTTCTCAAACACTTCTTTGGTCTCCCACAATGGCATCATCAGTACCTTTCAGTACTTCTTTACCCTTGTTATTGTAGCACCGCTTACGCAGACGTGGTAACTGGTTGGATGTGCTGTACAAACCTACTCCTGTATTATTCAGACAAGGAAAAAGTTTTTGCTTTTATAGATGGCAAAGTGGGTGCTCAAAATTAACTATAACGTTACTGCCCAAGAAACATCTAGTGACTCTACAGGAAATATGTTTTTCTTAAAGGAAATGGCAAAATCAGATGAATGCAAAACCTCCTCTTGCTAAATTAACCCTCTATTTCATGCTGGTGATTTGTGCTGTGTTTGTGTTCACTGTGCATTTCCCCATTCAGCAGAGAACTATCCGGAGGGGAGGGGAAGGGGGTGGCGTGCGTGGTTGTGCATGTGGGAGAGTGTGTGTGTATGTGTGTGTGTGTGTGAGAATGTGTGTTGCATGGACATGCTCTGTTAATGTCGGTAAATCGTTCAATCCGCCCACTGATGTCACTGGATCATGTGTTCTTGTTTCCTCTCACTCCAGCCACAGTCTGGATGTACAGAAGTGATTTTATTTTTCTATAGAGTTATTGATTGTTTGGGATGCAATAGGAGACATTAATCCTGTAATATTTACAGTTGTAGTACTAATGAAGAAAAAATATTGCTTGAAGACATGTTACATGAATTCTGTAGACCAAATAGTAAGATTGTCATCTCTTTGTTTATATTGTAAGGGTATCGTGAGCATGTGCCATCACAAGAAAGACGTTTTTAGGTGATTCGTTTGGGGTTTTGCTCCGTCAGAGCATTTGATTTAAGTAGCTAAGAAGTCAAAGAGGATGCTGCTTCCCATAAACGCAAGGTAAATAAATAAATCACCTCTAAGGCTGACATGACATCACCAATTTCATATAATTTTAAAGCACTTTTTATGTTTGATTTAGAGCTCTTATTTCAGAATTACACTTGACAAAGTAATGGCTTTATTCAGTTAAAAGGATAATTGGTGAACGTCTCTGTATTGGGCAGTAAAAAAGAAAATGTTTTTTTTGTTTTCCTTTTCTCATGAACTTGCTCGACGTTGCTAGATTCTAATATTATCTTTCATTGTTTTTTGCAGCACATGAAGTTAGTGTGCAGTTGCTGTCCATTTTTAGTTTGAGAAAGGAGTTCACACAAACTTAAACAATGGCCAGAATAACTTAATATTGCACTGTACGCTGAAGCCATTTGTGAGGTAAAGATTTTAAAACATTATCTTTGTAAACTTATCAGTTTGCTATTTTATCACTTAGGAGAAAGTACCTCAATACTGTCTTTTATTTATGTCTTAAGTTATTGGGGCAGGATTTGTTTATATGCCTTCATGGGTTTGTGATGATGAATAAAAATGTTAAAAAACAAACACCTTTTGTTTCTTTTCCTCATGCAGTTTTACCTGACTTAAATTAGTAAAATATAAATACCTAACTGTAAAATAAATAGTAAATAATTTAACAAAATGTAACATTTTGCGAGTTCATTAACCTTTTTTCCATGTGTATGCTTAAATTTTTCCATTTTGGAATCGGTCAATATTTTTTTGCAAATTACCAGTTTGTCAGTTCATTAAGTAAATTCAGATTTGTTCAGATGTCGGAAATAAAAGCCTAAATAGAATGAAGAATACCTTGGGAAAGTGATTTCTAAGAACTTGAAATTTGAAACATTATTACATTACAATTCATTCATGACAGTCTTGAATTCTTTCTGGGTTACTGTTCTTACTGTGTTTAAAAACTAAGACCGCACTTTGCACTAAAACGAAAGTATCTGCTTTTGAAAAGATATACTTTGAACTATTAATGTTTAAAAAGAATTGCCATCCAATCCATAGATGTTTTAGTTTATTCAATAGTGCCACCTTATTAAAGATGGGTTTTAATTACCCATTTATTTAGCCCTTATGTTCACTATGTATTTATTTATCGTGTTTTATTTTTTCAAATATGTATCTCTTAATAGTAGTATACATTTCAAATTCAGATTCCAAAGAAGAAGGTGTTACTTTCTCTCCCGGGGAAGGTGTTAGTTTTGGTTCCCATAAAAGTATGCTCTCAGTTTCTCAAAATGAAAAATAACTTTTTTTTGTTAGTTATTTTTACAAAAGGGGACATCCTGCGTGATGAGTCAAAGCTCCAAAATCATTCTCACTTCCCTATTCGTCAGGATTATAAGAATCTCCGTCAGTCTCTGTTTCTGACCAGCTAGGAAAATGGACACGGTAATTTCCCTCCTTGGTGAGTTTTCTTCAATTCAGAATTATTATTTTATTTTTATATGTTATTGCCTTTCCTTCATCTTATACACGTTTATTTTCATTTTCAGTTCTTTCAACACTACTGCAGCTCGTAGCAGCTGAAGGTAAGTACCAAATAGTCCCATCTTTAAATTCTGCTTGTAGAAGAACAAAGTATTTCTACACATACTCTATTCTGTTCTAAATCATCTGCTATTTTATCTGTGACATCATGTGAATTTAATAAAATAAATTGAACCTAACATTTGTAATCCCAAGAGCGCAGCTATAGAGAGGACACAGATTACTTTGTGACATTCCTTCCTTCCTTTCTTCATGTGTTTGTTTTTATAGTTGCCAGCGTGACCTCATTGAGAGCTGTGGTGGAGATCACGTCTGGGGATTCAAGGATCTTCTCTGGAGAGAGTGTGCGGCTGAAATGCAGCGTTCCTGATGTCCATCGGTCCGACTGGAAATACCTGTGGTTCAGAGGATCCGATCGCCTCCCACAGATTGAGGAGCACCTCGTTATATGGAAAAGCAAGGTTAAACATAGTGGGAAATATCACTGCCAGGGTGTGAGGAATACAGTGGTCAGAAACATCCACACCCTCAAAAGTCTGCCTTTGGAGATCAATGTTGATGGTAAGATCTCGTCTTTAAGAATCATTTCAATAGAAATCTCGTTGATTTATCAGGCGACTTCCTTCCTCTTTTTCACACTTCTTCTCCTTTAAAACATTAGGAATTTCTGGACTCTTGCGGTCGTAAACCTATTTGAAGTATTGTATTATGCCCCAATTATGTATAAAAGAATATTGCTTACTTGCATATTTATCTAAAACGCTGCCATTGGCCTGTTTTATTACATCAATACAATGCTATGCCACTATATGTTCAATTTAACTTTCCTCTCTGTAATCTTTGTTCAGGAGGGTGGGTTATCCTGCAAGTCCCCCCACATCCTGGCCTCGTCGGAGAGACCTTGGAGGTCACGTGTCGACTGCGAGTCAAAGCCAAACTTCCCGAGGTGATTCTATACAAAGATGGCGTTGAAGTTATGAGACAAATTGGCATCAACCCACAAATCTACCTGACCAACGTGACCCTCGAGGACCAAGGAATGTACTCTTGTAGGGCTTCCTGGGACGCAGATGGGCGCACACACTCTGCAATTTCAGTTGAGGCTTCAGTTCAGGTCGCAGGTAAGTTTGTGTGCTGGCTGAAAACAAGTTAAAAAACAAAACAAAAACCACCCACTGCAAACTGTACAGTTCTCTATGATGAGATAATTTGGACTATTTCCCAGCCTGCGGCTGAGATTTCACCGAGCAACCATTTTGTTTATTTTTGTTTAGACTGTTAAATTCTTTAAAATGCAATTGGCTAGCTGTTTACAGTATTTATAATAAGCTAAACTAACCAGCTTGTTAGTTTGTTCTGACAGAACATTTTAAAATTATAAATAAATTGTAAATTGTATGGATTTTTTAAAAGTGAGTCATATTTTGTACAGATGTCAGATTTCTCCTCTAACCCTCAGAGGGAAAGCGACTAATTTACCAAAATGACACATTTTTTCCATGAGATGTTTTTTCCACATTTGAATGTGTCAGTGATCTGTGTTTCTTTTTGGCTCTATTTTAGAGGTTCTGTCGCAGCCACTTTTGGAGATTGTTGCAGACAATAACCTGTTTCCAGTCAATTTCATGAAGCTCATCTGCCACCTACAATACAACGCCCGTGCTCCCGCCCCCCCCATACACTTCTATTTCTACAAGAATAAAAAACAAGTGGCCACGGCGAGCTCTGAGAAAAGTGTCACGGTGAATCGTACTCCAGGCCAGTACAGCTGCAAGGCCAGGGTGCCCGAGTTGGGTATCTCCCGGGAGAGCGAACTCAGATCCTTTGGCCAAGTAACAGGTACTTAGAAGTAAATGTTACTGTATATGTGGCCCAGTATGATTCAATGCGAAAAAAAGGTATCAAACAACAAAAGATATTCAGTATTCAGTGATTCAACTACCATATCATAACTATTAGAAATATACAATACCATGAATATCATATCATTAATAAATTATAATAAAGGATGAATATATTTATATTAAATATAATCAAACATGTATATATATATATATATATATATATATACATAAATATATATATTTGGTGGGGCCACGCCCCATGACCCTCTATGGGCCGCCACTGATTTGCAAGATCAAACCCAAATTATCTTCCTACTAAATATTTGTGACACCGCCGCGTAACTTCTTAGCTCAACTCGCCTCTGACCCAATACGATACTTGACCTTTAGCTCCCCCAATCTCATCCCCAGACCTGCGTCCTGCTGCTGAAACCACTGCAACCCGACCCTCCTCTCACCAATCCGCCGCAACTCCTACTGTTTCTCACCCCACTGGAGTGAGCATCCAATCCTCGTATCAACCTCAGCAGTCAGCAACAAGCAATTTCCTATCTACAGTCCCATCTCCTAATCAAACTGCGGCTGCTATGGAATCAGACGACACATCTGGAGAATCAGGCAACACGTCTGGAGGATCAGGCGACACGTCTGGAGGATCAGGCGACACATCTGGAGAATCAGGCGACATGTCTGGAGGATCAGGCGACACGTCTGGAGGATCAGGCGACACGTCTGGAGAATGAAGGCTTTTAATACGATTCTTTGTGTAATATTCATTCAACAAATTTCCTGTGTAAACTAACTGAATCAGTACTGTTGGAGTTTATTAACTACTGCCATACTGGTTAAATTAAATAAAGTTTTCAGCAAATGTACTACAGAGTTTTATTTTCACTGAATTGTTTTTACAACCCTACTGTACAGCATTACAGTTGAGTAGTATTTGTAAATTCACTCAATCGATATGCATAAGGATACTTATTATTTAAAGCTTTTATCTACTTAGCACATAAGTCATACATTTGTATGTCTGTTTTTGCAATTTGACAGATGGCCTAAGCCATCAGACAAAGTGTGGATTAACAGGAGATGTCAGAGTGCGGCAGCAGTAAACAAAGAGATGGAAGACAGCAAAACAAAGAGAACTTCTTTGTGGGGGTGTGACATGTGGTCATTTAAATCCGCTTGGGTAAGCAAGGGGGCTGGAGTCAATCCCAGCCAACTTCAGGCGAGAGACGGGGTACACAGGGCTAACACAGAGACAAACACTCACATGCACCACACGTGCATTTAGTGTCACCGATCAACCTGATCCCCAGAGCACGTCTCTGGACTGTGGGAGGAAGCTGGAGAACCCCGAGAGAAGCCATACAGAGAACCTGCAGACTCCACACAGGAAGGCCGCTGGGCAGAGTCGAACCCGGGACCTTCTTGCTGCGAGGCGACAGTGCTAACCGCCACCACGCTGCCCGAGGGCAAAACCTATAGCTATAAGTAACCACTTTATGCAAAGTGTATGGTTTAACACACTGTGTAAGAAGTTGACAGGCCTCGTAAAATAAAATATTAAAAATCTGCACACAATCTGCAAACACGATTTGAATGTGTGTGTATGTGTTTGTATACATATATATAATACATATATATATATGTAGACATAAACTCTACCCCTGGTATATTTATCAACAAGCCTTCAGTCTACAAGTCGTTGTATCTTTGTCACCCTGCTTATCTTCTCACATCGTACATTTTAAAGCCTTCTCCTAATGGATGTGTGTGTGGTGTGTGTTTTCTCAAAATGCCTCCTTCTTGTGGATTGGATCATTTACCCTGTGTCTTTGTTGTAATGCTTGTTACCTGACGAGGCTTGTTGGGATGGAAACATCGAAAATAAATATAACAGCAGTAAACAAGACATTTGTTTTTATTCAGATGGTAATATAATAAGATACGGGTAAGATAATAACACAATAACATGATCTTGACATTGCAGTCCTTAAGTTTTCTTTGTGTGCAGGTTTTGAGCCGTTCATAAGTAATACGTGTCATGAAGCACCACTTGGTATTTGTCCCTTTTCCAGAGAATGAGATGAAATAGTCCCAGATGTTACAGATGTTTACAGCGGAGGGTCAGGATGTGAATAGAGCAGGAACCCGGAGAAGATGCTGTCATCCTCACTGCTGGCATATGCCCCATTCCAGTCTCTGAGTGTCTCCATCCACACCTGATCCCCCACCGCCAGCTGCAGCACCACGAGGGTGGACGCTTGGTCGATGTCTTGACCGTACAGCGAGTCCCGCGTTCGTACCCGCCGCGACCCGTTCACCACCAGCGTGGCGCGCAGGGGCTGGTTGCGCACCGTGATGTGGAAGGAGAAGACGTAAACGCCAGCGTGGACACACGTGAAGCTGTTGGACGTGACATTGAAGTGGTTCTCTTCGTTGTAGAAGACTTTGTCGAAGCGGATCGGGAAGCCAGAAGGGGGGAAGGACTTTTTCGGGGAGATACCTACACTGAAGGCTGAGCGTTTCTGGACATACTCGGATCCCTTCGACCCTTTGATTCCACGAATGCCTCGCTCACCTCTCTTCGCAGGGAAACCTCTGTCCCCTTTTGGTCCAAGCATCCCTCTTATGCCTTGTGGTCCCTGAGGTCCTCGGAGGCCCGGCTCTCCTTGTGGTCCCGGAGGTCCCTGATCCCCACGGAGACCCACGGGACCCGGGGAACCGTGCTTGCCGTTCACTCCTGGAATGCCCATCCCTCCTGGAATGCCGGGAGATCCCGTATCACCTCGATCGCCTTTCTGTCCCCTCTCCCCAAAAGTCCCACATTCCCCCCTGTCCCCCTTGTCTCCTTTAGGACCTATCTCAATAGCCACTCCCGGAGGTCCTGCTGGTCCCTCCTTTCCCGGTTCTCCTTTCTCACCAGCAGTCCCATTCTGGCCAGATTCCCCTTTCGCCCCACCGTCGCCTTTGACACCTTGTAACCCTATTTCACCTTTCTCACCTACTGCGCCAGCATCCCCTGTAAGGTAAAGAAAACTGTTGGAACCGGAGACAATATTAAAAAAATCAATAATCAACAAAAGCGGTTTGAACCTTTTTGTCCCGGTTTCCCGGAGCCTCCGGGTGGCCCGACAGTCCCACTGCTTCCTTTGTCCCCTTTTTCTCCTGATGAATTGATTTCATGAACAAAATCCAACATAAACAACACAAGAAGATTTTTTTAACTACTGCTAGTACGTGAAGAATAAAAAAAATGTACTGAATCACTTTCTTTTGAAGGGCCCAGTTGTAGTATGTCGGCCCATTGTTTCATAATGTCCTTTTAAAATTAAATTTAAATTTAAAATATTATACTAGCCTCTGTCTCCTTTCAACCCCATAGGACCACTGACTCCTTGTGGGCCAGGTAAACCAGCTGCTCCTGTAAGGCCTCTATCACCTGGAGGCCCTTGGGAACAAACACAGGAGTTCAAAGTGCCGAAAATTAACATACAAAAAATAAAAACATACAATGAAATAAAAAAAAACGTTTTCTTTATTTCACTTTATCAGAGTCTTTTACCTTCCAGGCCTCTGTCTCCCTTTGGCCCCCTGGGGCCTTTCTCAGGTGGACAGCACTCACAGAAGTTGAAGTAGCACTCGTTGTAATCTAGAGTGTAATTCTCCAGACCGGCACCAGGGGGCTCGGTGGCCACCGTGCGATACTGTGGATAGACCTGATTTGGGTAGGTGGTCCTCTCCGTGGGGGGCAGCGGTTGGGGCTTCACGGGGTTTGCACTCAGGACAGTCTTGAGAGCTTTGGGCATGCTGGTGGTGACAGGGCTGTGTACGGTGACCTGAGGGAGGGGCTTCTTGGTGAAGTGGTACTTCGGCCTCTGAGTAGTCTTAGCTTCAGCGCAGGACACCACAGTGAGTGCAACCACAACTACAGCCACAAGGGTTGACTGACAGGAGCTAATCCTCATGATTGACTGGTATCTGAGAACAGACGAGTTTAAAGGCTCTTTTCTTCTCTTTGCTTGTTCTCATTTCCATTTTCAATCCCACTTCTGGATTTAAAAGACGGAGAGTGACACAATATAGGCCAATGACCTGTTAGCGGTTTACTTTGTGAACAATAGAGAAAAAACACTGGGTGCGCGAGGAACCCACCCCCTTTCTGTTGGGATTCTCACTATTTATACTATTGAAAGTTTTTTTTCCCTCTTGTTTCCTACGCTGCCAATTTCAAGTTGGAGCTACTTTCTCAATCTCAATCCTGCGCCATAATGACTCTGTGGTCCTGCAGTTTGACTAGCTGCATTAATGGTTATTTAGCAGTAAATTCAGCTGTTACAAGGTTTAACTTCTGCATCTTCATTGTCATTAAGGTCAGTGAGCTCTTCAATCTAGATATGCTATTCCACACACACACACACACACACACACACACATATGTATATATATATATATATATATATATATATATATATATATATATATATATATATATGTATACATACAATAGGTCACTCATCAAGCAAAAATTCAACTTTCTATGCAACATTTCAAATCTAGCAAAACTGATAAGACTCACCCAGTATTGCACAAGTGGTACGGTCATTTATCCTCTCTGGCGGTGGCTTGGAGGCAGCCCCAGGAGCTACAGGTCTTTCTGATATCTCTGCGAGGTTTGGGCAAAAGCACATACCCTACCAATGAGGGTGTTTGCTGGAATCACAGGGGGAGGTCTGAAATCCGACTGGCGGGCTGGAGCCGACCCAAGGAGAACCACTGTGCTGTGGCCCATTCTCTGTACCCCTGTTGTGTAGAAAGGTGCTTTTGTGACACGAGATACAGCACCCGCCAGGAGCACTCTCTCTCGCTGCTAGCTAGGCAAGGAGCAAAGGCCATGGGGCAATGGGTCACCCGATATGGGAGGCATTCCTCCAACATCCAAACTACTACCCAGGCTTTTACATTGGAGCAAAGCCAAGCAGGTGAGGGGGGGGGTCAGTGAGAAAAGGCCTGGGGTAATACAGCAGCCCTTTTGCAAGAGTAAGCTCGGACTCCCATTTCTGCATGAAGGTGCAAAACCCTCTTTTTTATAGATATTGTACGTGTGGGGGTCCGCAGTTGCAAGTTGATGTTCGCCAGCAGATCGAAACATTTGCAGAAATTTATCCAAAACGCTTTAACCAAAAGGTTTGCAAACTGGCGCTCACACAGGGAGCCCAGTATTTACCATCCACTGGTACTTGGTGAACATCCAGAAGAAAGCTTTAGCATTAAGAGCACTGATAATCTCCTCACTCAACAGTTGCTAAACCTGAGCTGTTTGTCAAAGAAACCAGCTTATCTACTTCAAATCAGTGCAGTTGCAATGCTTGCCTGATCACTGTGACCGACCTTTTGCACCAGCCCCCGGGACCGCTGGCAGATATGTGTGCTAACTATGATTCAAACTGTGTTGCCGGACAATGATTCATTCTTTGGGTGTAACAAGATAGCATCGGTTTTTGTAGAAAAGTGATTTTCTGGTAGCTGTCTGCTCGAAACTCTCGACTGGACAGTGAATGAATGTGTGAGCGGTGGACATGCCTCAGTAGTCAAAGACCTCACATCCTCAGAGGGATCTATGACCAGCTATGAGTGAGCAGGAAGAAGGGAAATGAAATTTGGGAAACAGAGAGGGGTGATGTTGGGATGGGGGCTTCTAAAAAGGAGACGATTGTGTTTATTTAAAACATTTTTTTTATCTTCTCACATATACTTTTCTTTACCTCCTCACCTCAATTCACAAGCGCGTTTTCTTTCTCCTTCCCAGCAGCTCGGGTGAAGTATCCCTGACTTGCCCCTCCATAAAAGACAAACTGAGCGAGTGTAAGATATGCAGCCGAGTCCTGAGAGAGGGGTTCCTCAGGGGTTCTCCATGCCCGACCTTAACCCCGTCGTCTCTCAGATCCATTCAGATCGCACACAACAGCAGCGGTCAGCTTACAGTGCCCAGCTGGTCACCTGTGTGCTTATTTAACACTGGCACCAGCCCTGCTCTCACCTCCACACACACACACACACACACACACACACTGTAAAAGGATAAGTAAGAGTTAACTTACTCAACGGGTGCAGCCGAGCAGAGAGAGAGAGCCAAAGAGGACTCGGATTGATGGAGTTGTCTTGCCTTACATTAACTTTGTTCATTCGATCTTCAAGCTGCAGTGAAGGTATGGAGAGGGTGAGAGTGAGGCAATGAGATAGAAACTTGTTTGTATTAAACTCGTTTGTGTTTGTTACGAACACAGCAACCAGTCACTTAAAATATCCCACTACTAACAGATTATGAAAACACTTTCTCGTGCTACTTTTTCCCCAAACAAGCCTCTTATATTATTACGGGTTGGATTTCAATGTGCTTTTAAATTGATACATTTTGGGCTGTACTTCTGCGGCTTCAAGGAAACATTTGGACATCTTCTGTCTTTCTTCAAGAGAGCGAGATGAAAAGATTGATGCAGCTCACAAGTATGACCTGTAACTCAGACCGACGTGTTGCAAACAACCCTCTCTTGTCCCTCCTTCCTAAACAAACTCTAAATTCCCTCATTTCAAAATAATAGCCCCTTGGAGGGAATTCAAACATTAATGCTTAAGACTGTACATATCTAATTATTCACTTATTACACTTTACATATGCATATACTCTGCACTTTTTGCTATTTTGCACTCTGGTTGGATGTTAAACTGCATTTCGTTGCCTCAGTACTTGTACCCTGTGCAATGACAATAAAGTTGAATCTAATCTAATCTAATCAGGGCTATCATTTAATAACCTCTTTGTGTGTATGTCAAAGCATTTGTATTCTGTCTCCTCCGTCCCCCTCCCTTCTGCCCCCCACCCAATACTATAATTTCCAAATAAAAGCTCTACGGGGGGGAATTTGCACTATAATGCTTGTGATGAGGCCTGTCGGTTAATAACTTCTTAGTTTGAAGAACAAACATTCTGTCTCTTTACCCCCTCGCTCCCTCACCCAGTCCCATCATTTCAAGATAAATCGTTAATGGTTATCTGTACCTTAACATGGTGCTCGGAATGAAACTTGCTCATTCAAATACCCTACTACTAATATTACTACTAATACCAATGCTACTAATACTACTAGTACCACTATTACTAACACTGATACTCATTTCTGTATTTCCAGCAATTTTTAAAAATGTATTTCAGCTTTTAGCTTTTTCTGCAACGCATTTTCTAGTTTACAATACTATTCTAATGACTTCTTTTGATTCAAACAAACTTTCTTTGACATAATAAGTCCAGTCATTTTGCAACACTTAATTTTATGACATAGTATAATAGAACTTTTTACACCTTTCTTCGCCTACAATTGTCTTTTTATTGCAATTTTAAGATACACTCTGAGAACTGTAGGACTTTTAAAAGATAATATGATAACATTATAATCTATGACTGTGTGATGCTTTGTGTGGCAATTTGCGCACAGAAGGAACAGTGCTGACCACTAAACCACCAAGCTGCATTATTTCATAGTTGCGTTTAAAAAAACACTGTCTGTGTTAGAAAAAAGTACTCAAAATTCAAAGTAGAGCTTGCCTGACAAACTATTGGACTGAGGGAAGAAATTGGATATCCGATACAAGACCCGCTCTAACAGAGGAGGCCACTTCAACACAGAACGGACGACCAGTGGAACAGTGACAGCAGCTACACCACGCAATGCTCTTTTTACATTGTGTCGAAAAAATGAAAGTCATATAATTGTCTGAAAAAAAATCATACAAAATTAAAAGTGTATTTTAAGTTGAAAAGAAGTGATAGTAGATTGTGCCAACAAAATTCATAGTTTAATATTTACAAAAAAGCCTTGACGGTCATAAATTGGCATGAAAGGTCATTCATTGTACATTAGAGGAAGAAAGACAGTTGAAGGTCATGTCGAAAAAAAGTCAGAATATAGTATCTTTAAAAAGTCATAAGAAATCATTGTACGGTATCTCTAAGAGAAGTACTATAGTATTTAAAAATAGGTCACAGTTAGAAATGATGTATTAAGTAAAAATATATATATATATTACAGAAAAAAATAAAATAGTACGTCCGAAAGAGTCATAATATAGTAAGTTGAAAAAGTTCATGAATAAGTCACAGTTAAGTATCTCTGAGAGAAGGAATAATGCAATAATGTCTTGAAAAGAGGTAATAATGTCAAAATAGTCATCTTTAATTTCTTTAAAAAAAACTAATTTGGGAACTTGGAAATAGTTCATAAAACAGTAATAAAGTCGAACTGTCAAAAAAGTGGAAAAAAATGCAAAAAAAACGCAAAAAAGTTGTAGTTCATAGTATACCGAGTAGTCGTCACTTCACCTTCATCACAAGTCATCGTTACTGCATTGTTTGTAAAAAAAAAAGAAAAAAACAAAAGTTAAGTTTACCTCAGCAAAGCCTATCAATTATTTTATAATGGTACACTTATACATGTGCACGTATATATCAGAATATGTATGAAAACTCTGTCTCCCTCCCTTTTGGGTTTCACAGTAAAAACTATTGGTTTCTTGTTGATCATCCCTTCACAGGAGCTTGGTCCATTATTATACAGCACCACACTCTGAATACAGAACCGCAATGTGAACCGGGTACTCTCAACTTAATCAATAGTGATAAGAGGGCTTACTGGACCAGATACTCTGAGATAATTTAACTTGGTAAAAGAATGAGACACTATTTCTCTACCTTACCACTTGATGGCAGACTTGCTTCTTATTTGGTCTCTGCTCTGAAAATGACACCCCCATGATAGAAACTGCAACTACTTTGTCTATTTGTACAAGTTGTGTTTGTGGCCCCTGTAAGTACTATAATATGTGATAATCAGTTAATATGTTACTGTTAAAAAAATATATAAATATTATGGTACTGGTTCTGACCTGGTTCTGGCTTGTTTGGGCCCCAATTGGGATCTGCTAGTCTCCACAGGTCAGCAAAGCCTTTGCATGAACAACGCCATAAACATCTAATATAAGCTTTTACTTAAACTGTTATCATTTTCAATATCCGGATAGTGTTTAAGATGTCGATCTCACAAGTAGGTCTAAATGTAGGAGCACAACAATGCTGTCTCTTTAAAAAGCTTCATCAACCTTTACTGGGAGTCAAACCTGGAATAACATGTTTTCATTTGGAGTTCATTGTCCGTTTTGCTGGGCCCAGGTGTTTATCAGGCCAACCACTCCTAGTCTCCTATTGACTGATTTATATCTCAGATATGCAATACTCTGGAACAGGAAGCTGTGTGAATATTTTCTCCATCTTTGATCAACAGAGAGTGGCAATAATTGAGCAGTCTCTCTAACACAGCACCAACCCTGTCTGATAGCACCAAGATCAGTGGAGTATTACATCTTGTTTGCTCCGTGTGTTGAAATCCCCCATTTTTCTCTGCATGGGAAGTGTTTCTGGATTATGTCGTAATTGTGCAATTGAAAGTACATACGCATATACTTTTTTTGCCTTTTTCTTCTGACAGACTGTGAACGTTGATGCAAATGTTTTAGTTTCTATGAACATTGTCCAAGGTGCAACCAAAGTACACACATTTCTCAACTACATGGCAAGTTTGCATGTGCATATTAGTGGCTTTAGTCTTGATAAAGGACAACATTTAATGACACATATGGGACATAAAAGTTGAAAAAAATAACAACAAACTTGATTTTGTTTTGTAGAGATCAGAAGAACTTCAAGTGAATTACTAAAATAAAAGTGTTATCCAGTGAGTACCGTCACTGTGAAGGTACACACCTGTACACACCTGTAGGTACAGAGAACAGTGGTGGCAGACTTAAACTCAATGTTATGTTTCAATGTTACATTTTTATGGATAAGTGGCCAAAAGTATTTTCGTGTGTATTCATATTAACACTAATAATATGGCAAAACCTTCTTGGGTTTCCTTGAAAACTGAAACCTGGTTGCGTCGGCAGTTTTATTTAGGAAAAACAGTGGCAGGCCAAGCATAAACACAACAGAACAATGCGCCGGCCATCTGGCTGAGAGCATTTGAGTCGGCGGTGAGCTTTGTTTACACATTGTCTTTATGGAGATAATATCTTTCTTCATGGGAAACAAAATAACAAGTGAAGTAGAAAGAGAAGACGCAGAGCCAAGCTCGTACTATTTAGGATGTCATGAGAAAACGCAGCACCTGGGGGTTAATATGTGACTGGAGAGGATGTGTGGTCAAGGAAATGAAAGAATGGAGAGGAAAGGAGTTGAACTGTTTGGATGGTTAAGTAAAGGGAAAAGGGGGGAGGGAACAGGAAGAAAGTCAAAGGAGCAAAAGGAAAAAAGCGATAGGGATGGATGGAAAAAGAGAGCTTCAGCAGTGTTTAGTTGTGCAGGTTCAGAGCTCATGGTGTTGCAGTGGAAAGAACTAGATGGAGGTGTCTGCTTACAGGCATGAACATCTTACCCCACAAATCACTAAACGATAACAACCCACGGCTCCCTTCCACACCATTCATGTCGCAAACCATTTCCCACCGCTCCACCGGAAAGTCTTTAAAGCAGACTTTGTTCAGCATCCTTAACAACAACACATTCACAGTGTGTCTGCGGCACGGCGGGCGTCACACAAGCAGAGCTTTGTGGCAGGTTGACTGGTATCCGCAGCAGGGAAAGCAAAGCTATTCATTCCTGAGGAGGACTGGTTCTCATTGTGTGAGATCACTTGATGTGGTAGAGTCATCTGCGTCAGGGATGCGCCACCCATGAAGCCTCTGTTGGCTTTTTCTGGCATTTTAAAGAAACCGCTCCGCTGGACTGAAGGCATAAGCAATGCGCTGAGTGAGCTCATATTTCAAACCGTAACAGCAGACATTTATATATATAAAAAAAAAAAAATAGCACGAGAAAGACAAAAGACAAAAATCCAGGTATCTTCAGATGTCTTTATTTTATTTTATAACATTGCGGTGCGGTGTTACTATCATTGATACCTTAAACAATAATTTCAGTGAACTGTGAAAACAACACTCTCACAAGCTTTTCAAAATGTATACAGGAAATATCTGGACCAAATAATAATAAACTAAAAAGAAATAATACAAAATATAGAGCAAAAAAAAATTATGCTATTTACGGCCATCACAGAACACAAATAAATATCAGTTAAAAGTTTGGTAATTGACGTTGTAACCAGCCAAGCAGTTACCAGGTAATATAACGCTATACATACATAATGAAGTCAACATGAAGAGGACGATGACTGGACTGTAGACCTCGATACAAACTACAAATAATCAAAGACAATCTTAAACACACAACTAGAAGCCAAGCTCATCATAACGGTCATTAACTATTTCCTCTTCTGTTCATCACTATTGATCAACTATAGTCAAGCAAGACAGTTTTTGCTTTTGGATATTTCTGCAGAGTTCAGAGGTTTAGATTAAGTAAGGCGATGTCATTGACAAGGCCAAGCCTAGAACGTGAAGGTGTGCTCTATCAATATTTGCTCATGCAACGTGCTGAGCACACCTTTCTGGTAAACCAACAGGTAACAGTTAAACAGCAGATAAAGTGAGGGATACACTGTTATGTTCGGTTTATTACGCATTTTAAATCGGTAAACCGGTGTCACAGACGCCCCCCCCCGCCCCCCCTGTGGTGCCCTGAGATTCATTGCATGTCTCAGGCTTTTCTATTGACCCTCCCTTGAAGGATGAGCTGCTAAAATGTGCATTGTACCCTGCCAGCTGGCATTAGAGCGCATAAAAGGTAATAGTGATTCTGACACAAGCTCAGCCAGTGACTTTAAGTCAAATACTTCACCTTTATCAGAGAGCAACTCACAAACAGTGGTAACAGGGCCAATAAACACGGACACACTAATGCTTGAAAGGGGCGCTGTGCTGATATCACAGATTGTACAATAGTTGTAGACTGACTTCTGTGGAGCTGAAGAGAGATTTCCAAAGGCTTCCAAAGTCTCAAATTACTGCTCCTTATATAGCAAACACTCAAGAGTGAGCAGCTCATTAACAAAATGGAAACGTATGAATAATCGTCAGCATTGACAGCTACACAATGCACGTTTTCCCACTTATTAGATGCTCTGCCTCGTATGATTGATGGACAGACAGTAGCGCACGTGCTGTTGATACACTTTAATAATAATATTATGGGAGTCAGCGTTTTTCAGGATATCTTATCCTCTCCTGCTTCAATTAAAACCCCTCTCTTCAGTATTTGTCTGCAACACATTCTTTTTTCTTCTCTTTTTTTTTCTCTCCAGAAAATGCCCCATTACAGATTGTAGCTTGAACTTCATCTCAAAGAAAATAACAGAATGCAGCAGTATTTTGTTGTGAGACAAGCATGCAAATGTGCAAACCGTTTATGATCCTAAGATGCAAAACCCAGAAGCGGTACGCACTCACTGAGGACTCGCAGTAGGAGAGACGGAAACAAAAAGGACAAACAACATTTAACAAAAGGTTGCACAGCAAGGGCCTGAAGGCACTGCACAGTGTGTCTGATCACCATGACTGTGATGTGAAGAAGATCGTCAGGCTCCGACATCCAGATCATCTCATCAAAAGCTTCATGTTGTCCGCTGTGGTTCGGGATGAACGTGGTGGAAAGAGGGACTCAAGGTGCGCTTGGAGATAAGGGGTTGAGTTACACGGACTTTGCAGACTTGTCCCTGCTTCTCTTTTCCCTCCACTTCCTCTCCATCTTTCAGCTCATGAGTGCCATGGCGCTCTCGGGCTGGCCCCAAAAGATCCCAGAGAAAAACTCCAGTGCGAGTCTCACGTGAATGGGCACAAAGACATAGGAGGTGTAGATCACCATGGCGATGACGGAGAAGAGGACGGAGTTGAAGATGGACTTTTCCCAGGGCTCCAGGACATAGATGCCGGTGATGAGCAGGTACTGGTAGTACAGCCAGGCCAGGTACTCCCAAATGTTCTTGAAGTTCATCTTGCAAGCTGGACGGAAGGCGTGGCCGCGTTTCAAGCCGTAAGAAGAGACGTTGTAGAGGAGGATGAAAACACAGTATACAAATATACACTGTATTCAAAATGTCGCTAGTAAAAGAAAGGAGGGGGAGAGGGGAAGTAATGCTCAAGATGAAAGGCTTCGTTCAGTAGATTCATTATTGCAGATGCATTATATTATGTTGAGGAAGTTACTTTATTTACAGTCTGATCTATTGCAATGTATCGTATCTCACGTGCTGATTATGATTCATATGTAACTCCTTAATTTTCAAAGTAACGTAAAGTTGTCAAAGAAATGTGGCCATGTACTTTCTCTGCAATGTTGTGGAGCTGGAGAGTAATGTATAGCATTATATGGTAATACACCCTAAAGAAGAAAAAAAGACCACAAAAGATTCTTAAAATGATGCTATAATAACATATTCATGACAGCCATACGTGGATAAAGACATGTTGTGTCATGTGTCGGCCATTATTCTTGACAACTGAGAACACAATGGAAAAATGATCCTTAAAAGGAAAATAAGGTCATTGTGTGTTAAACAATAAGGGTGAAGGGAAGCAGGGGCACATCTTTGGCCCCTTAGACCCACAGCAGGAACCAGGGGGGGGCGATCAATGAGGCATCATGGATCGAACAGGATTCACGCGTGAGACAGAGAAACACCAATGGCATTGAGACGGCGGTCCAACATGAAAACATTACCCATATTTTCTTGACACACATGCACCTGTTCTGAAAATTGGCCTATAGGTTTGTGCTACATGAGGACCATGAGGAAGGTTACATGAAGAAGGTTCCGGGGTAGTAATGGGAAAGCTTTCCCGCTCCATGGAACGCGCACCTTCACATAAGAACAAAATAATAAATCGCACGTGTTGTGTGTTTTTAATTCTAACATCACGATGTGCCGTCTAGCCTTTTACCTACCTCTGATTTAAACATTGCTTAATTGGGAGCTTTGCATAGCCGCAGAAATCAGCATTGCCACACAGATAATGCCACAGGTGCAGAGGGCGGGGTCAACAGGTGCGGTATGAGCAGGTGCTCTTAACTGAAAAAACAGTGGGTACCACCCAAATAGCTAGTCTCCTCAATAGGATGCACACAAGTCAACTTCCCCAACATGAATAGCGCATCAAACAACACCAACGTTGGAGGGCCTCTCGCCCCGCGTGACCAGCAGGATGGTAACCCTTTATTCAATCGCCTTAATACGCCAATTAACGAAACACGTTTCATCACTAATGGTGTTGAGACTTTTTAATATTAGAGGTGGTCGATCACTGCAGCCTGAGACTCACCTGTGCAGCCGGTGTGGAGTCGCCCCCCCGGATGTGTGTACTGATGGAGATACTTAGTGGACGCGTCCCGCTGCTGCTCCGCTGCCTGGTGGAAATCAAAAGCCGCCTCACCACACCGCCGCCGGCGTATATGTAGGAGGTCATGCACACTAGTAAATGACACCACACCCACCAGCGCTACACGCGGGGCCACTCACGACTCACAGATCATGCAGGTGGAGGGCCAGTGTGTGTGTGTGTGTGTGTGTGTGCGCTTTATCTAGCTCTGGTATATATTTTAACCGTCAGGACATATATATATATATTTTTTAATATAAAATATGTATTGCTTTAACTATATGGCAAACTATATTTACTTAAATGTGTATGTACTCATATTTGTGTTGGAAAACCATCAAAAGACTGAAAGCACTCTCAAGACACAAACATATATTCTTAAAAGCATGAACTTAAATGTCTTAAAAGAATATGCACAACCCCAAATACCCCGGAGAAGCAGTTCAGTACCAACTGAGAAGTTGTCCCTTTTGTTTAAGGGTAATCAGTTAAGGAAATCAGATCCCTTATCTGAGGTTGCTGACATACAAGTCTTGCACTTGACATCACTATGTAATATTGGTGTGTAAACACCATGGAAGGATGACGGCTGGTCTACAATGCCAGAAACGTCCCATGAATAACATTTATATAATAATAACTGATTTAATAGGCTCGAACTCTGTTTAGTGTAAATATTTACATGAACAATCCTGAAGTGAACCGCTTCACGGACGTTGTAAACTCCAACAAGATACAAGTGGTGTTTTTTTTTAGTATTAGAAATTAGGGGGGTGGCGAGGCATTTAATCGGTTGGTGCACCTGCAAAGGTGGTGAGAAAAGCAGGTGAACAGGAGGGTGTTCAGAAAAGAAGCAACTGTCCCGTACTCTTAGTTGGTGTTGCAGACAGACACAGACACACAGAGATCCAGAGGGGCTTCACCTCGCTCATTCTCCCAAGTAGATCTGATTACCGTTAAGAGCGAGCTCCGGTTTGTGAAAACACGACTGGGCCGCCCGCCATGTGACAGAACGCGCCGACCTGGGATACGCTCAGTCTAAAGCCGTGGATCCGTTGGTTTGAACATGATAATAAATCACGTTTTGGATTGTATGCTCAAGAGAAGGGTGTGTGTGCAAACATTGTTTTACATTCTCATACCAGGGATCATCCAAATGTATATTTAATCTTCTCTTACAGAGTACTTTAGGCAAACTGGCAATGTACTCTCCACCTTTTGTCCCCACCCAAAGAATTTTGTTACAACTAAGATATATGAAGAAGAAAATGAATTGATTTACAAGCACTTTAAGTTATTCTCTTTACTTAGAAAGCTTCTCTTACATAAAGAATTGTATCCAGTATAGATAGTACATGTTTTAATTTAGTGTGCCTGGTTTAATCCTTTCATGAGCATGAAACACTACATATAAGAGTATTTAAAATAAAGCATGTAAATATTTATTGAAATGATTATAGAGTGGAATCTAGCGCGGATGAAGCAGCCTCGGCTCCCATTTTGCATCTGAAGTTGCGGCCGCAGCACAGAGCACGGACAGGACTGTAGAAGAAACAGCCCAGTTAATGTTTGAACAATGTCCACGGTGGCCATGTGACACCATTTACAGACACAACACATTTATTCTCTTTTGTTAGTGGCCCAAAGCTCCCTCTGGTGGATAAGCACAGCAGACACGTTAACTATGAAAGCCATTGGTCAATGATGGAAACCTCCGTCTCCTCAATGTCTATTCACCCCGGCCCAAGAAATAATTGTGAAAAGTGTGCATTCGGCCAAATGTTTATTTTGATTATAGTGAACTAGAAGCACTCATTTTCAACATTACATCAAAATGTTAAATGACAAAGTGAGTACTTTAGACACGCGGTGTGACTTAGTGGCACCATCATAACCAGCAGCATTACATTTGTCCGGCGTATCGAACAATATTTGTCAATCAGTCCTCAATCTGCAGTCAGTAAGTGTATTTGCACCACTGCATCATTAGCAGACCTGTATTTGCTCGGTGTCACACGCGAAGGAAGGACGGTAACCGGCTACTCCGTCAACATGTCGGCACCCTCTCCCCCCGTTGCATCCGTCAGGCTGAGCTCCTCCAGCATCTCCACCAGGGACACAGTCGGAGCGCCGTCATCGTCTGTGTCGCTCTCCACTGGGATCTTTGACGCATCTGAAATTTGAAATCCACCTCTCCTTATTTACCCCCACATACATCTATGGCGTGCGTTGAACAGAAAGTGCCGGTCTGAGAACGCTGGTGCCGTGAAGAGTGTGCAGCTGCTCACCTCTGTAGATGTTCACATTCTTCCTCAGAGCTTCATCCTCCTCCAGGTCCTCCAGGAAATCCTGGTATTGTCTAAAAAAAACGAAAAGCAAGTAAGAGGAAGGCTCATGTGGCACAACATTACAGAATGTTATTTTTAACGGGATACTTTGCATTCCCATTTCCCAGTTACAGACTAACCAACCAATACATCGATAAAGTTATTGGAGCTTTTATTGATTTACTTTGAGAGAAAGAAACCCCTCAGAAGTTATCTCCTACCTTTCATCATCGGTGTCCATGTCTTCACGATCCCTCGCCATCTCCTGCAGCTTCCAGTTCCTGCGCCTCACCCTCCTGCTGCGGTCATAGCTCTTCTTGATCAGAACCTACGAGGGTTTAGTTTGTACACTTTAAGAATCACACTGCAAACTTTTTGTTTTGTGATGTTATTTTGTGTTTGAAATCGCCACCGGAGGTCAGTGTTCGTCAAGTCAACAATAGCTACTTGAACATGGACACCCTGGTTTATTCACTGAGGAGTCGAGTCTCACCACGTCAGGAACGTGATGAGGGTTCATCTTATTCAGGTTTTCGTCATTGACGTTGGAATTGGCAAAGTCAAATCTGTAGTGGGAGACGTAAACAGGCCATGAAGTGAGCATGTGATCTGTCTTTAATGCCAACGTGAGCAGCATCCTCGTACACTCACCCCAGCACCAGGTCCCCGATGTTGAGCAGGTGGCCGAGGTACGTCCGGCAGTGATACTGCTGACTGGTGTCCATCTCCGATGTTTTCTGGACCCACACCTCAGCCAGGGTGTGCTGTAACGAGCGCACACACACACACACACGGAGAGGGAAGGGGGGGGTGAAGTTTTAATCCAGTAGAACAAACAGGTTGTTCATTTCCTGCAGTTTGTTCAGACAGCTGCAACATCCAGAGGGCAGGGAAAGCAAACAGTGTCCCTGCAAACCTCATCACCTGCACCATCGAAACAAACACTGCTGTGTGTTCCCATCGGTTTGGCATTGGATGATGTAATGCTACGCTATTGATTTTGCTCACAAAATAAAAGCAATGTCCCTACATAATGCAATCTGTTCCCACACACACACACAAACCTTATTGGACCTCAAGCCGGCTCCAGCACCCAGCTTCTGGTTCCTGAGGGTGTCAGTGTCCATAACAATGAACTCCTCCAGTTGCCGTCGGTTACAGAGACTGTAGAAGGGGTTACGCCAGTACGTGTTCCCATCCACCTCAGCAACTGGTGAGTTGAAGAGATTATTCATGATACAATTATTGCAATTTCAAACGCGAGGACATGTTATGTAGCACAAATCGTTATGTGATCTAACTTGGCGGATTTTTCAAAACCAAAACCCTCCAAACGGCGCACAGCTCCTCTCTTGGACACTATTTGTGTTGGTGCTGCTCTCGTTTTTCAAACTCCAACACATTTTTTGTTTCTTTGCCCAAACAAACACACGAGTCCTAAACACAACTCTGTTTGGATTGACGTAAACTGAAGCAGACCAATTGCAACGTAAATATTTGTAATACTCCAGCTAATTGCTTACAGCAGCACAAATCTGCCAAACAGAGCTTTGCCCCAAGGCTGTTTTGGCTATTCAGCCTGCTCAAAAAACGTTCTGCTACAAAAATAGCCTGCTCTTTGAAGAGTAATTAAAAACGTGCGTGACGATTCCAAAGTGTCAGATTTCTGTGGAGGGGCGTCTCAGCCTCTCGCAAAATGACTGATTACACAGAGGAAGCACATGGTTGCTAATTGTCTGCATTCTTGAATTCATAATGAATCTCTCCACACAGTCGGACTCGGCTATGACGGCATGTACTGAATCTATTTTGATTTGTGTCTCGTGCCTCGCCCTGACTGGGAGCAGAGGAAAGCTTTAAAGTTAGGCCGTGATCAACATATGGTCAGCGGCTGGGGTTTAGACCACATCAGGACTGAAGCAGTGATTTCATGGTGTCACCATGGTAACACACAGATGTGTCTTGAAGACTCGCAGACGCAATTTTACTGCAATTATTTATCAAGCAAAAAATGTTATGCAACTACTAAACTGAATTTTGGACATTAACAATTTGATGATTAAATGGAAAATGAAAAATGGTTGTCACATTAAAGTTACTATAAGGAACATAATTGTGTGTTGCTGTTGGCGTCTCCATGGATAAAAGCTTCAGTGTTTCTGAGCTCTTGTTGAACTGCAGGAGGGCTCGACACGGGTTCCTGATTCTCTCACGCAGAGAGAATCAGGAAACGACTGCTGCTTGAAGTCAGATCCGCTTTGATTGTCTGCTTTGATTTTATCTGATTCTGAAGTTAATCAACCCGGTGGCACCGATGCATTAAGAATAACAAAATAGAAATATGAAACCCCCTTATGTCGATTGTAAAGAGGCACCAGTGCAACATTGAGACCGTTTCTTAGCAACTTGAAAGTTCTTTATAGAAACTTTAGTCGATTGTTAGTTTCCAAGTTTTAAAGTGAGTGGTCTAATCCAAGGCTTCAGGTAACAGTGATTAGTTTCAAGCATAACTGCCTTAAAGATATTCAGTGTGATTTGTTTTCAAAGAGTAAAGCACAAACTCATGTTGAGATAAACTGGACTTTTCAGTCACAAATGCCTTAATTATGATCTATTGTTCTTGAAGTAGTATTTCAAACTTAAAGTGGGACGGACTGCAGTATTATTTAACCACAATTGAGTTGTCGATAAATTGGTCAATCTGACCTGTCAAAATACTCACTCTGCAGGGTGTTGGGATCGATCAGGTGGA